AGCATAAAGTTAAACGATTATAATATGGAATTTAATTATAAGGCAATTGTTATTGTCATAAGGAATAAATCAATTATGTTGCTATTTATTTTTGAGTCTTAAAATGAACCCACTTGACGAAACCTGAACATCTTACGACGACGACGCAATCGCATGCGAAATTTGGTCGCATAAAAACTCCTACTTCCCTTAAAAGCTGAAGGATCTTTCGTCAAATTTGCGCTGACTATAAAAATGTACACCCAAGATATAGTCATAAATATTCTATAAGCCACTCTATTTAAGTGATAGATTACACAAATATATGCAGTATATAAACATACACCTATACACGGGAGATGTCAAGGGGGACGGGGTCAGCCCCTTCTGCCCCCCACGGCGACGGCCTTGCCTGTACACGTTTTAAAGAAAACACAAAAGTAATGTGAACATTGTCTATTATATTTTGCTTCAAGAGTATATTTACAGGATTGCTTGAACAACCTCGCAATCTAATCTAAGCGAATAAAAATACATCTTAAAGACTACGATGTGTTAAAAAAACCTTAATACTAAAATGCACTTCAAATTTCTCATGGCAAACTGGACTCTCTCGTACCGTCTCAAGTTTTATTTTAATATAATATTGTGTAGTACTTCAATTAAATGGATTGGATAATTTTTGTAGTTTATTTTAAGGACTGATTGTCTTGTTCACATTTCAAAGCTTGCAAATTGTACTTCCTTCTCAACTCACAATTAAAAACATAAAAATGATCTTTATATTCCAAAAATAGTCGAATTTTCAATAACAAATGAAATAAGCGATCCGTTCATCTGATCATGAAAATTTTATAGTAACTAATACAATATAAAGCTCACATTACAATATTTCATTATAAGCAGGGATATGAATCTTGATTACTAAATATGTAGTTTTCAATCCTTCAAAAAATGTAATTTCAGTTTTATCTTCAGTACGCTAATGCACTAACACAATATGATATTATTAGAGCCATAATTTATAATGACAGTACAAAGTATCAAGTAAATTACATCTGACCACAAGAATTCTCAATATCAAAGATATATTATTATATCAAAATAATGCAATTGGTTCGAATTCAAATACAATATACAATTTACCTTTTCAGTGTACTATTTTCGTCGTGGTCACATTCTAACTTACTTTCAATGAATAGATAGGACTCATCAGTCCTAAAGCATTTATCTTAATATGAATATGACCCTGGGACTCGGGATTACAATTTTACATCACTCACACCCAGTTGTACAACAAACTTCCGTTAAAATTAATACATTAATAGACGTTTGTGCAACTAGATGTTAATGTCATGGTAAACTCGATGTCAAAAACCATGTAACATGACTTTTTCTACAGTAAGTATTTTACGTATACGATCTGTTCAGAATTCAAATTGTTGAGAGCGGATGAGGAGACATCCTGGTAAAGAGTTGTTGAGACGGCAATACAAAACTATTAATACTCTCAATGTCTAAACAAGCAATTTTCAGTACCGAATAGCTGTTTATATGATATTCATAGAAGTCAAAGACTTGAAATATTGTTTTAATTAGGAAACTAATATGTCACATAAATGCAAATTCCGGGAGTCCAGACACATATTCATATTACATATTCTTAATAACCGATACTAATGCGACCAATATTATAAGAATACGTTACGAAAATAATAATGTAAATCTTCCATTTCCACCGAAGTGTGAAGTCATTACATTGCTTTTTAGGTTTATTAGGCACCACCGTTCTCGATCACACGCCAACACAGTTACATAAAGAGAATTGTTTGTCAATACAACATTTTCTGGCGATATTCTTAAAACTGTATTAGAACTTGATTACAAACTGAGTTTATACATCTCAACAATAAAAATCTAACTATCGTAATGAATCAAGCAGTTCTACTTTTGTAGCCACGTTACAGTAAATAAATTGATAAAATCAAAGGAAAATTTTCTTTACTTCGCATCAAATGACCCAATATTATACTTACAGAAAATTTAATCTATGAAAAACGATTCTCTTTATGAAAACATAAAAAATTAAAAGTAGGCAAAAACAAACTTATTGCTAAATTAATAAAAAAAAGGAATCATAAGTCTTTTAAAACTTTTCCCACTTAATCACGTGTGATCGTAACACAAGATACTATCGCCTCATCCACGCACGCCCTAGTACGGAGTGTTGCAAGGTTGTACTAATAAAAAATATATATTATTTCAAAATTATCATATTGGCGTCAGTTTCACCCCCGCCCTTTGGTCGGGCGGCAAGAATTATTCCTAATGCATTTTCGCTGGGCCAAAAAGTGTCAGTCTTAATATAAAAATGCCATCAAGTTACATAGTCTAAGAGCTCGTGACAAAACGTGCAAGAGCTTTCTAAATCTTGATATTTCAGTATATTGAAGTCCTAAGTACCTAGTACTTAATGCACAGGTAATGCAGAAAATGCACAGGTAAATGTCCTTATAAAGCGTATTAATACTAGTACTGTTAGAACCATCTTTACTCTTCCTTTTTTTCATAAACTACAGTGCAAAATGTGTTATTCCACCCAGCATAACTGCAATATTTTGATAAGGACTCACAACATTCGAAATGTTTGCTTATTAAATGAGTATTTGACAATTAATATTGTTAAATTTTAATTCAATTTCTTCGTTATTGGTTCTTCTATGATTTAGTCAGCATTAAGTTTCATATTGCAATGGTGTGACTATTATTTAGTCTTTTTATCCACTACACTGCTTGTAATGTAACCGGGTGCTGTGCGAATACAATAAATAAGAATAGCGTTCTTGTTAGGACCTTAGTAAGGTGGTTCTATTATCATGTCAGCTTATAAAAATCAGTCAAATTTTTGTAATTATTCTTCTTCTTTTTAATTTTTATGGTTTTCGCCAAAATACAGTATTTTGCTCAGTTTATTTTTCCATCTAGTACCTATACTCGTGACGTGACGTGTTGGTTTGTGTAAAAGTAAAAGCAAAATAAATCAAAGCATTTTTTTTACTACAAATGAGCTAGAGAGCTTTAAATTTTCATATTTGATAATGACGTACACGTTGAAACAGATTTTTCTTTATAAAATTCCTAAATATGTGACAGACAGAATATTGGCGAAAACCATCATTCGTCTTCTTCTTTTATTAATGGCTTATCTGCGCGTCTCGCACAATTCTGCCAATATTAAGTGATTAAATTAGTTGAATTAAAACAAATTCATTTCTACGTGTAAAATGAAAATGAAATGAATGAAAATGGCCCCGACACTAAGAATCTCAACTGTCATTTGTCGAAGTTAAAATATGTCAAGTCTTTCTGTAGCAAATACCAAATTGTAGTTTCTTTTAATATATGTATTATCAAAACCTATGCAACACTTCGTACCAGTTCATAAAAAAACTTAATCCTAGTGACGTCACTAAACGTCATGTAAAAAAATATCAACGCAAGTGTTTAGTGTTGATTATACAACTTAATACAATATAATTATGAACGAGAATCGCTGGCTCTGTGAGCCGTGTACGTGTAATGTGGTAAAAGAAAAAATCGCTTCGCGAAAACGCATACTTTCAATTTTATATAAAAAAATATTGCAGCATTCTTTATACTCGACTAATTACTTAATTTGACTCATAAATATTTATTAAAAATTAATTAATAATATACCTAATAATCAACAAATTTTATACCTGGCACATTGTGCTTTGGGAAGTAAATATTGAATCCACTATTTACTCATAAATCCAGCAATTTTCGTTCTTAATCGGTTACAATTTTCCCCGCTTCCATAGACTAGTGACCGAATCAACGATACCACTGAACAATTTATTTTGTACTAGATTCATAGGTACTCCGCAATGCTTACTATTAGGAATATTATTAGTTATTGTTACTATTCAATAACTTTCTAATATATAAGTTTATCGCATAAGTGCATGGATGAAATTTCCTGTAAGATGTTTACCAGTCGTAATGCACTTGTCTCGTTTGTAGATATTGGTGATCACTTAATACTTTTTTTTATTAATAAAATAACTTTAATACTTATTTGGTAGGAGTAAGTACATCTCTTCAATCAAGATTATATAGAAAAAAAAAAAAAACTTTCCAATAAGTTATGAAATCACTTATTCACTTCCACTTTACCCTTTGACTATAAGAACATAACGAATTGTTTCTATTATCAAATGCCTTTACATTAAAACACTGGCAGTTATATTATATGCTTCTAAATTGTTAAATACACTATACCGAAAAAACAAATGCAACACTGGATTTTGAAAAAGAATGTACATAAACACAGTGGGTTAGCTCAAAGTTATAAAACCTAACTTTCAAATCTTAATTTTGACGCGCTTTTTGCTTTACTAAGATGTATTATCAAATTACTCCAATTGATTAACAGCCTTAATCTGTTGTTATAATAAAGTTCAAGACCTTTATTTGTTCATATATATTAGAAAGTTATTGGTATATGTAGTTCTTTATAAGACATTATTTTTACAGAATTGATATTTCCCATTGGAGACGGCCAGTCAAAGCTAATCGTAGATGGCGTTGTCGTAGCGTCTGTCTTTATATATTGCAGTCAAATAAACAAAAAATATTTCCAATCGATTATAACATGTATCATTACAGTCAAAGGCATCAAATCAGACCTTACTACTCTAACTATTATGAGATGGCATTGAAGAAACTGTTTTACCGACTAACACTCGTATCTATAGTTGAGTAAAAGTAATTACTTAAGCACATATTTTTTAACAAACAAACAAGCATTTGAATGTAGTAATAACTGTTATTAATTAGTTAATTAAAATTTATTTCATTAAAATTCTCGTCTATTGGTTAAAAATATCTGACTTGATTATGCCACTTTCTCAAGTACTATTTCTTACTTCTCTCGACTATGTATACAAGTGTAAGAGTCAAGACCGTTATTTTCTTTCCTTTTGTGTTTTTATTTCTTTCGGGATGCATGTATGACAACGCCATTTTTACAGTTGCCTTTCTCATAAATATTTGCTAAGCAAAATTGATATCCAATGCGAAGTATTCAGACATTTTATATAATTTTAACTTCATAAAATTTATAATGTAACTCAATATAACAATTTATTAGTCATCTGTTAATCTCTACGTACATTTTTACAATAACAATAACATAAAATCAAAGCGTAACTTTTTTATTAACCTCACAAGTGTTTCTTTATTAAAAGTTGTCACTTTTTTGTATACATAGCATTATGTAAACCCATAAACTCAGAAATGCCAAAATATTTTTTAAATATCACTGGTAAAAATGTTTAAAAATTATCATGTCGAAAATAACAAAAACAAACCCTTCGATCTTTATTATAATAGTAGTTAACATTTACAATTCACCGAAACTCAAAAATAGTATTACATAAAATGCTTCCATAAAAGTGACAACCCTGATACACCTCTTATAATAAGCATTTATTCTGATTAACATGTCATTATAGATCATCAATGCAATTTTAATTCTATGATGTACTTTTGTGGCAAATCAGAACAAACAAATTTTGGGTACCATTTACTAATCACTCATACCATTTTGGTAGCTAGAGAAGAAAGAAAAAAGCATGACTAGTGATTTTCTATAATAATCACGATTGTTTATAGTCTTGATTCAATAAGTTTATAGAATTGCAAGTTACAATTTAAGAATACACCCATTAGGTCTTGTTTTTTATATTCAGAAACAGTTTTCATGTCATATTCAGTAACCTATTCAAAGTATGGTAATAACTTTAGAAAAAGGAGGAATAAATAAAATAGACTATAATTTAACAAGCGGGAGGTTAACATTCTCATTACAGTTTATTCTAACTAGCAAAAATTACTGTTTTTGGTGTCTTAAGAAAAGTCTTATAGCAGAATGCTATTTCTATTATATTATAGTTTAATCAATCTGAATCACATCGATTTTTTTACATTATTATTGCTATTCATTACTTATTTTTTAGTCAAAGAGGCATGATAGTTACAATTAAATAATAATATTCTATTAGTTTTACATACATCAATGTTATAGTAAATCTTAGCTTTTGATTAATTTTTCTAAGCCTTCTTAGAACAAAATATAACCAATATTGCTCTATTTGCGAAATATTTCTATGAACATTAAGGGATCATGAAAAGGTATTTTTGAAGAGGGAATTAGTTGTAGGTCGTTGTCAAACCTCGGTATTCCATTTCAGTGGCGTCGGTTTCAGTCACTAATCAACGGTGCCGGCGTGGCGGTGTTAGGTGGTGGTGAAAGACGATGGTGGTAGATGATGGCGATGTTACTCGCGCAGTTTCAGTGCGTGATCCTTGATGGCGCCACCGTCGCCTTCAGACACATACCGCTTACGGCCTCTGCACGAAACGAACAGGGGATAAATTTCATGTTATGCTTGTTTCCACAAAAAATATTAAGCAAAAATATACTATGTTTTTTATAAACCGCATGAACGGCGACTCGGAGTTTGTTTATGCGTATGTTTGTTTTCATATTGAAATACACAATTAATACAACACAAAAATGACCCTTTTAACCTTTTAAAATTTCCAAAATTAATTAAAATTATATTACATTTTGAATTTTACCCGCGCTTTTCCTAGATAATTTCACTATCAACTGACCCATAAACGACGTCACCCTCTGATTAATGTTTCTTTGACGTTAGACACAGGCTACAAATATTAAAAAATTATGATTTAAAAATATTTTATGAATAATCTTTAAACATTATGAATTTTCTAACCACTGTAAAAAACTTAACAGTTATAAAAAAATATGTTGCAACAAAGGTACCGCCTCTGATGTACAAATAATGATCATCCATATGATTTTTTATATAAAAAAAATAAGAATGATTCATAATTTTCTAAATTTTCGCTCGTGGACATTCAACAACCCCTATATTTTGTTAAAAAACTAAAATATTAGTAAATGGCATCATACCTGGTGGGCATACGTTGTAAGACTGCATCTCCTAGACGAAACTTGTGCTGGCAGAGCTCCATGAACCGATCCAGCACTATGTACGCGAGGGGCACGTCCAATACTATGTCACTCATGTCTTCCAACACACGGAGGAAACCCTAGAGACATAAAAAAGGATAAGCCAAAAATAATATACGCCTTAAATTCAAGCTAAGAACACGTATAAAGTATAGTGTAGTGTATCAATCATGTAATGTACTTTTTCACTCGTAATGTCGGGCATTAGTATTTTATACGTCGTATTACCACTATTCAGTGTATAATCTATGAGTCGTATGATGTTGTGTTGAACTCATATAGTATAATATGTCACTCATGTTTGCTTGTCGTATTACTTGTTGGGTAGTGTGGTATTTTAGTTGTCATGGTGTGTAGTTTTTCACTCAACATGTAGAAGTGTTTCACTCGTTGCATAGTGTAGTTTTTCACTTTTTCATGTAGGGTAGTGTTTCAGTTGCAGTGTAGTGTAGTATAGTTTTTTGGTCATATATTTATAAAAATTAATTTAACATCAGGCAGTAACTTCTTTGTAGCATATTAATTTATTTAGCTTATTGATACTGACCCTGTCCATCTGATCTGGGCTGACGACCACGCTTCGCCTCAGTTCAGCGAGGAATGTCGCCAGACTCTCCTCCGCGCTAGAGTTTATAGATTCCAATGCTAACAACACCGTCTACAACAATAAACGTCATATTAGACTACCCTATTCGATTTGAGTCCATCCATAGAAAAAGCTTGTGCCCCGCAATGGAAACACTTACACCCAGTTATATAAACCTCCATTAAATTGTCATTAGTTTAAAGCGATATCACTGATTTAACATTCGAGATAATTAACGGTTAGAGCAAAGTATCGGCTAACTCTGAAAACGATGGCGGTTGTATAGTTAAGTTACTTTCTCCATTTCCACATACTATAACTACGTAAGCGTTTTTGTTTACCACTTGGTGAAGCAAAAAAATTTAATAATTGTTTGTTACATAAATATAAATACCTCGTAGACTAATTCATGATGAAAGTGTGGTACTTCTAATTCGCGAACGCACCGCATCGCCTCGGCCAAGTCGCCTGATGTCAGATACTCCTTGAGGAGGAGCTGGATCTGACGGATCAACGATTTCACTGGCCTGTAAATAACAATAAAATTACAAACTTAGCTAACTTGAAATTATTAGGTATAAATATTTCCATAATTTTTTATACAAATGCAACTTGCCTAATGCCTCCTCCCACTCCCCAAATGTTGTCGAGTCTTACCAGACCCTGTTTCATAGATAATAATGTCTCCGCCCTGTGGATTGCTTGTCTGAAAAATAAAATATTTGATAAAATCTAGCACTCGCAGTATATTCTGACATGTAGTACTTCATTGTTCTTAACGTATAATTCACAGTGTAGTGTTGTACTCATAACATCATATGGCGTTTTACTAGCATTGATTTGTGGCGTTCTACTCGTAGTACAGTGTAGTGTTTTACTTGTAGTTCAGTGTAGTGTTTTACTTGTAGTTCAGTGTAGTGTTTTACTCCTAGAGCTATGTAGCGTTTTACTAGCAGTAGTTTGTGGTGGTTTATTTGAAGTGCAGCATAGTGTTTTACTCGTATGTGTAGTGTAATGTTTTACTCATAAACCAGTGTAGTGATTTACTTGTAGTATCTCACCTGGCTGGTGCGTTGAGATCAGTGGCCTGCGCCTGCGATTGCACGAATCGTGGCGGAAGACAGTCGTCCGCGACACATCGCGCTATAAAGTTTGACAATAGTACCGCCGCGTCCGGCGTGTCCAGTACTAAGTCTGGTAACTTCTCTAGTAGCCTCTCGAATGCTACGACAATCATATAATGAAGTAAGTATACCTATTAAGTAACTAAAGTGTTCTACCAAGTGTAAGATAAATAATTCGCAATTCTTTGTGACAACAACATCTGAGCAAATAAGAGTAATTTGAAGGTGAAAAACTTGTAAAAATAGGCTCTTGTTTAAGTTTATGGACAACCTTCATGAATATTAATTGATAAAAATCAAAAGTTTGCACATTTGGTTATCATCTCAAATCTAAATCTATTTGTATGGTATGGTGAATTTATTTTAAAATGATAATCACTCACCATAACCAATATCTTTGGCCGAAAACACCCTTCCATATAGGTCCGATATAAGGACAGAAGCCATTTCGCAATGCGATGGCTTATGATCAAGTGCTATTTCTACGATCGTCTCGCACACCTGTAGAGTGAATAAAGGTTTAAATTACTACTGTTAATATCGCTAGTAGGTTCCCCGGGAATTATCACAACATATAATTGAATACTGCTGATCTAACCAGGAGCAACGATTAAGGTGCTTTTCAAAACATAAGAGGTGCGCGTGACATTTCGGTTTTAGTCAACCAATCAAAAAAATAATTATGATACAAACATATCAAGTATGAAGCAAAAGACATGATCTGTTATGCCCACTACATCGAATCAATCATATGATATGCCCTAATGTAATCCGTAAAGTATAATGAGGCGCTCGCTCTGCGATATGTTGTTAAGCAACATTCACAAAATTTATTCGTGCTCCTCCCTGCTCTAGAAGGCAAGTTAACCCATTGGTCCCGGCTGCATCTGCCGTCGTTAATGCCCACCCATCTGTGCTGACCCTGCATGATGGGTCATGCCCCATTCTCCCTGTTAGATTTAATTCGATTCCATCCACAGGGAAGGATTGAGTTCCAACAGTGGGGAAATTAATAAGCTGGTGGTGATGAATCCATAATTAATACCTTACGCGTTCCCAAATACATATTCTTATAAAGCACGAAATACTCCGTTTAGATGTTGATTAATAGTAAAACGTTTTTGATCACGAGGGCGTGAAGTACTAGTGACAATAAGCTGCTACTGGAAACCAAGGCCGGATTCAGTCTTAAAGTCAGGGGGCGTCACAAATAACAAATACAACTCACCAAATGACTGCGCTTGGCGGTGACAAATTCCAGGAAGTCCTCAGCCGCTGCGTTGGTGTCCCCATGCTCGAAGTACTCCAAGATCACGGGCTCCGATTTACGCTGAGAACAAACAAATGAATGTAGTGTAAATCTATTTAGATAAGTATAGAGGTAATGCCATTTTGTAAGTGGAAACTGAAATCATAAACACTAGTGATCTGATCATGCCAATGTGTCGTGGATGCAATATGGTCGGTTTAAAGGCGCACGAAACTACCAGTAGAATAAAAATCCAGTAGAATTAACGAATGAAAAGAGTAATTTTCAAATAATTTTCAATTTCTTTTTTAAGTTTCCATTCATGGTGCGACTGATTGGTCGACTAGTAGAGGTCCATTAAAATAATAATTAGTTTAAAGCGAAATTACCCATTAAAAATCCATATGAAGAACATTCATTAGAGCTTACTGTCGTCATTAAACCTTAAATTGATGTTTGTGTAATTGGGGACGTCCTTTGCTGTATTGTAATAAGAATTAATGTATAAAGGTTAAACTACACGAAAATAAAGTTATTGTTTATTATTAGACTGTAAATTAATAAAGGAATTTAGTTATTTCATTTCATTTCATAGATTCACAATGAGGAATATCTTTTTAAAAAATTTGTAAAACAATCCACCAGCCCAAGGTAATCCGAAACGGGACCACAACCTTTGGCATTCCAAGCGGCTGCTGTTTTCAATTATCTTATTTTCTAAGTTTATCTCAGAAGGCGCGTTCTAACAACGTCAATATCACGCCATCGGGATCAATGACATGCGGCCGATGCACAGGTTTTGTTGTCATTGGCACAGCAACGCAGGTTGCATGCTCGATGCGCCGGCGCCGGTGCAACCTCGTTGCTGTTGAATTTTAATTTCACGATTGCGTCAACACCTATTCGTTGGCTACATGGCGCACCTTGTAATCAAAATGCTGATATAAACTAGTCGAGTGCGATTAGGAATAATATAAATGTTTTGTTTTTTTTGCTTTGCCTACTTTAATTAAATTTAATTAATTTTGATTTTATTACTATTAATTTAGTGTTTAAAATTTGTATTCGCTATAATATAAATAAGTGAATGTTGTGTATATCTGTAATTGTCATATATATCAGAAATTGTAATTGTTTAAATGTTGTATTGTAAAGTTTAAATATGTATGATGTTGATGTACCTAATTAAAAAAGGACTAGCTCTATTTAAGACGCCAAGACATAATTCGTAAAAATTTCAACCGTCTATCACGGTTCATGAGATAAAGCCTGATGACAGACGTGAGAGCAGAATCTCAGTAACAGGGTCCCGTTTTCACCCTAACCCTAATAACCGAAACCAGAATCCTAATAAAACTAATCAGAGTGGAGGAAACTGTTTCAAGGTGTCACTATATTTGTCCAAGTTAATAAACAGATAACTAATTCTGTAACTTCTTATTAGAAAAGAAAATGAATTTTAATCAATCAAACCTAATTTTAAACCTCTTAACATTTATCGCAATATCTTCATAATTTAATTGATATGTGTACAACGTGCTCAGTGCCGATTGGTAGGTAACAACTACTACAATATATATATATATTGAAATAGTCAGATAATATTTATCTATTATTATCGTTACATTTATCTTACCTATTTATAAACCATACATACTAACTATAGGTATAAATGTGCTAAAAGTGTTGTTGTGTCAACAAAATAAATATGTTTGTGTTGGTGATCTGTACATGAACTCGCGACATACTAAGGGTTCGCTGACCTTAGCGAGTGAGGTTCTCGATGCGAGCGATATCTATTTATAAAGAGAAAAAAATAAATCTCCTACTTCGTAACTATTTGTAGCTGATTTTATGCTAATAAATTAAAAGGTAGCTCTTCAAAATAGTGTTCTACTATTACTACTACCAAAAAAGCAAACTTTAATTATACAATACTACTACTAATTGATGCTTCTCATTCTGCAATACGCTATCGTCTATTTTTATGAATATTATTCTTATTAGGAAGTATAATTATTATTCAGTGTTATGTGTACTTTAAACCATCACACATTTACGACTCTACAGCCGATATTATACAATATTACTTACATATAATTGGCTTTCATTTTGGCAGATCAACCAGGACGTAAGTTACGCGGTAAAGCGGCTTGTAAAGCGTAGCGTAAAGCATTTTCACTATTAAAACATTATCGTCTTTGTACACGGTGGATTGAGTTTGTACATTAATAATTAAAGGTTATAAATACGTTTTTTTTACTAATTGGACATTTAAGGGGTCAAGGTTCCGGTCAAATAGGCGCAAGTATTTAATTTTAAAAAGCATAGAATTTAAGTTTTTCTGTAATCTACAAACCTGCAAAGAAATATTTACTGTAATTTTTCTTTTTCTAAATTTAGACCCAGGAGTTTCAGAGATAATTTAAGGCCATATTTAAGGTGATGGTAAAATTTCATCTTTTTTCTGGCATACGCCTAAATAATTTGAGATACTTATTCAAAATTATAAAACGCTTGTATTTGATGTCACTATGATATTAGTCTCAGTTAATATACGTAAATAAAGTGCGTTCCTCACATTTTTCATAACCGCTTTCCTACAGCACTTCCTCTTCTATTCGTAGGAATTAACATATCCTGAAGACCTATTCTATTTCTCGCCACTTTATAGACGATACGATTCGTACAGAAATGCATTATTCGATTTATGATACAGCTTAGGTAGGACCTCAAATTGCCTCTGATGCACAGATAGGTAATCTTCACGGATGTGATTTAAACAAAATCATAAGAACCATTCGAAATTCGGACAAATAGAATAAGCCCCGAGTTAATTCGTACGAGTTTTTATCGTATTATTGTTATATAACACGTTCTCAATTGCTCTAAGTTTAGAAATAATGTATAAGACGAAAATATTAGATCGTTAATACTATTATTTTGTGTATTCAATGCCTACGTGATCGGCCGCATGTGGTCATCGATTATCCGCTAGTATTGGTGCCCCCGCCTCCTCGCCAAGTTTGCCGACATCGGGCGCGAGTTATCCGTGTCACTTTTGTTTTCAATCATAAAAATCATAAAAAGCAATACTAGTTACTTTTTATTCTTTTTTAAAATCTGTGTTGAAACAAAGATTTCTCTTTTCTGTTTTTGTGAGAGCAGTATAGTTTTTTATAATAAACAATCATTATATCCAGCACCAAAATAACACTATAGATTAGATATAACAATAATAACAATTTATTTTCAACAAGAGATACCTATCAAAAATATACTTAGCAAACTATATGTACCTACAACGTCTGACCGCCATTTTTGTCATTATGTGCTAAAATTAGCGATCTTATCGCTGAAAAAGATCGGTCAGTTGCACAAACGTCCATTGGGTTTAAAGACGCCTTTAAGCTCTAATGAATGTCAAATTTGTATGGGTAATGTCGCTTTAAACTAATGAAAATTTTAATGGTCGTTTGTGCAACTGGCTGTTAGTTTAGTATAGTTTTTGCGTGAAAAGTATCAAACATCAAAACCTAAAAACTTTCGTCTTTATAATATTAGTAAGATTTTACTATATGAAATTGTTGATTAGTGAATAATAATTAATCTACCAACCTCATTATCGATCTCTGAAATTAAAGACTGTTTAGTTTTCTCAAGTTAATACACATTTAATGGTTAACTCTACATTTAGAGGTTTGTTCGCACAAGAAGGGAATTTTATAAATTAAAGCAACCTTATTGTTAGTAATGATCTCTTTCAATCATTTAGAGACTTGTTTATTTAAGCGATTGTGTTTGACTATACTTTTAGCTACAAAATGGGGTGTCCAGTTCTAATTTGTCTTTTTGACAACAAAGCGCGCGATTTCTTGTTCACAAACACGTTATCTCAAGGTCTGCAAATGCTATCTATCTACACATGTCAGAATGACATTATCGGTAGCAGTAAACGATGTTTTTTTAAAATAACGATGTACGTTTTATTTATTTTGTTAAAATAAAACGAAGTTCGTGGAGTCAGTTAGTCTCTAATACTAAGTTGTTGTCATCAACATAAATTACTTAAGATTGTTTTCCTAGATCTTGACCACTAGGGAATAAAAAAGTTGACACTTTTATTATCGTTGGGGTAATGATTTATCCACTATCCCTGCCGATTGACAGGCGACAGGGAATGTGTGGCTCTCCATCCACACTGACCCGCCCGAAGGTAAGACAAAACGTGGATGACATACCCACTAAACCCCCCTTATTTTAAGGACGTAGGATCCGGCATGGACTGCTCCACATCCAGCTCCCAGAAGCAAGTTGAAAAAATAAGACATGCCAACCGTATTTCTATTCCTACTCCAAATCGTATTTTACAATGATTGTATTACGCCTCTTTTGGGTTCATCTAATCTCTAAACAACAAGTACTTACCACAATTTCCTCAGGTTCGGCCTCCACGATGACCTGTTTGAACTCCACGTCCCCATTGGTGACAGCTTCGGAGTCATAGTTGGGGTCATTCGCATCCTCCACAAACTCTTCCAGCAATTCCGACCCTGGCGCGCCCCACACGCCCTTGCCGCCGGCCCCGCCTGACAAATTAATGTAAATGAAACACATTGCAAAACCAAAAGATAGTTAGTTCATTCTGTAAATATTAAATCAATTGGAGCAATTCACTTTTCTTGTTGGAGTTTGTTTCGACAGTTAAATTTAGAATTGGTGGTAGTTTACTGTAGGCAGGGGTAAAAAAGTCAAACGTATATTAAAATTATTTAATTTTATAAATGTAAACTTCCCATTTTTTTTTGTATTATGAATGTGTCCAACAGTATCGTTTTGAAAATAGCTATACTCTTAATTAAAGGCAATCAACATCTTGTCTTATGTGATTACGGAACCTGTGAAGGGTTTAAAACGTCAACAAAAGAGCGCGTTAACGAAAAAATAAACGCGCTCGCGACCGACGGTAAAGGTAAACGTCAAAAAAACTTACACTAAACGCTCTGAATAGACCCTGGTGTCATGTTAATTCGTACGATTTATTTCACATTTATGATTCGAAACTTTAGTAGAAAAATTAGGATCTAGATAAAAATACCTTAAAATTCTGCTGTAATGTATTTCCGAGTATAAGTTTACTTTTCTAAATTGATATTTACATTTTAATATTACATTGTTTAGAAAACAACGATTTTTCATAATAGCGTGTCGTACATAATATTATTATCTGTGTTACACAGGACACCTTATCATGGCTTGGAGCAGAACATAGATAGGTAGGTATTGTAAAACAAATAACATATATATATTTTTATGCATGAAAATATTGGCACTTGGTGTTGATTTGCGAAAACAACCCGCTGTCAAGAAGAACATATAAGTACTCTAGAGCAGTTGTCAAACTTTTTGGCAACGGAACCCTTTTGCACTTTGCGAAATCATGACATGTAACAGTTTAGAAAATAGTCAATTATGTGAATAGTTCGAAAATTTATAAAGTCTGAGTGAAAGTAGACTGATGATAAATCAGAAAAAAAAAACAACTTTCAAGAAAAAAGTTCTCGTTATTTGATCCAAAAATAATTATTATATCTGCTACCATTTGTGAAGTAACAGATAGATAGTACAATAGCAAAATCACAGTACTTTAAACTATTGAGATACAACTATTTATTAGAAGTTAACAGAGTTGAGGCCCAGATGTTTAGCGACATGTTGTCCAGTTGACATGGAGAAATTATGTTTAATTCTTTTGTAGACACTATGAACACCATTTTTGTTAACAAACAATATATAACATGTTGTGATAAATCGTAAGATAATATAAATAAACAGTCAAGAGTACAATTGTTCTTATAAAAGAATATTAATTTTGAGTTCAACATGATATCAAAACAACAGATTATCCATTTTAACTTTACATCAAAAGACATGGTTTTATTTGATAACTGTGTTATTCAAGATAAGGTTGATGATTACACTGACAAATTTAACTCGAAGTGGAGAAGTTCCAATATCATAATTCATATAGTAAACAGATGAATTCTTCAAAAGTATTATTTTTAATAAGATAAATATTAATATTGAGGGTGCTGATCCGGCTCTATGGACCAAACTGTAGACGATGCTGTATAACTGTTGATGATGGTGCAAAACAAAGACGGATTTCTTCTATAGACGATTTATTGTATTTTCTTCTTACTGGCTACTTATTACTGCTTGACTATACTGCTTGACTGACTTGACTTGACTACTTGCTGAACTGCTTGACTGACTACAAATATTTACAAATTTGGCCCTACCCTTATTCTAAACTTAACATCTAACTTAGATACTAGTGACGCGCGGCGGCCGACCAATCACAGCGCGTTTAACGCCCGCGCGCCGGGTGGGGGAATCGCCCCCACCGTGCGGACGGCGCATACGCAGCCAATGGGCTCCCTGAGAATTCCGCAAATGTAGGCGCTGTGATTGGTCGTTCGATCTGTACATTTTTCGGCACGTGGCTGTCGTCAACAGTCTCCCCCCGGCGAAGGATCTCCGCAGCCTCCTCCGGTTGGCAGCCCCGTGCCCGTCGCGCAGCGCGTCCTCTCTCATCGTTCCGTGGAGAGTGCAGGTTCGACGACGATCAGCTTCGATGTCGGCCGCCGAAATGTTCCTCCTCTTGTCGTTATCTCCACGTTCCGAATCACGCCGTCAGGTCCAGGGTAGGTATTGGCTACGATGCCGCGTGGCCACGTGTTTCGAGGCAGAGTGTGGTCGGCTATGATAACCACGTCTCCGGTCCGTACTTCGCTGCTTCGTGGACGTTGTGGGTCGCGGCGTGGTACGGTTTGGGTCTTCAAGGGCGCGACCTTAGCTCTTGCCGCTATCAGGACTGTCTCGATGACATGGCCGGCTCCGTAATGCAATCTCCAATACGCCGCCGTTGCGTAGGCTTCTTCGCTGGCGTCGCAGAATATATGAAGTTCACGGCGACGCACTTCTCTCCCCCCGTTATAACTACGGGGTAGCCGTAGTTGGTCGATTGCTGGCAGGCTTGTCAACCATGCATCGAAGTCCTCGCTCAAGTCGGATGGAAGAGGGTCGTCCCAGCCGGTCTTGAGGCGCCATAGTTTTTGAAGAGTTATCTTCGCTGTGATTGTGAAGCAGCTGAGCAGTCCGAGCGGATCGTATATGCTCATCACCGTCGATAATGCTTCTCTTTTCGTCGGCGGGCGTTGTCGAGACTTCACTGGCAGTGGGACTCTAGGCAGGGCGGTGTTGAAGCCCAGCCGATCGGTATTTGCATCCCAATGCAGGCCCAATGTCTTCTCTGTGTCTCCAAACGTCGTAGTCCCGCTTTTGGCTCTACTATCCGGGCTCACGGCTTGTAGAAGCTTCCTGTTGTTACTGTTCCATCCCCTTAGGTGGAATCCAGCCTTCTGGTGCACTGCGTCGACTTGGGTGATGACTCCGTGGGCCTCTCTCGGATCATTGAAGCTGTCGACGAAGTCATCCATGTAGTGCGCTTCGGTGATTGCGCGCAGTGCTGCAGGGTGCGTCTCAGCATGCTGTCTCGCGTTGTGGTCCCTCACGCTGTGTGCGAGGAACGGTGAGCTCGATGCGCCGAAGATCATCGATGTCATCTTCAGCTTGCGCGGTGGTTCATTTTGCCTGCAGTCGCGCCACAGGAACATCTGTGCGGGTTGGTCCTCGCGGCGTATCTTGATCCGCAGGAACATTTCCTCGATGTCAGCTGTCACCGCGTATGCGCCCTCTCGGAACCGGAATAAAATGGTCTGCAGCGATCGTAGCAGATCCGGCCCTTCGAGTAGGTGATCGTTCAGGCTGACACCTCGAATTCTTGCTGCCGCGTCGAAAACCAGTCGCAGCTTCCCGGGCTTATTGGGATTCTTGACGGCGAAATGCGGCAGGTACCATGCGATGGGGCTTGCGTCCTCGGAGCCGTCGCAGGGTTCGGCGTATCCCTTTTTCACGAGGTTGTCGATCCTCCGCTGGTATTCTTCCATGTCGCGTGGATCTTTCTTCAGCTTGTTCTCCAGATTTGTGAGCCGGCGGAGTGCTGAGTCGTAACTCCGTGGCAGTTTGGCGTCGTCGTTTCGCCAAGGCAGGCCCACTTCGTATCTGCCGTCCTTGTGCTTCACGGTGCGTTCGAACGTGGAGACGGCACGCTTGTCCTCTTCGCGGACGTGTGATGCGTCGAGCGACACTCCGAGTGAGTCGATCCGGAAGTGTCTCGACACGAGTTCCTCGAGTCGGTCGTCTGATGCTTCGGTCGTGACGACATGTAGGATATCCTCGGTGCGGCGAAGCGATCTCGATGGCGCCGTCCCGTGGATTACCCATCCGAGTTCGGTTTTGGAGGCAGCTGGTTCCTTGGTTTTTCCCGACCGTAGCTCACGGGTCACTATGAGCTCCCAGTTGTCCGTCCCGATCAAAATGCGAGGCTTCGCATTCTTATATACGACTTCTCGCTCGTCGAGATCTCTTAGGTGTCGTAGCTTCATCGCCTCCGCCGGTATCGATTGCGGCGTGAGGTCCAGGCCCACCATGGTGCGAGCGTTGATTTTGAAGATCTGGTCACTGCGCGTTCCCTTTATTCCAATCTTCACTCGACGGCTCTGCACGGGACTTTGCTTCTTATTTATTCCTCGGACGTTGAGCTGTGCGGTCGGTCCGTCGGCGCCGATCTGTCGCGCCAGGTCGTCGTCTAATAAGGTGACCGTCGAGCCTTCGTCGAAGAGCGCGTAGGTGTCGCAGCTCCCACGTTTGCCCGTGATTGTCACGGGGCAAATCTTCAATTTGACGGCGCGGCTTGTCGTCGTGGCAGCCGTCGTCGTTTCGGTGGTGGCTGGTTCCGTTGCGGCCGCGTTTGAGTCGGTCGCGCTCGTAGCCACGTCGTTCGTCGTTCCACGCTCATCTGCGTGCAACAGTCGGTGATGCGGTCGCTTGCATCCGTTGATTCCGCAGAGCTTCTGTCGGCAGTTCAATCGACGGTGTCGGCCCACGATGCATTTGAAGCAAAGGCCCTCCTTCTTCACCAGCTCCCATCGGTCATCATACGTTAGCTGCTTGAACTTTGGGCAGCTAGGTAGTGTGTGGGCTTCCTGGCATGAAAGGCATCTGCGCTGCGGTGCTTCTTCGGTGGCGACGTACACCGTCTTCTTCTTAGCCTCCGGTCTGGGGGCGGGGCGAGGCGTTTCACGTGTTCGTTGCGATGTGGAGGGTGCGGTGAGGTTCGATACATAGTTGTATCGCATGCAGCGGTCAGCTTCTTTCATCAGGAACGATGAAAGTTTGAGTAGATCGGCGTTCGGGCCCGGCTGTGACTCGGCGAAGTTGCACCAACTCGATACAAGGTAACTTGGCATCTTGTCTAAGACTTCCCGGGTCAGCAGTGGGTTAAGCAGGTACTCTGGCTGCACGTTCCTCAGGACGGCCACGATGTTCTGTAGCTTTACCGCAAACATGTTAAGATCGTTCGCGGTAGGTCCAATCTTCGGCAGCTTCCGTAGATCGGCGAAAGCCATGTCCACTAGTCTTTCTGGCCTTCCGTAGCATTGCTCCAATGTTCGCATGATCTCGTCGGGGTGCGTCGCGGTGCTCAACAATGATGCGACGTTTTCCCGAGCTTCTCCACGTAGGCAGTTTCTTAGTCTTGCCATATTCTCTGTAGGTGTGAATTCGTACAGCCGCGTTGTTTCTCGCATCGCAGTCGCGAACTGTAGCCATTCCAGCGGTGAACCAGAGAATATCGGTAGATCCGATGCTTGACGCGGCGGCGGTCGTGACTTCACGAGGGTTTCGAGGACAGAGGCGAGTTGATCGATGCCTCTGCCTCGCGATGACGACCGTCTTCGTTCTTCCCTATCTGGGCGTCGCGTGTCGCGTTCAGGTGGCGGTTCAGCCACGGCGGTTCTCGAGAGCTCCCCCCGTTGTTGGTCGACGTTCGCGTCGTCGAGCCACTCGAACACTCGATCTTGCAATTTATTTGCCGGTTCTTCAGCTTCGGGTTCGCTCTCTGCTCCGTCTAGTGTTTCTAACTCGATATTGAGCGTCTTTTTTATGAGGTCCGCTTCAATTTCGAGTTCTCGGCGTCTTATGGCAGCCAGTCGTTCTTCTGCTTCGATGCGTAGCTTCCGGCGTGCCGCGTTGCTCGCTGCCGAGCGGGTCGAACGCGCGACGTGCACTCTCCTCGCCGGTTGCACCGATGACGTCATCGCAGATGTCGTTATGCCAGTAGTCGCCGCTGTGTCCGTTGGGTGTGCTGCGCGTTCGTCCGCTCCGCTCGGCGGCTGCGTAGTCACTGCCAAGGCGACGCGTGCTCCGGCAACGTCTGCCCCAGCGCGGTTCGCGTTAGGCGCTAGTTGCGAGACTTGCGGTGCGGTGCGTAGGCTCTCCCCGGCGTTACCCGTCTCGAGGCGTCCTCGTATGGTCGGTGTACTTGAGGGCGATCTCGGCGGCTGGTCGAAGACACGACGTTGGTTTTCTTCGTCTTGGCTTCTTGTAAGCACCATCTTGAATCACTGTTGGCTGGATCTCGGAGGTTCTATACGTGTTTAGATCCGGCTTCTCGAAGGACCAAACTATTGAGGGTGCTGATCCGGCTCTATGGACCAAACTGTAGACGATGCTGTATAACTGTTGATGATGGTGCAAAACAAAGACGGATTTCTTCTATAGACGATTTATTGTATTTTCTTCTTACTGGCTACTTATTACTGCTTGACTATACTGCTTGACTGACTTGACTTGACTACTTGCTGAACTGCTTGACTGACTACAAATATTTACAAATTTGGCCCTACCCTTATTCTAAACTTAACATCTAACTTAGATACTAGTGACGCGCGGCGGCCGACCAATCACAGCGCGTTTAACGCCCGCGCGCCGGGTGGGGGAATCGCCCCCACCGTGCGGACGGCGCATACGCAGCCAATGGGCTCCCTGAGAATTCCGCAAATGTAGGCGCTGTGATTGGTCGTTCGATCTGTACATTTTTCGGCACGTGGCTGTCGTCAACAATTAATATATTGTAGGTCTGAGAATAAGTTGTTATATCTATTTATACCCTAAGGGGCAGTCCATTAATCATATGATGTTTTGATGAAATACACATGATATATTAATACACCACCCCACTCCCTCCTTGTGATATTTCATGATTTTTCAATTAACCAACCTCCCTTAACACTTCACTCACTTGATTAATGGGCAACCCTTATGTGATAAGGGTCCCCCCTCTCAAAGTTATATGGCAAAACAACATTTGATCAGCTAGTAATATTATATCATTTATTATAATTGTATTAACTTGTTCTTAATCCCTGGTATCAGAATACACATCTATTGACTATTTAATGCAAGCAAAAGTTTTGTCTTCAATTTAAACTCAAAACAGTGAATGTACTTTCAATTCAATAATAACATCAACATAAATATTGTGCAAACAAATGCAAGGGTTAAATAATGCTGGCTTTAAAAAATAAATTTCAAGTAGATATGCTTTTCAAAATGTATGTCTCAATTAGTTCTAAACTCAACATATCTCTATAATTTCTTTGAGATTTTATAATAGGTACATGTATTGTTCTTATGTCTGTATGTTAAGTATATCAATTAAAAAATGCAATTCTTGGACACTTTCTATTTTACTGAATTGATTTTTTAAAATATATTTTAAAAAAATAAGAATTCAATTCTAAGTTTGTTTACAGTTATCAAGTATAAAATAAACAGCACAATGTGTTTACATTTTTTATGTGTGACCTTGACACTGTCTCCGTGCACATATAAATAAAACAATCTATAAGGCTGTTGATACACAGGAAGACTTGGTATATTTTCTATTTGTAAAAATTTACAAATCGAGATTTCTAATGATAAATCAATGCTAATAATACCATAACCTTCACTGTCGAAAGTTGTTTATCGAACGCATTGTTACGTAACGAGTTATTCAACTAAAAACGACCTGCCGTAATGTGTTGCGCAGTTCAAATTGCAAGCAACATATATCTATGCAGCCTAATAAATATACAACATAGACGGGCTATATGGTGCTTTTGGAGTAACTGCGCAAATAACAGAATGACCTTGAAATACTAAAATACCTATAACGCATGTTAAAATCATAATATTATTCCGGTGCGTAGTAAACAAAGATTACGTAAGCCTAATAAGCACAGTGGTAGGGTTCTAGAAAGTTCTAAATGAATACTGGTCGTGGACGAAAGTAAAATTTTGATCGGGGATAATAATGCTTTTTTTATACTGGTTATACGAACCTTTCTTAGGCAAGCCCCTGCCGTGTCCATTGCGCGGTCGCCGGCTATTTTTCCAGCTACGGTATTTAGGTAGCGGAGCTACGTTAGTAACCCCTTCCTTGCTATTAGAACGAGCGAATTTCTTGTTCTTGCGTCGCAGACGCTCTGAATGAGATGTCGCAGCGTCACCTGCGCCTTCGTGCACCACCGGCTTCGCGTTTTCTTCCGCCGCCACGTTTTCAGAGTCGGATCGGTCAACATCCATTGCGGAGAAAGAAAAGCCGGGTTGACGAATAAAGCGCAGGTGGATTGCTAATAGCTTTCCCTAAAATATAGACACTCTGGTAGGAATCCACTTGGACTCTCACAAGAATTTGAGACCCAAATCAGTTACTGCATGTGATAAACAAAAGACCGAACGACGCACCACGTATTTGTTTTGAGAGCGCACCGATGTGAAGTTAGCAAAATAACATGGCGGCCGGCTGCTAGAGTCAAAAAAAGTACGATAATTTTAAGTTCTATGAATAAAAATAACGATAAAAAAATAAAATATCAAGAATAATTAACAAAATAATGTAAAACGGCAATCAATCTATAACTGAAAATGGTTTATTAATTTTATGTAATAATTTGATATTGTCGTTTTACAGTAATGCCAACAAATACAAAAAAAGTAATTGTGTTTTGTGATACAAAGCCAGGCGTCTAGAGATGCAAGTATCATACCGAGATCATATCGAGATTCAAAATATATCAGTTACAGTTATCGATATTTATCGATATGTTTAAAGGTCTTAAGTTTATTCAAAAATCTATGTCAACTCAACTTGTCTGACACACAGGTCGATAATAATTAAATAATAATAAACACTATGTAAAAATTTTAATACAAGCTATACTATATTAAACGCTAAAATCACTAAATGTGGAAAAAAGTAATTTATCATTTTTATTATAAATTAATTTAAAAAATTCGGCTTGCAAATTGTAGCGGCTACCGACTTAGGAACAGCCGATTGGACAGTCAACTGCCTTGACGCCTATATATACTTCGCTAATCTTGGCTCATGTAAGTGTAGCACGACTAACTCGAGAACATTTTGTTTACACCAAAATGTCATTATATAAGTGCTGCTTTAAAAAAAGCGTTCGTAAGGCATGCTCCTGGTTACAATGGGAAATTGTCTTATTGCGACATGAAATAAATTGCGATTAGATTGGGAACATATTATTTTCAAATTGAGTAAAAATTATAATAATAAAATACTACAGCAAATTTCAAAGTAAAAAATCAGATTTGAAAAATAATGTGACACTAAAATCACATGTGAAGATGCGTCGCATGTTAAAATTATGACGACTGATATACATTTACTTTTTGGATCTATTTCGCTATAAGGTGTTGATATATTAGTATTTTTTAATATCGATATATCAATATCACTGTTTCTTCGATTTCGATATCGATACATAGCGATATTTTAGGGGTAGTTATGTCGATACAAATCAGTTTTTCGATATATCGTTGCATCCTATACATAGAGTAAGGTAGAGTGGAAATATTTTCTATGATTATATAAATATCATGCAATCTGAAGTTGACATCAAAAACATCATGTTGTCTTTTTTTAACTAATAAGAAGTTTCTTTAGTAGACAAAGATAACACTAGTGTGACAGTTCAAAATTTTTTACGTGACGTCATGAGATATAGCTATCGTACCACCTGTCAGCCATTTGCAAATTTGCTTTGCGTATTCTCGGAAGTAGTTCAGCTGTCAGTGTTATAAGTTTTGTGGTTATTTTCATTTATAACTTTAATTTATATAACTTTCATGGCAGAAAATTGTAAATTATTTATGCAAAACAATGCCTAGGTGCTGTATAATTGGTTGTGCGTCATCAATATCCCGCAAACCGAGCAATATTACGTTTCACCGGTAAGTTAAACACTTTCTTGGAATAACAGTATTTAAAACGTAAGTAAGTTATTCTGAAAATGATTGCGTGTATAAATCGATACATATCGTATTTTGGCGTGTTCTATTTATGCTATATTGCTCTTTTCGTTTATATTTTTATAATATTTCGGTCCGTAAATAATATTGTTTACATGGCTAGTGTCGTTACTTTAACATATGGTTTATATCGATAATTTTAATATTTAAAAATATATTAATTATTTTAGATTACCAAAAGATGAAACAAAAGAGGAAAATGGCCGAGTTACATAGAAGCAGAAAATATTAAATGTAATGAAAAAGTTACTTTTATCTGCTCACTTCATTTTAGGGAAAGTTGTTTGAATCGAACTTTAAATATAATAAAATTACGAGATGATGCATTGCCAATCAAATACTCTGGTAAGAATTTTTGACAATTGCTTTTAACTTATTTAAAAAAAAATGTCTATTACACTTAGTTAATTTTCATTTGATTTTACTGATTTATTTATTTAGTTTTTTATATAGTCATTTTGTTATTCTATAAATGTACCTTATTTTTAGTCTTGCGGTCATATGACGACTATTTTAATTGAAAAAAATCAGAATGCAATATATAATAATATTAAAATATAAAATTCTGATCATAATATACTCCCAGTAAAATATACAATAAAATGAGTTAAATAATTTTAATAAAAATTAAAATATGCACACTTATCAAATTAAAGGCATAGTTAAAGGTTTTCTTTGCTGTTCAATAGTATAATCTTAATACCCAAATAATTATTTTGCGGCGTGGATGTTTATTTTGCTGATGCATCATAAAATACGCTACCTTTTTGAATTTAAATTGCTGACCGTTATCATGATTGTTCACAGAACATGAATTGCAGACTGTTTTAGTGCTGAGAAAATATTTGTATGCTTGCCTATTGATTAATCGGCTGTTTTCTTCTTGCTAACCAAATTTTTAAATAAAATGCCAATTGTTACTTCTTTAATAATGTTACTGTTATGCCAATTGTTACTTATTCATCACCAACTTTGTTTTCTTTATTTTCTCTTGTTTATTCATCAAAGTTTACAGTATTTTTATGTTCTTTTACCAATAATATAATACAAAGATTATGTAGGTGTTTCAAGTTTTCTATGTTTACTACTAAACAAGATGTTCTGAACTAAAATTGTGACACAGTACGCACGGTATCTCACTTAATGAGGAGGAAGCGAAATTTATTCAGTCAAAACAATTTATTGAATAAATTTATAGACAAGTTGGCTTACTAGTTACAAGCATATAAGAAAGTCGAAACTCTGTGCTTATAGTTCAGCAATCTATTACGGGAAACCTTGTACCGAGAAAAGAAGAAACTGTAAGAAAGGAACCGGTAAGAAACTGCAAGGGCTGCTTTTGCACCCTGTTTAATTTCGTACTGAAAAATAAAAAATGACTTCATTGGACCAAAATGTCACTTTCCACCAAAACAATAAAAAATATATAACAGACAAAAAAAGCATAATAATTCATTCGTCAATCGACTCATTAAAAGCTTATTATAGTTACCGTGGTAGTTATCTTGGACAGTAGTCACACTTCCCGTGGATGCAAAATTAAACTTATGTTAAAAAAACTATTTAATTATAATTGCAAAATGTCAACTTGACAATATATATGGAAATAATTATAAAACACGATTGATATTATTGTAAAACTTTTAAGATATATATTTTGGTACTATAGTTCTTAAAACTATGTAAAATTGGCTATATTAGAGGAAAAAGAAACATATTTATCGAGGTACAATCATATTATAAAATTATATTATTAAATAATATAAATGTGAAAGTTTGTGAGGATGGATGTTGGTTACTCTCATGTAAAAACTACTGAACGGATTTTGATGAAATTTGGAATACGAATAATCTTTTACCCGTGGGAAGCGCCATCATACGCTGGTAACATATGTTATATTTACTATAGTGACGCAACGGAGTCGCAAGAACAAAGAACGCAAGAAATTTTAGATGTCCAACAAAATACGAGCAAAAGATTGCTTAATGATTTATAAATAATTGATAAATTCACGCCACTTTAAAAAAAATATTATTTTCTTGATACTGGCGTGAATTTTTCAATTTAATTAATAATAATCATAAATAGGATTGGTACGTAAGTGTGAAATGAATAGAAGTGTAATAGGTAATAGTTTAGCCATGCCCCTAACAATGAAAATTATATTATATTATTTAATAAGTAGTAGTATTGTAGCAGTTTCACGAAATACTAACTTTTATTTAATATGACTTCAATGTCGATACAAATATCGATATCTTGGGTCACGCCCTATGACAATCCGCCATCGAAGAATTTGCATTTGAAGTTTAGGCATATACGCTTTTTTCGTAGGTATGGCCGGTCCTCTTCTTTTATGTCTATGATCCTATACCTTGTTCCATTTAAAGTGATGAATGATGTAAACAAACAACTCACCGGAACTATTACGGAGTTTTCCCAATGATCAAACGACGAGATTTTAACACCATTTTTAAAGTAACTTTTGAGAAATTTGCAGTAAAATCAAACCACTGATAGTTCGAAAAAAAAAGACCTAGTGATGGATATAAAGAGCATATAAACGAGTTATTGAAAGAGCAACTCGGTCAGGCATATTGATAAAATAATTTTGGTTTTTGTAGTAAATATATATAAAAATATATTTGGCGTAAAAAAAATTACTTAATAAAATTAATTAATTAATTTAAATCTTCAGTGAAATAAGTATAAATAAAAAAGTTTGAAAGAAATAATTTCTTTGCATTAATTTCAACATTTGTGTCATGCACAGTAACAATTGTCACTACAAAAAATCAACTGCACTGTAATATTTTGTTCAAATTATTATGCGTACAGTTGTTTGTTTCTATGGGATTGTCTCAAACGACGCGAAGGCGAACAAATGTGTGGGGCGTGCGGCAGTTAACGCTGAATCTCATGTTGTGCATTTGTTCGTTCAATCTGGACTAGGGTTGCCACTGTACTATAACATATAATTTTGTGCTTTATTTGGGTAAGGTGTACTTATAAGATAAGCTGTCCCACTTAAAAAACTGAAGTATCTGAAAGTAGTCATCGGTAAAAAGAAAGAAAAATGTTTAAAAATGTCTACCAGCGTTAGGTACTTTGAGATCTCAGAGTACGAATATCCAGTATAGCATTGTGAACGCAACGCTATCTAATATAATATATATTTTTTTAACAGTTCTTCTAAGCTTTTTTAAAATGATTTTGTCCATTCCAAATATTACTTCATTTTAAATCCTTCTCAGCCGGGCGCCAATGTTAGGGTGATAGGGTGGCGTTAGGGTAGAATCATTATTATATAATATCTATTACAGTTGAAAAAATACTCTCCATTGACATTACAGGCTACGATGGAATGGACATGCTTCAAAATCACTAAATGAAATAAAAAATCATGCACTGCGAATATTTGGCAAAAAGGAAGGCATCGTGCTCTACTCACTGTTGAGTTTTTGGCCGGGAATGCCGGTAATGATGCATATAATGATGATGCATCTACCACATGATTTAATGAAAACCGTTGTTATACCAATAGTCAAAAATAGAACGGGGGATTTATCTGATAAAAATAACTACAGACCAATTTCACTCGCTACTATAATGGCAAAAATATTAGATCGTCTACTAGATAAGCAGTTGGTGAAGCATTTAAAATTTCATGATCCGCAATTCGGGTTTAAGCCTGCACTGTCCACAGAAAGTGCTATATTAAACTTTAAATATGTTACTAAGTATTATGTAGACAGACAGATACCGGTTTTTGCATGTTTTCTAGATCTCTCGCGGGCTTTCGACACAGTATGCTATGACATAGCATATATAGCACATTACGTGAAACTAACGTGCCAAAGGAAATATCTTCTATTTTTGAATATTGGTATGGTAATCGACTACTGATATATCAACTTTTTGGATTACATTCTATATGATATTTTTCTTTATCGATATTGCTGTTTCTTCGATATCGATTTTTTAGGTCTTGATGTCCGTATCATTACTGTACTCTTTGTATATCGGTACATCCCCTACTAGCGAGCGATGTGGAATGTCGATATGTCAGTTCAATCCATAAACACAGACCACAGACTTCAAGTAAGTTTTGGCAGAATTTCTTTGTGTAGTTCAATCTCAATGTTTGTGTTGTAAATTTTAAAATATATTTTATTTAAATATGAAAAGACACAAAAAGAATGTATTTGCCGAGAAATTTCGATTGCTCAATAGCCAGGGCTCTACAGAAGAAATAAACTGGTCATCTAGTGATTCTAATGAATTCGAAAATATCTCTACTAATGTAGACAAACTGCACAAAGTATCACACACGCGAAAGCGAAAACGTAAACAAAAAGTGCCCAAAAACATTTCCAATTTAAGTGTTACTTTTGTCGACGCATCTAAAACTACTAAGGATGCACATAATACAAACTTAGAAGTTTCAGAAAATTCGGAAAAAGATGCACAATCTAGTCCTATTTTGGGCAATATTCAATATTTCCCTCCGTACAAAGCTTCAAATGTAACTACTTCACCTGTATTAATTCCTAAAGTTATAGCGCCAAAGTCAAAAGTTGAAAATTCATTAAAAAGCCCTATTCTAATTCTGAAAGCAGTATCACCTAAAGTTTCCCCAAAAGTAAAGAAAAAGCTATTCAATTTTGCTTCTAGCAACTATGAAACATACACATCTAAATTAACAAACAAGAGCACAACAAACAACTGTTTAGATAGAAGAAAATTAAGTAATGAATTATGTCATTTAAAAAGTCAAAGTTCAAATGAAGGACTAGACCAAAATCACACATGTGTTAAAGCTTTACATTCAAATGAAATCATATTAAATAATGATAAAACTAAACATTCAATCTGTCTAGTTGATGATTTTAAAATTAACAACATAAAACAAGAATTAAATGAAAATGACAAACAAAACATAAATTACACTATACAAGAAACCCCAGAGCTAAATCTAGATGATAGTATGGCAATGCTTAAAACAAACAGCAAAGACTTGGCCAAAAAGGTGAAATCCTATTTAGATTGTGATTTTAGCTCTGAAACTGCTTCACAGATTACTATAAGTGATTTAACAACTCCAAACAATAGCTCCAAGGCTAGCGATGACATTGAAATAATAAGCACAATAACACAAGTTCCTTCAAACAGAAATAGTTCTGAATCTATACAGGAGTTACCAGAAGATATGAACAAAAAAGAGAAAAAGTTGAAATATAGAAAGGATGGCTTAGCATATCGCTTGAACAACTTATTAAAAAAGCAAACTGCAAGTACTTCTCTCTGGCAACATGAAAGATTCATGGCAGCTAATTCAAACTTTGTCATTCCAAAAGGAGAGTACAAGCCTTTTAGAATTTGTAAACAAGATTTTAAATATGGCTCTTATTTGTTAGAAACCATGGATTTCAATGATGACAAATTTTTAATTTTAATCAACAAATCTTTTGTATCATATTATAACATAAAAGTAAATGCAATATTGAAGTTGTATGAGCCTTATAAAATTATAGAATTTAATGATGACTGTAAATTGATTCTTAATGTTTGTAAATTTGAATGTGTAGAGATAGATGATATAAATATTTGATATAATAATAATAAATGTAAATAAATCTTTGTATTTTATAATTTCATTGCTTTTTGTAATATTAACTCATAGATTGACTGAAATTGATATCTATTAGTAAACAAAAAAATGGAATCAGGTTGGTCAATAATTAGTAACATTTCAAAAGCATGGTGGTAAGTATGGTATTAGGATAGTTAATGAAGATCCTAGCTAAAAACTTTAATGCTGTTTTTCGTCTGTTTTTCTATGTGCAGTGGCGCTTAAAAGTTTTATGGCGCTAGGCAAGTGCCAAAGAGAATTTACGTTTAGGGGGGCATTCCCAATGGCTGGCCCGGCAATATACTCGGGTTTCCGGGTGTCATTCCCGATGAAGAGTATGCCCAGGGTGTTTAGTGGCTAGGCTCGCGCCCTCAGTGTGGGAGAGTCCCACACACCCTGACCTTTACTCCATAGGGCAATTTATTACTTTAAGAGATGTGCAAGTGCCCCATTATCGGGTTGAGCGACATCTTGTGGTTATAAAGTTGAGGAAAACAACTTAGTACCGAAGTCTTCCATTCATTTTATTCGTAAAATGTTGATACTTTGTAGCGCTCTTCTTTCCTCTGTAAAGTAAAAATAATTAATTTCAATTTGTTTTGTACGAAGAAATAACGCTCAATAAGCTGTAGGTTAAAAATATGAAAATTTCAAAACATCAGCTTAATACCGATACCTAATTATAAATTATCGCTATAGAAAAAAAAATGTAAAGTTTTTGGGCTTTATGGAAAACTTTACAATAATCATAATAGTTTCAAGTAAATACATAATTAAAAATAGTTTTTTTCGCGCAATACACCAATTTATGCCTATCTATTTCTATTTATTGACGCGCATTGATTTTTGCTTCAGTAATAAACATCGTCCACCATAATGCTTTGACCAGCTATGACCATATGGCGACGTTGGTGCTGAGTACCAGTAAACATTAATTTCCCCACACAATAGGGAGATCTACAGCAATACGTTGGCAACACCACAGGAAAATCGTTCATGTGTTCGACTTTACGCAATTTCAGTCTGCCTCAGTCGATATTTCTCCCAAAGCTGTTTAACGCGCGTGGTAAAATCGAAAGCTCTATTCAGTTTGTTAACCACATATTTGTGATAAATCTTTTGATAAAGATAGTTTTCTATGTTAGTCGGCATTTACAGCCAAATGTTTTAATAAATATCTAGATTTGTAATGTGGTATTAGCTGTGAGATAATTTATTGATTTGTACAGTACAACATTTATTTTTGACACTAACATACAGGTGAGTTAAGTATGAAACAAATAAATATTTACTATATATTTTCTTATAGTAGATATTTATTTAATAGATCCGATGATAATATTGCAAGCCTCGATGTCACTATTTCAGTCAATTAGTGACGGGAAGTTAGGAGTATATTTTTTATTATTTAATGCTTCGCCCGACTTTAATTAGGATAAGTGATTTTTACATGTAGATATTGTAACCAGTGCTGGATTAACTTGGAGCGGGACCTGTAGCAAATCTTGGTAAGCCCGTGGTTATCTTGAGATTAATTGAGAAATAAAATAAAACTCTTACAAACACATTTAAGGAACTTTAACTTAAGGAGGTTTAACAACAAAATATAGTAGGTACGTTATGGTTAACGACTTTTAAAAAAATTGTGGGCATTCTTGCAATCACTAATATATGTATATTTCGTAATAATGATAAACAGTAAAATCTTCCTTTGCTTTCCGAATAACACAACATGACGAATTTGTGATTTAAGTTTTATATGATAATAATAATAATATAATAAAATCATTATTTGCAGAAATATGGCTTTACAATTTATTAAAAAAAATTAAATGCCCAGCATATTTTCTCGTCAGCACGACGTGCAAATATTACAAGTCATCCATGTCATCTATTAAATAAATACAAAAATGTCAATATAATTAAAAAAAAAACAAAATTATCAATAAAATTGATAATAAAAAAAAATTAAATGTCAGCATCTCTATCAAATAATTAAAAAATAAATAAATACAATAATGTCAATTATAATTACAGGAAGTTTATATAACTACTATAAATTATCAAATGTCAATGTTTTCATTGTTAGAAATACAAATTTACGATTATATGTCACATTTTTATCTTTAAAGAAGTCATTTATTGCATAATATAATTTGTCGATTAAAAAATGAGTAGGTATATGAGTTTAGTCAGAAGCGTGGCTTATTTTATTTCTTGCATTTTGTAACACTAACTATAAAAAATAATTTGTTGGTAAGACCATAGCGTGGCTCCCAATTGCGCGGGGCTCATGGTATTTGTTACTTTTGACACGTAGCTAATCCGGCCCTGATTGACAATTACCAACACATTTTGTCTCTTAAAAAATTAACTATAATAATTGGTAACTGAAGAATATCCACTGATTCTGGAAATTCCCAATTCGGAAAAAGCATGCTCAAGTGTTACAAATAACAAATGAAAAAGCCGACCATGTGCGAGTCGTTCTTCCGTAGCATTATCCATTTTTAGTTATAGCGGCAAATATATCATCTGTAAAAATTTCAGAGTCGAAAGCGCCAGTGGAACTAGAACCGCCTGTTTTAAAATAGAATAAAATAGATATTCAGGGGGCTCCCATATAAAAACCGTGTTTCCCAAACAGAAACAAAGAAATCTTTCCTCGTTATAATAACATAGACTAGCTGTCACATTACTTTGCCTGCGTAAATTATAGTCCAAGGTCCGGTTTCTGAATTGAGAAAAAAAAAACAACATTTTAATTAATTAGTCTCGATAACTTGTTTTTACGTTTCAAGCCAAAAAATCCAAGTTTCAAACTGTTAACAACTGATCATATAAAAAAAATAAGATCAGAAACGAAAACCTGCTGAAGTGGCGTTTATGAGAAGTTTGAGACGTTCTTAACTTTAATTTCTTAATTCAGAAACCGGGTGTATGTCATCCTGATTATCATACGAGGTTCCCATTAGTGAAAGTATATTCAAAAGGGTTCAGTAGTGTCGGAGCATATTCTATACAGACTAACAGTTAATTTCCTCTTTGTAAGTGTAGATAGATTCACCAAAGGTTCTTCCGTTATCCCATACAATATTATAGCAGCTAGACGCACCGCACACATCCATATAACCGCACTACAGGTTATTTGTGAACCGCACGAATGTTTATTTTCGCGTCTATTTACATCATCAGTTTGAATTATCCAAAATTACATCCGTTTAGTAACAGTGCGTGCCACGAATATGAAGTGAATCCACAACAGACGGTCGTTTGACTTGTGCAGTAGGGATTTATGCTAAATTTACCTGTGTATATCCTCCCACTGGGCAAGTCAAATGACGCACTAGACTTTTACTGGCATTACTCTTTATAATTTTCATTTTACCTTCTTAATATTCTTTCTAATTTATGTAAGAGCGACAGTAATTGCCCATTCGTTTTTGTGACTTGTTGCCAGTTTGCCGTTTGTATAACATCAACTTATGATAAAATAAATTTCTCTCAGTTGATTTTTATTAAGATTATCATCATTATCATGCGCAAACTGGAAAAAGGAATGGCTTTATATTCATTGCATAACCTTATACGATAGGACGACAAACTGTCAGTATTTATTATATATTATAAATTTCGCAATAAAAATGCTTAAAAATTCACCTGCCCCAGGTCCCCGAGATGGGATTCGAACCCACGAGCCACTGAGCTACCCGAGACACAAGGACTGACGAATTTTCAAGCACTTGTTACTTTTAATCTAAAGTTTAGCTGCCTGAACAATGATGAAAATACGCTCGCTAGTAGCGAAAAGTAACAAATGCTTGAAAAATCCGTCAGTCGTCGGGTTCGAGTCCAATCCCGGGGACTGGTGGATTTTTTAAATCATTTTTCATTAATAATATTTGTCACTAAATACATGAGACAACATACCTACATGAATCATCATACATGGTGCACATAGATTAACACTCTGTTGCATTGGATCTTAACCCATCGCTTGCCAATCGTGGCTTTTTAGGAACCGTAAGTTGTAGGTATGTGTGGTCCCTAGTGTGGTGATGGAGACAACTGGCCAGGGACACTAAAGGATATTGTCTCCCTCCGAGCTAGGTGTTGTTAGCCCGGGGACCGCGGTCCAACCGATGTAGGTTGGACGTTCTATTTATGTTAATTGGTAATGAAACTTATTCTGTGTGATGTAGGTTTCTTTGTTCTAAATGTCTTGTAGTATTAATTTATGATGTTCGTTTTTGGTACAGCGCCATCTCGTTACTTGCTGTTGAAACTTCTTGCAGTTCGTCTTGCTATCGATGGCTGTGACGATGCTAGTCTTCTCGCTATCGATTGTTGTGGCGATGTTACTGCGATTAATTAGATGTCGCTATGTATCAGTCGCCACAGCTTGATCAAACCTCGTGTCTCTACAATTCTACATAAAGATCTGTTTAGTTTAATTTGGCGCGATAAACTCCTTAAATTAACTGTTTTCATGTGATTTTCTTCACCATTCTATTTGATGTCTCTTCTGCTGTTGCACGGGTCTTCCTACAGATAGATAAAAACAGGATAAAGTGTTTGTTTGAGAAAAAATATTGGGACATTAGAATGGTCATCAAAACTAATCAGACTTCAGTTTAAAATATATTATAGTAAAAATAAAAAAATACTATTAAGATGCGGATTGCATTGCGGCCTGTTTTGGGATACCTAGGGCACGAATGGAGCGATTGTCAATAATCTGGACAAAATTAGTAAGTTTAATAATGTTGTCCAATTTCGCTACCCGAACACGGGACAACATCATTGAAATCGGGACTTCCCGAAAATACAGGATGAGTGGCAACCCTGAGTAGGTCACATGTGTATTAAAAAATATCGCCAATAGCAGATACAGCAATAACTACATACTATAGTAATGCATATGGTTTAGGCCTAAAACAAACAGTTCGCTCTGTAATAATTTTATATATCTAACGTAAACACTTCACTCAATTTTGGAAGGTCGATGCTAAATTAATTTTGCCGATTCTATCGTCCGTATCATATAACGAATAACACAGAAATGTGTACATACTTAATAAATTACTGTGTGTAAAGGAGTCCTAATTTCGTGTACCTAGGTGTGTATTTACTTGATCATGGTTAAATGGAGAATTATCATAAATTTATATGTATTTCATTTGTTATTTACTAAGTTTTAAACTAAATTCAACACGGAAGCTCTCCAAATATATAAAAAAGAAATTTCAAAAAGGGTTCATGCACTGATATCAAGTTGAAAGAGTAATTAACTTGTTAAAATTCCAAAGTATTTAAAAAATAAAAATAGAATCTTTTAAAATTCGTTTTGCAAGAGTCTGAAAAAGAAACGTGGTTCTAAGCCATCTTGTTCATAGAGAGTCGTAAGCAATCCTTAGGGTATACCGATGGTATCATTAATATCAGACAGAAAGATAATAGAATGGGAAGAACAAGCAAAATGAATACTTATTTAATAATGATACTGAAAATGCAGCCATTCAGCATGTGTAAGTCTCACGCCAGCCCAGTGCTGAATTTCCGTGGCAACCTCAGGTTTTGAGAGCACTACTATGCCAATTTTATAATAGTAATTAAATATATATACCATAAATATTATAATATGTATAACCAATACATCTACAACCATTCATGTGTAACCTGTGAAAGTTAATAATATTTTATTTGTTCTAGGCCTATTTATTATGGACTCCAGTTTTAGTAGACATGGTAATTTCTTACTGTTGGCGATTGCAGTTTTCCTGTCCTTTATAAATATGGGTATGATAAATCACGTTTTTTTTTTTCGATAAACAAAGCAAGGTAGAGACGGATGTTGAACTTTTGGCGTGGGAATGTATCAAAAAAACAAAATTATCTATCAAATACTTTAATGGTGAATTGGTATTCCTAACTGAATCCTAAAGCTCCGTGCACACTGCAAACGAAAGTCGTAACACAATAGAGTGTATTATGAACGTTTGCAACATAAGAAACCAGGCTTAAATGTATGTACCTAATGACATATAAAGAAATTATGTAAAGTAAAAGTAGGAGTAGAAGCAAGTGGAAATACAAAAGATGAGAGATAATTAATCTATGGTACCTATAACAAATAGATGTAGTTATTTATAAATATGAAATAAGACGAGATGAAATATTATAGGCAAAGACAAGGGTAAAAAGAACAATGCCCATTGACTAGGTGTTTTAAACACCCGATAAAAAGAAAATAAAATGAAAAAAGAAAAGAAAGATAATAATGAAAAAATAATAGCGTGATACAGATTGGGGGTTTAGCAAATTAAATTAAAAAAATATATAAAAACATGAGAAAAAGGATCTTCCGATATTGAACCAATATCAGCTAGACAATAATGATCATGATGACAATGTTCTGCGTTCAGTGGCACAGCAGACAGGCGCGGACATTTTATTTGAAACCGACAAAATATCGGTCATAAGGTTAGATTAAATGTACCAGGCTCCCATAAACCTGCAGTTGTTGTTCCAGCATCCAGCATCGACTGTTTCAAATGCGTATCGATGAACGGCCGATTCCCAGCTTGCGACGACCCATTCCACAATAACCACTCTCTACAGATGCTCGAGTCGCCCTGCATGGGCGGCAGGAAAGGAAGAGATGGCTTATTCCCGGCGACCTCCTGCATTAAGATCGCTGGTGTCTTCGGTAAATTGTCTTAATATACACACTACTTTATCTATTATAATAATGTAAGCATTTTGATATCAATGCCTTGCAAAGCAGCCTGGTCTGGCGATGTTATGTGTTTGCCCGTTCACAAACCAGTCGCGTAACTACAGGGTGGCAAGTCGGCACAATGTCACGGGCCCCGGTCAGAGGAGACTCCTTACTCCTGACATTTATTATTACACAAATAGTAAAAGAAAAAAAGAATATCCGAAGAATTGGCCCAGGGTCTCAAGCGGTATAGTTACGCCACTGTTATAAACTAAAAACAATTGGACATTCTTTTGTTTTTTTTTTATAAATTTCTAATATTCTTCAATTCTGTTCTTCTTGAATATTTGTACAGTTCAAACCGCACAAAAGTATGTTTCATTTTCATATAGTATTTTTTTTTATTTGATTATTAGTTACCGTGTACCTTTACTCAAAACAAATTATTTTATCATTTAGCAAAAAAATCAAAATTCGACAAATAATTTCTATCAATTGCACTCTCCGTATCATTCCTTATAAAAACTAAAAATTGTGTGGTAGTAGCTCATACAACTTTATGGTTGTTCATAAACAAGGTAACTATGTATGTAATAATAATGTACATAGCTAACATATGTATAATAAACATAACTAAAAGCTCGCCGTTATACACTTTTATAGATTCCTACATGTAAAGTCCTTAAGTGTGGCAAATCCTGGCCAATCAAAATGATTCAAGTCGGACAAAAATAGAGTACTAGCGAATTACTTATCATGATACCTATAAAAGACGCTTTACAGAAAACATCCAGCCATGCCATGACAATGAATGAAAACACACATTAAGAAAGTAGAGATTCATTTAAATTTTTTATTTCTTTAATTTCTCTTGCAGATGATACTGGAGAGACAATCACAGTCCGAGGCTGTGGACTAGACTCAGGCACAGCAACCACTGACACGGAAATCATCAGAATGTCCCACTGTGGCCGATTCTATTATGACGACAGGTAATACACATGTTCTTATGCAGCAAGGTGATAATTAGTAGCAAAGAAAATATTATACTGCTTAACAAGAAGCGACATTTCATTCTTGTGCGCTCGTAAAAGTGCTCGCAATTTTCTGTGTCGCAACTTTGGATGCAGAACGGTTAGCGGGATATCGACTTGGATGTGTTAACAAGTAAATGTTATAAAGAACAACTAAAAGAAAGAAAGACAATAAAAAAAATCCAGTAGTAGGCTTGGCTTGGATTTAAAGATTTATTTTCTTTTTAAAGATATATAAGCAGCTCTATAGATACGCTAGTTTTTTGGTGAGATATATTATATAGGTTCATTTACAATTTCTTGGGTCAACGACATTCAGTAGATTCAATATTCATTGTAAAATCCTTTAACTATAACACAATTATTCCTATCTTTAAGATATGTCCACGGTTGTCTACAAAGCTGCAACGATGCTGACGCCTGCAACTCGTCTCGTAAAATGCGTTCCACATCACTTCTCTCGCTTATAACATTTACACTGATGGCGCTTGTTTGCAAAAGCTAACAGAGATTTGGCGGGAAATGTAGTGTTACCAACGCGCTTGCTGAAGTAATCTAATTTTTCAATTATAAATTATCACGAATCGACCGTCAAATACGCTTTATATAAATAAATTATCCTTTAACTCTTTAACGCACTGGTAAAAGTTAAAATATTATCAGCATAACAATTATGTTATCAAGTTTATTGATAGAAAAAGCTTTCGCGCCAAAATCAATTAAAAAGAATGAAAATATATCATACTTTGATATCTTCATTGACATGAATAGAGAAAAATGTCTACTATTAAGTTAACGTTAAGAGTGCACCTGACGCTGGAATATAATTACATTTCCAACTCTTGTTCCGCATCCATAATGATGAAGAACCTATGCCTCCGACAAAGAAATAAGATAATATGCGTGGAGATTAGAAAGAAAGCGACACAAAGATAATTTTTATTTATTTACTTACTTCAAAACAATTACGATTAAGTATTGTAATAATATAATTATCGTATTTTCTTTTAATGAAAAAACTTAATCGACATAATAAGCAAGAGGGCACAATAAGATTATAGTTATATAAGAAATAAACATATCGCACTAAGTATTTTATTATTAATCTTGATGTTTTAAAATGTTTCGTACACAACATCGCTTATTTTCATACTCTTGATTTTTCAAATCTTTATGGTCTAAGGTACTTGATGAAAATGAATATAGTATTTACTATATAGCATTATTATACTGGCAAAGAGCTTCACCAAAGTTTTTTCTGTTTGTACGAATTAATGAGTAAATCATATGTTTCAACGTAGGTTTATTGAAAAGTCATAAAGGTGAAAAGAAAAAGAGATGAAATTCCGAAGCCAATAAATGAGTGAGAAAGAAATAGATGATAGAAATTTCATATCTTTGTGTTTGTGATATCATAAATAAACATGTTTCAGTGATGACTGATGACGAATACTTAACATCAACATTATTAAAAGTAGAAATGTTTATTGAAAAGAGGTACCTATATCATGAAAAATTTGAGGAAGGTTCAAAAATAACTTTAGATAAATCTAAACACAAGATTTATCATATCTTGCCGTGGTAATGTAAACGTGTTATTGATAATAAATTGGTATGTGGAAATAAATTCATTTATAGATAGATCAAATGAATAATAACAAACAGACTATCGCAAAGTACAATGATGTACCTTGTTTTTTAAATTTTTCAGAAGAACCTGTGAAAGCTTTTACGCAAAGTGGTAATACATTTTAAAACAAATAAAATTGCCGTAACGATAGCAGGGGTTGGTGCGTATTTGATCGTTTATCCGGTTTCTTTTTGTAACGATACTTCTATTAAGGGGAAAATTAATAAATATGCAAGTCATTTTGTAGCTGAATGGAAAAGAGAAAGCAATAACCAAAGAAAAGCGTGTATAAACTATTTTTTTCTTTAGACTCTTGTACCTAATTATTGGATTTTTGAGATCTTGATGTTTTTGTTTTGGGACCTGAGAAATGTATGTGATGTCATCCAAGGGGCCGTTCATTATTCACGTGAAATTTTTTTCAGCAGTTTTTAACCCGGCCTCCCCCATGGTGATACACGGTGGGGTTTAAGACTACACCCCTCCACTCAGATCACGCGAATTTTAGTACCTACAAAAAAATCTTAATTTTTTGACGCCGCCTTCGGTTAAAATCGCGCGTTTGGTTAAAAAATAAATACACGCGATTTATAGCTACATAACCCTTCCCCCTAGTGATATTTCGTGATTTTTGACGAATCCCCTTCCCCTTTTTGAGCCTCACGTGATTATTGGCCCTTAATATGTATTTAATAAATGGATGGCAAATAATAAACGTTGACGATATGTTTATGCCACGATATGGCATAAACATGTGTCTTATAATACTGTCAATTTCATCTCGTTTTCACTTTACCGTCATGCTCATGCGCAAAGAAAAATATCCAACTTTCAAAGATTAACAAACTCAGATGAAATGTAGAAGGCGATTTGAAATAAAAATCATGAACATTGTAATAACATTAGAAATATTCCTGATAACATCTTATATTCTGTAATCATTTTGATTATGATTAAATATTTTATCTTAATTGCATATTCATTGATTTAGATAAATATAAGCTGTGACATATTGATGAAATTGTAAAATTTTGACATACCAAATGTGACATACATGTCACACAATGGTCAATTTGAAATAAATAAATATAATAAAAACAGCCTTGAGCTCATCGTCGATCACAGCGCTATCACAACATTGAGGTTCATTGAAATAAACCTCATTTTTACTTTTTGAAGTAGTTTTTATTTGAGTATGGTCATTCAATCATTAAAAAACTACTGCCAACGCAGTGACAACGGTGTGCTCGAAGCAGAGTTAAACGCTAATGTCACCGATTTTGTGTTTTCTCTACGATTTTTATGGAATCAGCGAGAATAATTGTTATTTAAAGCTTTTAATGGGATGTGACCGCCTAATTCTCTAGCCATAGGCAATATCTTAGCGATATTTCGATTAATTTTATTACTTTTTATTAAGTAGTTATACAAGTAACAACTAAGTTGGTAACACTACTGTTAAATAGAGTCATCATTTTATCATTCGTTTATCGTTATTAAACGTATTTAAGCAGTAAAACGAAACGAATTGTCGCCATAACATCGCTAAGATGTCGTATTCTATAGTTAGTCATGGCTAGCGAGTTACGCTAAAATTGAGCCCGAACCCGAATTAAGATTGAAATCGTTTTTATGTGCAAAGCACTCTATATACTAAGAATAGGTTTATTAACTAGAATTAATTATGTATTAATATTTATAATTTACTTTTATCATAGTATAATTATTATACCTCGTTGGCCTCATAAATGTTAACTATTTCTGGGATTATTTTTTCTTGGCTGTGATATTTACTTTAGCTGTTATTTTAAAGCTTTTTATCACTTTGACAATGTATATTAAAATAAAATTAGATAAGCATGAGGGTGAATTACTTAAAGTTGTTACCACAAAGTTTAAAATATGAAAATTTGTTTTTTTTTTAGATGATCGCTCAATATTTTCGTCGAACATTAAAGTTATTAATTCCGGTCGCTTCACACTGACTTTATGACCCATTTACACGGTCAATAGCCTAGACAATCCAGTAAGCCAGTCAAAATTAACAACCTATTTCATTGGACTGGCATGATCTCTGGCTCGAGGATTATTTCGATTTACTTTACGTATATCAATTACTGACAAGATGTGAAGTACTCTGCTGTTTCTTAACAGGGAGGGTACACGGAGGGCGTTTAGTCGGTATGCCATCCACGTTTCGACTAGCTTTCGGAAGGGTCCGTACGAATGGAGTTTTCTACACACCTAACGCCTGTCAAGCCTCGGGGAATTATTTTGTTGCAATTATTATTATGATATCATTATAAGATCCTCCTTAACCATCCATAAGGAAGGCCTGAGCCCTTGCAGTGGGGACGTAACAGGGCCGATGAGGAAGGTTTTTTTTCTTATAACATATTCATCTGGTGATAGCATGGCTTTTGTGAATGTCGTTGTTTCCATTAGAGATGGTGAGATTCTTGCTCGTTCTTATCAACCAAAAGGCGTCCTGAACGAGTGGTGAGGAAAAAAATTTTGGACAATTCAAAAGGATCTATCTTTTATAGACTTCTTCTATTTGGATAAAGATATTTTTTTTACTTTCCCCTGCGATAAAAAAGCTTATGCTGGCCTTGCTTACTGGATTCTATCAGCTACAATGGCCTCGTATTAATAATTATCTTTTGAGTTTAATGCAATTTGGGTATACTCGAGTGCGTCAACAATTTTTTCATTAAAAATATAGCCTAATCATTATCAGTGCTATTAATAAACAAGGTTTAGCGTTGAGTAAGTTTCGCTGAGACTGCACTTTATTAATTAAACTTCACATTAGAGGGCCCTATGAGAGGTTCTACGGGAGTAATATTTACTCCTAGAAGGAATAGATTTGCTTATTCTCTATATAATATGAATTTGAACGAATACTAACATTGCAAATTTATCGTACAATTGCTGTGACGCTAAACCTTGTTTATTAATAGCTCTATATGTGTATTACATAAGCAAAGCTCTAATGTATTTCTCTTAGCAAACGCTTCCACGGGCACGCAAGGCAATTTATTTGAATAGGTTAATAAAAATATGTAATTAAGTATATTGTTGGTAGGTACAATGTTGATTCACTTATGTACTTAAGTGTACTTTATTGTGACAGTAGTTTTAGGCAATTTTCACGAACGAATACCTATACTGTCGATTTTATAGGCAAAAAACACTATTTTGTAAAATGACACTATTTACCTACACTATCGGAAAAAATAAAGTTGTGTCATTTGATTATTATAATGTAATACTGTAAATGCTTTTATAAATAATTTATTATTTCATTAAGAATACTTTTATAAAATCAGCATAAGTGTATTATTTTATTTCCCTACTATTATACCCATGTAATATAGACAAAGTAGACAAAGACGGTGAAAAATAACTTGTTGGTTCGTGTTCGAGTGACTCGTACGCCGGTTGCATTGTGTCGCCGTCTCTGAGGTGCTATATTAGATTCCCGGTCGAGTCAATGTAAAAATTTTGCCTCTCGTTATTGTTTATAAATTATATTTAGACAGCCAGTGTCATTTCACCGTTAAAGTTAGTAAATAATTATTCTAAGTAGAATATAGCAATCACTACAAACTTGATAAAAGTCATAATTTTTTATTAATGGAACCAAATACATAAATTGTTTATAGACAAATACATTGATTTCAATTAAAAATATTTTTTGTTGAATATGTGCCCTTAATTATTTTGGAATGTAACCGCATAACACGCTAGCCATAAGATTAAACCTTTGCTGCCATGTTTTTAATTGTTCTTTCGCTGGATCTTCTTCTTCACAACTTTAATACTTAACGCAAAAACCACAATTCTGTCAACTTCACGTAAGAGACCACTAAAGGATTTATATACATTCATTCGACCAAAGAAATTTGAATAAACGACTCAGTTAGTAAAACAGCTGTCAAAATCATTATCATCCTTCATCGTTATTAAAGTACATTTCAAATTAGTTAAATGAAATAGCGCTATAACATTGTTAATTTGTCGTATCCTATGGCTATAGATAGGCTGTCTCACCTCTGAGCTTGCTTTTTCAATGACAGAGGAAAGTAATCTAATATGGAATATAATCCTTAATCTTCAAATCTACGTAACTTGGCTATTTGTCCCTATTTCGCAACGGACTAATAAATAAGAGACTAATTGGATTAAGAATTAATTTCTAAATTAACTCAAGGTGGCGCTGCTGGCATTACGGACACCGTTTAAGGCCTTTTCTAACTCCGCTACTATAAATCGAATACCATTCAGCTCCACATTAATATCGTTTCGTATTATACAATGGCAAAAAACTGATTATTTATAGATTCGTCACGTCTGTCTGTCCATTGAAATGAGATAACTATTTGAGGCAACATTTCTATCAAGTAAAAAACTGAGTAAAACGAGTTATGAAATAAATAAAAAAAATATGTTTACATAATGTGTGAATTAAATAAAAGTGTACAGAAATCTATTTCTATTGTTTCCAAACATTTTCCTGCTACATCCGCTTCGATTCATCCGGTAACGCTCTTGCAACCGGCTCCGGTGACGCGATTTCCGGCGAAATCGTTTCCGACGCGTCCGTGACAAAATTGTCGTCGTCATACATATCTGGTGAAGAAAAATATGTATGGAATAGAATAATTAATTATTAAAATGGGCAGTCGCGTAGAGGATCATCTCGAGTGACACTGGTTATATATATTTTTAATATCCAATATGGCGGGTGATAATTTAAAAATATGAACTTCTGACCTTTTATTATATTTGATCAAATTTTCATTCACAGTGCTATATTTAAAAATATTCTGAGTGAAAAATACTTGAAAATCGTCTTTGTTCCTGGCACTCTATAGGATGCAACTGGATAGGACTGGAATCCACGACCTTTCGCTCTTTAGCACGAAATACGCTTGTTGGAAGCGAAAAAGTAACAAGTGTTTGAAAAGTTCGTTAGCCCTGTTAGATTATTGATAGCTTTGATTGCGAAAGGTGGATTCGAGTCCCATCACAGAGTGCCAGAACCGAAGTGAATTTCTTAAGGATTTTTCATTAAGAATATTTCTGACTTTTTTCTATAATAATATTATAAAGTTTCTAAATTTCATGTTTGTAGGGATTAATTTTTCGGAAATACTGATCCAGTCATGATTTCTTCACCTACCGGAAGCTACATCATACGCGAGTGACATAGACATAATTTACATGGGACAAGTCGCTGGAAATCATCTAGTTATTATAATCACGTGATCAATGAATAGATAATTTTGATTATGGCTCACCGGGACTAGGTGTAGGGCTGGTGTCACACTTGCAGCGGCGCATGTCCTCCAGGATCCTAACCTCTGAGGGCAGCAGTGTGCCCAACTCTCTATTCGCTTCAAGATCATCTGCAAAATAGAACATTAATAAGGATTAATAATAAGGATTAATAAGGAGAACATTAATAAGGATCTTTAACACTATCCGCAAAAGAATAGTGTCCACTTTTCATACATTAATCGACCAGGGAGATTTGTAATTTATTGATAATGTTTTGAGGTTATATCAGCTGTCAAAACTCGGGATTGATTGTGAAGCTACTTTAAAAATTAATCCATTAAATTAAAGCTTTTTATAGTTTGACTCGTAAATGTAAAAATAAATGAATATGTAATTGTTAATGTGCACTAGTTATGCACTTGTAAAATCTTACTTAAACCAGTATTTCTCAAATTATGGAACGAGTCCCACTATAGAGTGGGCCCTTTGAGCCATTCGCCACTACATAACACATATTTATTTCCTGTTTTTCTTTAGAACAGAGCTAAGAGATTAGAAAGTTTTGTTAGATGGGTCGGACCCCAATCAACTTTGGGGACCAATGCATTAAAAAAAAGTATGTAGTTTTCTCATTTTTATTTATACCTTATTCGGACTCAATATCCAATCGAAAGTTAGTGATATAGTCCAGGAAAGAACAAAGGGTAAAGCATGAACTCACCTGTAGCTATGCGTACTTTAATTTTGTTTTCCTCATCACATTTACACGATGGGTCCAATCTGAACGCCTCGTCCTGTATACGTCGTCTTATCTCTGACGGAAGTTCTTTTGGGCCTACGACGAATACACACTGTGTTATGGATCGGATTTATTATACGAGAGTGGATTGAAAAGTTCGCGGCCTCAGTAAGAAAACAATATAAAATATAAGCAAAAGTAATTTTATTTTTCCACGTAATCTCCACTTAACTCCAATTTTTCTGATTCTAAAAATGCTTTACAAGCATTAGAAAAGTTTCCTTTTAAATCCCGTTTCTCTAACACGTATTTAATTGAATGAAGGAAATTATTATTTAACTGTAAAATAAAAGGTTTAAAAATTTGGTTTTGTGTGGATACCTGGCCATCATAATATTACTGGTAACGAAATAGCAGACAAACTTGCTAAAGATGCGGTGGAATGTGGTGATGTTTTGCCTCATAAAAAATTAATACTAGATCTTGCCATTACTTTACTTCAAGCCATTATACTAAAGGTAGAACGTACAAATCTATTCAGGAGTCAATACCTCACGACCCATGTTTTTTTCGAATTTTATATGAGAAATTTGAACCGAACATAAAAAACGAGCATAAAAATCAAGTTTGTAATATGAGAGCCTTCTTAAATAATTATTTTATTCTGGTTTTTAGTATATGTTGTTATAGCGGCAACAGAAATACATTATCTGTGGAAAGTTCAACTGTCTAACTTTCACGGTTCATAAGATACTACAGCCTGGTGATAGACAGACATCGAAGTGATAGTCAGCCTGGTGATAGACAAAAATCTTTGGGTAACGGTTCCGCGTTTAGAAAAATATCTGATTTAGTATTTCTTTTCAAATTGATAAATTCTAATATAATTGATTCTTTCTATATAAAATTAAAAATCGTTCTCTTCACGTTCGATAGAAATATTTGGACCACCACATTATCGCAAAAACTATACCTGCAATAGTTATTTTTGTGGTTGTTTTAAAATGTATAAGAGCCAATTTTTCAATATTGACCTGTTTTGTAATATTTCAAAAAGTATTAAGTCTAAAATCTTTAATATGTTACAATTATCAACTTTTAATTTTAGGTATCCTAACTACACTTCATATACGCTATTGGAATTTTGTAAAACAATAAACGTTTAAAAGATGTTATTTACTTTGTAACTCATGTTGTACTTTTTGTATTAAGTAATTCTTGGTACTTTTTGTTTACAATATATTGTATTCTATAATATCTTTAACATTGAAATGTTTAATTACTGTTTGTGCCAAAATAAAGAGAAAAAAAATAGGAACCCTAACGCATACATTTTTACCAAGGTTTGAGACAGTCAAACGATGACGTCTTTTAGTTTTGTAGTTTAAAAAATTTAAAGTTCGGTAGTTTTATCATTTTTATTGACTTTCGTGTGTTAAAAACTTATAAAAAAGCAATTACTTATGAAACTGCCTCAGTAGCCGCGTGTGTAGTTCGCGTGTCGGTTTCAAGGTGTAGCCATCATAGAGGTTCCGGGTTCGATTACCGGCCAAGTCAAGTTGATTTAGATATTCCAAAATACGAGTGCTTAAGATACTCATCTTGGGATCCGAGTAACAATATGTGAAGACGTCAAATATTTATTTTATATTTTAAATAGTAGAAATATGTGAACACAAATTTAAAAATGGTTTCCAAAAAGAGAGGTATTAAAGATCAAATGTTATTTATGATATAAGTTATTTAAGCTGTGAAGTTGCTGGTGTTTCTTCTAACAAATAAGCTGTTCTAGAATAAAACGCTGAAGTAATTTTATTTATTTAAAAACGGCATTAAAATTGGCTAAGTGCAAAATATATAAATAGCGGTTTTATTTTGGAATAGCCGAAACGACACTAGAACTAGAATACATATAGGTGGCATTAGGTATACTTGAAATAGTTATTTGTAAAAAAAACACATATCAACTGAAGTTTTACATATGTGTTAAACTTCTTTGCGGTTACAATTTAACGTTATCAACAATGGGATGGGTGGGCGGTACTTACAGGTCTGCTTGTGGAAGGGCTCAGATCTATCGAGGGCCTCGCCAATGATCTTCTTCATGTAGTGATGGTAGCTCGGATGATGAGGTTCCTCATAGGCGCCGGTAGCGCGATCGAATACTGAGACAAAAACAATATAATCTCTTGTCTTTAATAATCGTAGTTGAAATTCAAAATAATACTGTGTCACTTAACGTTAATTCGAGTATATGAGCTCGATGGCACAGTGGCTAGTGCTTTCGGTCTGCTATATGAATTTCGCTAAGGCCGATCATAGGACGGGTGATCAAAACGTAATTATTTCGAGCTCCTTCATGATTCATCGGCACGTTAAGCCATTGGTTGCTCAATTGCTATTTTTTTGTTTTTCTTTTTGGTCAAAAACGATTTCTTAAAAAGATTGCAAACTGCTCATGAAGATTTTTATTACTTAAGCACCATCGGATAGGAGATTTTTTACTTTGCTTATTTCCAATAATAAATGTGTGCTGTTTTTTAACCCTAACTGCAGAATCCGAGATTTTAGACTCCTCCCCTCGTCCTAACGCTCATACATTGAACAAGTATCTAATTTATTACAATATCATGTTTAATCTCAGGTAGGTAGAAGTATTTATTCTAATATTATTTTTAGGAAATTAAACCTCTTTTCTGACTCATTCGAAACGAGCCACAGACAACGCTCATCACTGTTCATCTTGATTAAAATTAAATCTTACTACAGCTCCTCTCTTATAAGCATTCCTCGTCTTTTTTCTAAAAGAGGGTACCCCTTTTGAGCCTCCTTAATTAATCCTCAAGAAGGATGGAGAGCTTAAATCTTGTTCAAATTCTACCTCTTCTCTATTTCCCAAGTATCTCAGTTGTATGACATTCATTTTTTTTCCTGCCCTCTACAATATATAATACTAAACTTTTTATTATTATTAATGTTACTCACTTTCTTCGGCAAAAGATTTAGCGTCCAGAGTGGCTTCGACCCTCTCTTTCACACGTCGAGAGATCTCATGCACTGTCTTTACTCGTTCAGAGCGCGAAGCACGTGAATATGACACCACTGTACATGTAAATTAATGAATGAATGAACGAAAGACTCTTTATTGTACACATCATAAGTAAATGAACAATACATGATAATGTAACAGACGGTACAGTTGGCATCCTTATTGCTACAAAGCAATTTCTTGCAGACAACCTTAATATATAATAAATATGTTACTATTGTGACTTCGTGTACCTTCTCAGAAAAAGTATAAAAAAATTGAATGAAGAACGTCATTAACGATTGATCGATTAATATTAGGCCGTTAATTACGAACTATAATTTTACGCGTATTGAAATTTAAAAAAAAATGTAATTCAGTGATGTTTATTGTCCTTCTTTTACGTAAAAATATTGATTTTCTATGGAACGTTTTGGAGCGACGTGTGTTTTTTTTTCTACTTTCATAGATTTGGCACTATTTGGATGATTAATGAGCAAATTCTTGAAAGGAAACAGATATCCCCAGTTCATGTAGTCGATTAGAAACAAGCTTCATAGGAGTCGCCACACCGCAAACATTGTAATAACACTAGTAACAATTTTGACCAATAAAACTTTGTCATTATTTTTGAATATATCTCGTTTACGTGACAAAAATAACTACATTACATCTAAACTTAAAAAAATATATATTTTTACAAGAAAAACTACCATATTGTGGTCGTATAATAACGACCACTAACGAGTGGTTGAGTTATATACCTGCAGAAAAATGAAAATATTGCCTTCTCGCTTACGAAGAGCGAGCAATCTTTGCTATTAATATTGTGACACAGAAATTTTACCTATTATTCAAAAACATATAATGAGCACTATACATCCAGATAAAGTTTGGTATCTAAAATACAAAGCGAAACGTGAGGTTATCACAAAATTGAATTTACGCAATTGATTCCGGTCTCTACTTACAACGTAGTAAGAGTTAAAATTGATTTGAGAAATTCAGCATTTTTGTATCCTGTTGTACTGCTGACTGCTGCTACTATACATTAGGTGGTTCGGTTTAGCGTTCAAAGTCGACTTATATAGGAAATGTTAAGTGACTGCTCACCTTCGTCAACCAAAATATCGAGCATGCATCTGAAGTCGTGAGCTGGTGGGAATCGTTCGCTGATCGTCCTCTCTGGCGGGGCTGGCCGAGCTTCAAATGAAAGTTATATAAAATAGCTTTACTCAAATAAAAAAAGGAAATAATAACATACACCTTTAGTAGAGTAAATCTATTTAAAAAATTGGTAAAAGTAATATTAACCGATAATAATGAAATTACACAGTATTGAAAAACGAAATATACCTAATTAGATGTTTTTTAAACAACATTGTAACTTAATAACATAGATGTTTCCGCGGTCCAACCTATAGGTTGGACCGCGGTCCCCGGGCTAACAACACTTAACTCGGAGGGAGACAATCATCCTTTAGTCTCCCTTGCCAGTTGTCTACATCATCCAGTAAAACAACATCTTCACCATAACGGTTCCTACAGACGTTTTCGCAGCTGCGAATCCGTTCTGTCAAGGACGCAGCTAATAATAAAGCGAGACAAAGTACATGTGAAATTTCGCAAATGTTACGCATTCGCTTGCGATTGCGTCGGTGTACTAATCGCGTAGTACTAAGATTCGAAAATTAGAGTAGATTAGATCGCTATATACAATACAGTGACGTCATCTCACATCTGGTGTGCTTCCAACGAGGGTCGCGTCTGTACACTGTCTCCGTCGGCTCCAGTTCCAGATGACATTCTCTACAACGGCACAGCTCGTCCAACGGTTGACCGCATCGGATACAGAATGCTGGTAAAAACAATATCTCTATAGGTCAACATCCGTCTAAGAAAATGTAATGAAAACATTTTTTTTAGTAACCCAGCTTAATACAATGTATATCTTTCTCATGACAATTCACACTCATCATCATTACTAGCCTTTATCTCACACTGCTGGGGTACAGGCTTTCTTTATGGATGGAATCGGACCGAATAGGGAGAATGAGCGATAATCCACCACGCGGACCCCGTGCAGAAATGAACCCGGGACCACAAAGATTGCGCCACCTTGAAACTGGGATGCAAGCCAAACGATTACGAAGTTCTCACCTTCCTTTATCTCAGCATCGTCCAATAAGCCAAATATAGTATTTCTGGCGGCCTCCAAGCGTGCCTCTTGCACAGCTGTGATGTGATGACGTGACGCCGCCTTATGGACGCTGGGCAGCAAGAACTGCTGAACTAATTCCGCCACCAGCTCGTTCTGTTCCGCTGTTGACCTTACAATAATCATTTAGAAATTAGTGTAGTGTGGTGACTGATACACAGCAACATCTAACACATCGCCACAACAATCGATAGCAAAACGAACAGCAAGTTGTTTCAACACCCAGTAACGAGATGGCGCTGTACACTACAAAACAATGTAAATTTCGATATAACATTTCGAACAAAGGCAACCTACATCACTCACAATAAGTTTCATTATCAATTCGCGTCAGAACGTCCAACCTACATCGATCAGACCGTATTATAATCCGATGAGCCGAGCCCCCGGGGTTAACGGCTAACATCTCGATGTCACAATTCATGTAGTTGAATAGTGACGTCTGCGCCGCCAGCCCCCGCCCCCTTGCGGGGGGCAATAGCTCCGGTCGAAGGTTCGTTGCCTCCGGCCATGTAACCAGCTGTCTAAGGCGGTGTTTAGTCCGAAGGAGTCTGACATAACCTCACAGCCGGCTGTGTGGTAACTAATCAAGGATTCACCGCCTCCTTCCTCCGCTGGGAGGGTGGTTCCGAACCCCTAAGGTTGAAGGCCCGAAAAAAAATCGATTAGACCGCCGTCCGCTGGCTAACAACACATAGTTCGGAGGGAGATTGCCTCCATCTTTTACCCTCGCCATTTGTCTCCATCATCCAATAGGACCACAGACAATAATTAGACCTTCATGGATGAGGCAACATATAAAAGTGATACTACCTACTATAAATACCGCTGCAGAGAGCAGTCTGACCTCTATCTTCGTGGATTACGTCATGGTGTTCAGAATATATAATAACACGCACTCTGACTGTTGTTATACTGAGTAATTGCTGTTCTAATTATCAGTTAGCATGCATTAAGCTATTCAAAAGTATTAATGTGCTTTGATGATGTTATTATAGTATTATAGATACAAAGTATTCAAAAATAATATAAAATTGTTAACGATTACTCAATCCAAATTAAAAAGCTACTCTGATACCATAAAGTTACTCTATAACAGAATAAATTGACCATTAACTAGATATATAAGTAAACCTATCTGTGGCCATACATAATTTTAATAATTTAAATTAGGCATAATATTATGATTTACGATTCATTTTGTCAACTAGAATAAAGTAATACACCCTCAATGCTTTCCCAAATCGTACCCTAAAGCTTTAAAGTTAAAATAGATGAGTAAATGAAAAGAGAACTAACATGATGAATCCCTAATTTCTCTAATTATTTTCGACTGTTCGTCTTACGTTATTGAATAATATTAGACACGCTTTTATTATTTTTTGTGTGACCAATAGATTACAGCTAAACATTGAGCTGAAATATCACGACGTCATCTTTGCACATTTTCTACATAGTTGTGAGCATAGGATAATACATCAACTTTAATGCTTATTATCTAACCCAATTTTTGTTAAATTGAAGAAAAAAACAAAAAGGAACCAACATTATGACATTATCTGGCCGACGGACTAGATAGAATTCCTTTTTTTAGGCCATCCTTCTTCCACACACAAGTAATTTAATTTATAATCCTCACATAGAGTCATGTCGCTTCAGTGAGGCATCTATTCCGTCGGCTTGCGCTAAAGCTTTCTTGACGGCGTCTTCCTCAGCTGCTAACTCCACTCCTTCCGTAATAACCTCTTGCAGATACGCGTCCACTGTCTCCTGAGTCACTCCTAATACCTACATTATATCATAATCATCATTACCATCAAGTCTCCTGTCAACCTTAGAGATAAAGAATAGCATATAAATCGCACACCTAGATCTAAACTAAGACAACTCAAAAAACTAATGTGGAGGTCTGACAATACATTTGTTTACGTGGCAGGAGCGCGACCACTGTTGATTCAACAAAGGAAAGCTAAAGTTATGTAGCTCATCCCCGAACCTTTATTGAATCTGTTATGTTGGATAGATGCGTATGATCACCGAGTATTTGAATATTGTACTAAGTCAAAACTCACTCAAATTTTTGAGTTGTCTCAGTTTCGATCTAGATGTGCGATATATAACTGTAGACCTATTCACAAACTCAACTGACAAACTTTAGATCGTCAATATCGGCGATCTAAACTGAACACCATTTGAGACAAGATTTTGTATCGTTAAACTATTATTTCGTATTCCGTAAGCATTAGTGACCACGAATTATATTGCTGTATAAAATAAAAAATATACAGCAATTGGCTGCTGGCCGATAGAGCTCTGTTAACAATTTATCTTGATTGTAATAAAAAGTTGCCGAAGATACAGAAATAGGAGGCCAATTTTTTGGCTTTTGTTTCCTCTTAATTAACACTGGTGGTAGTTACGACAAGTATTTCTAATGAGGAAGTATTTTATGAAAAAAAAAACACAAAATAGCACCTCACTAGATGGCGACTCTACCAAAAGTAGATTTTTGCAGGAAACGAATGAACCAAAGATAATTTTCGTTTCTTTTAACTAACATACTGAAATGCTAATTTCAGTTTTTTTTATATGTTTAATATGTTAAGTTCGAAACTTAGATATCTATACAAATACGAAACAAGAACAAATAGAATATGAATAGTTTATTGAGTTTTGAAAAATGAAAGTAAACCGGAAGGGTTGTCATGGAGAAATCAAGAAAGTACCGTAGCGACATCTAGATTGATTACGGGAACAAGTTTATTTTTTAAATACTTTCTTATTATAAATAGTATTTCTTTATCACAACCCTGGGAGTATAAAGTTAATATCGACAAATACCTGTTTGAAAATTTCATCATGTTCTCTCCTTCTGTGTATCTCTTTTTGTCTCCTTCCCGCTTCTGCGGCTTCGCGCATCGTCTTTTCTCGCACTGCATTCAAAACATGCAATTTAAATGTTATTGATGTCAAATTGAATTCATTTTTTTCCAAACATAGATATATACATTTTTTATAGTTTGATTTGCAAGGTCTTCTAATGGCACAGATATTATTATAATATTATGTATTATTTCGAATAATAAAATTAAACCAATAATGGTTTTCGGAATCATTATTTAATAAGTAATCATCATAGATTTTTAGGAATCCGTAAGAAAAAAAGAAAATCAGACCCTTTATAGGATCACTCGGTCGGTCTGTCTGTAATCTATCACTGCCAATTTTCTCACAGCCAAACGTACTTTACAGATTGAATTAAAATTCGGCACAAATTAGGGCGTAGGTAACAATGGTTCAAATTGTCCAAGCTTAACGCCACCTATATAAATAATTGGGGATTTAACTCCATCGATAAAGATGATACTTCTATAACATAAATTAGAAGTGAGTACAGATGTGATCACTTACTGGCAATAAGTATGAACGCATGCTGTCTCCTTTCCTCTTTGAGTCTCTTGAGTTCCTTCTCAAGGAAATCAAGCGCAGCGGACACTGCACCTCCACATAACTCATCCACTAGAGCTGATATAGCATCATCCTGAACCGAACGGATAATGGATTATGATTAGGTATTACCAACATAAATAGTATTTCCTTGCTCAGATAATTAAACCTTTATGGATGAGGCAACCCATAAAAGTCATACTACCCTCTATAAATACAGTTGCAGAGAGCAATCTGTTCTCATTCTTCGTGGATTAGTCGTAGTGTACAGTATGTTTGTGTAACCGTTAGCAATGACACTGTCACTCTGACTCTTGTTATATGGACTAACGTTCGTATCTATATAGTCGAGAGAATTCCTTGAGAAAATCTCATTACTTAAGTAAATATTTCTAACAAATATACAAGAATTTGAATGAATTAAGAACTGTATACTAATAGTTAGAATATTAATATTTTTAGGTATTAACAGAGCGATTAGTGCAAGTTTTATTAGTGTAAGTCGATTGAGAGCACGTTATCGCGATCGACGGTGACCGTAAATTTTAATATGTTTTGTAACGGTTGAGAATTATCAGAGCTGACTCTTTTACTATTGGTAACGTCGCTAAACGATGCAAAATTCTGGTCAGCGTAATGTAAATACCTTCTGCTCAGTTTCTGTCCTGATTGCGTTGTACTCCCTGGCCTTGGTCTCCTCTCTGGCAATACGTATTTTGTCTTCCTTCTGAAGACCATGAGTAGTCTTCAGCTCCTCAGTTAGTTCAGCGGCACGCGTGCGACCCTCATACATCTGTTACAAAATTCGTCAAGGAAATATTATATTTTCTTTTATATTACTATACTCATTAATTTTATATCAGAAGAATTCGTAGCGAATAATTAGAATAAATGCAATATTAGTGACACGAAACAAAAAGAAGTAAGAAACTCTTTACAGGAGCTCCATGTAATAAGACAATGAGTTTTGATACATTAATACGAGGGTCAAACTGAAAGTTCTTAGAACTGGCCACTTATAAACAATATAATAAAAAATAATTCTAAAATTTGAAAATATAACTCTTTGCCAATATTACTGAGTATATATTTCATTCATTTGTCATTTGTTTTACGATTTGGCGGCAAATTGAAAATTGTCTGTGTCACGTCATCATGAATTTAATGTTTGTATTTTTTATTATTAATGTGTGTTTTTCGTTTAGTTTTACTGTAAGTTTTATTATATTATTTAAGTTCATTGTGTTAGTTTGTAGTACAATTTTGTTAAGATTTCTTTTCACATTTAATGTTTAAGCTGATGGTCAGTGTAGCCAAAGCTTCAATAAAGAAAAAAAAAAAAAATCATGAATTTAACACGAGAAAATTTTCGTGCAATGATTTTTTATGACTTTCGATGTCATTTAAGTCAACAAGAAAGTTATGATAGACTACGATTGGCCTTTCACGATGAAGCCCCATCTCGTGCGACTGTTTACAACTGGTTTAATGAGTTTAAACGTGGTCGCACTAATCTCACTGATGATTTACGTGAGGGACGGCCTTCTACGGCGACGACTGAAGATAACATCTGTGTTGTGCGGCGTATGATAGAGACTGACAAAAGAGTGACCTATCAACAGATTCGGACAAGCTTAGGCATCGGTATGAGTCAAGTGCACAAAATCCTCCACGAACATTTAGCGGTCAGGAAGCTTTGCGCCCGGTGGATACCTCATAATTTGACTGAGGCTCAAAAACTCCATCGTGTGGATTGGTGTCGTAAAATGATTGAAAGATTTAACGGAGGTGACTCAAATGCTATGTTCGACATACTAACAGGTGACGAAAGCTGGATTTACTGTTATGATCCTAAAACCAAAAGACAATCTGCTCAGTGGGTGTTTCCTTTCGAGGAGTTGCCAACTAAAGTGAAGAGAGATCGAAGTGCGGGAAAAAAAATGGTGGCCTCGTTCTTTGGAAGGATAGGTCATTTTGCAACAATTGTGTTAGAGGATCAAAAAACAGTTTCTGCAGAATGGTACACTACCAATTGTTTGCCACTTGTCTTGGAAAAAGTTCGAGAGAAACGACCTCGCAGTAGGATCCTCCTTCACCACGACAACGCCTCGTCGCACACCGCCAAGCGAACGATCGACTATTTGGCGACATCAAACGTTGAATTACTGGGTCACCCGCCGTATAGCCCCGACCTCGCGCCTTGTGATTTTTATTTATTTCCAAAAATTAAAGAAAAACTTAAAGGAAAGCGGTTTATGAATGCTGAAGAAGCGGTGGCTGCGTATCGCGATGCCATTGAAGAGACCCCTAAGGACGAGTGGGCAAAGTGCTTTTCCCAGTGGTTCCATCGCATGCAGCGGTGTATTGACGTGAATGGACAATATTTTGAAAAGATATAATAAAACTAATAACTGGCTAATGTAATCAGTTTTTGATTTTCTAAGAACTTTCAGTTTGACCCTCGTAAATAGTCTGTGATACATGTTCCTTCAAGGTATGCTCAGTGATTGCCTCTTCCGCTAAGTCTTACACTCGTATCTATAGTCATCAGTCAATTGAGAAAATCTCATAATTTAAACAGATATTTTTTCCAAATAAACAAGAATTTGAATGCAGTAAGAACTATGTAATTATTACTATTTTCTTATGTAATTATTACTTCTCTTGAATACAGAAACAAACATCAGTTGTTTCAAAAATTCTTTCCACTTCTACTCTACGAAGCAGTACGTGCTACCAGTGGCATGCACAATATACATGCAAATATGCACTGCATGCCCTACCCATAAAACCACAGAACATAGAGAGAGAATAGAAGTAGTAAGTGGGCGGGGCACGCGTCGCTGGCATATGCGCTTTTACTCATATGACGCCCTTTCCTCGGTTTTATGTTTGCCAGTCGTTCGTCAATCGTCGAGTGGTGATTTTACAGATTTTTTTTATAAAAAATGCCGTTTTGTGCTATTATCACTTGCAAAAAGCAAAGCAAAGTATACAATCTAACTAATGCAAACATTTCCTTTCACTGGTAAGTTCAATTTTAGTGCTAAAATATAAAAAACGTAATAATTTGACACAATGTTAAATAAAATATACATTGATTGCTCAAACCAACATCAATGTTTCTGACCCCATTACTAAACAGCAATGTAAATCATTTTGTGCACTTTTGCAAAAAATAGTGCTGTGCCTCCATTTGTCTGAAATGTACCGATAGGCTGCTGCTGCTCGGAATCGTATTGTTAATTATATGGATCGTAATCGATAACTAAAACATATTTATTTAGAGCTTTTCTTTCATCATTTCATAACAACGTTATCGATAAATATATGCCATTATTATATAAAACTAAAACATACTGTTTACAAGGGAAAATTATAGATGAACTGATACTGAACAAATGAAATAATGAACTGTCCAGGCACTTTTAATACGAAGATTCGGTTAATTATTTACACGCAGATAAATATTAAAAATTATTGATGTGCTATAAATATCTAAGTTACGAAGTATATCACCGTTTTATGAACAATACATAAATTAAACGAAACTTCGTGAAAAGCTAAGAGTTGGCCTAATAGGTCTTGTTAGAAACTGGTGAAACTGGATTTCACTTATTTTGCATTACTTATATTTCAGTTTCCCTAATAACTTTACAACGGATTGCCTTGTTTACATAATTAATTTTGCCCTATCTGTTTTAGACCTAAACCTATCAAATGAATTTCAAAACAACATAATATCTATACAAACAAAAAAATATGTTTTCAACTAACGTAATATTGTCGGTGGTGTAAATTTAATTTACAAAATTAATTTTTAGGCGTCAATTTAATTTACCTTATTCTGCTGATTCATAATCGGAAACTATTATTATAGAAATCGAGTTAAGAAAGTCACTTTAAAGAACCGCCCACAGAACAGCTTTTATCAGTTTTTTTGTTGCTCCATATTTGCACATAAGTTTATAGACGCATGTCTCAAACGGATGTGACTTTATATGTAGATTGACGTTTGTACGTACTTATCGCTTTTGTGTCTATCTTCAAACTTTTTTTGTCACGGCTTTCAAACTCATACTTGACCAGCGATTCCTTATTGTCTAGTCGTTGCAATTAATAATGTAGCTACTACTATTATTACAGATATAAAACTTAGAATAATAAAGTAAAACAAACATGGCTATGATCAATTTATTAGTGTAATGATCATATTAGTTATTATGAAATGAAATGAAAATATCTTTATTCAAGAAGGCTATTACAAGCACTTGGAATGGCAAGTTTATTTTTATTTCTACTTTTTTTTGTGAAGGAATCGTAATGTTTTCTTGCGTACATAATATTTTCATTGATGTATTGAGAGGCAATAGTCAAAATATTTTTTTCTTTAAATATTTCTCTGAGAGATTATCTAGACCGTAAATTATATATAGCGTGGACAGCTCTCTTTTGTAGAATAAAAATATCTTGAATGCTAGCCGCAGAAGCCCATAACAATAGATTATACGTCATTCATTACACTATGAAAATAACTAAAATATACCAATCTTGCCGTTTCAACATTTGTTAAGAGTCTAATTTTCTTAACAGCAAATGCTGCAGAACTCAGTCTACTTGACAAATTATCAATATACCAAAATACCAAGGAACTTTGTCGATTCCACCATCTCAACTTTTTCACTATTTACATTTATAAGTATATTAACATGCCTCACATTATGTAATGCAAACTTTATGTATTTCGTTTTATTTGAATAAAGCTTTAAATAATTACTATCAAACCACTGTAGAAAATTGTCGAACTGAATTACATTGAACTGTTTCATAACAAAATTTAAAGCTCTTATTTTATCAACTAATATGTCACATCACTAATATGCACAATCGGAATGATACCAGTAAGAAAAAAATACAAATTAGGCTTAATGTAATTAATACAAAAATTCTGTTGTTTTCTTAATTTTTGTTTTTTTTACACTTTCCCTCGCTTAATTATATTACTCCACAGACATACGATAGAGTGTATCATTAAGTTTTCTTAGTTTTTGTACTGCGTTTTTTAAAAGATATTTTAATAAATTATGTAGGGAAAAGCCTTAATTTTTCAGTATTCACTTGGCTACAGCAAAATCTAATATTAATAGTTCGCAAATAAAATGATGACCCCAATTTTTTTAAATGTGCATAATCTTAAAATATTTTTTTCCTTCTGGTATCCCCATATACAGCCACGTGACAGTTCAACATTCATGTTAAAGTAAATTATTTATTATCACGTTGAATTAGAGTTTGTTTTTAATCGTGTGATTTCTTAGCTTAGTATCTTTTTGGGATTTGATTTATGTTATCGTGAACCTATCGCGTGGCGGTTTTTCATGTAGTGAACAAAATGATCATTTCATCTAATCTGCATTTGTGTGCGGAGAGGCGACACTCGGTTCCCATACTAAATTAATATCATTATACTTCTAATCTCTCTTTATGTTCTGTGCATAAAACCCAACTAAACCTACATACATCGTTTTAATTCTTACTTACTAAAACATTCATACATTAACTCGATACTAGATCACAGTGACTCATGATCAAGTGATCATGATTTTGATTTTAGTAAAACTAGTAAATGTGCCATCTAACAAAAATAGGCAGAATTACTATAACGTTATAGTTAATGTAATATTTTAAACCGACCGCTATGCCACCGATACCGCCGGCCGTAAACTGCACTTTTACAGCTTTTTCGCCATACTAACACAGGTCAAAACTCGTTCGCAGAAAATGTTTGTATGTTTGTGTAAAATTCAAGAATGTATTACGGTTTTAAGACGCACTGCTTATCGCAACATTATTAAATTAAGAAATCATGAAAAGAGTAGCGTGTGCGTAAAACGACAGTTTTATTTTTACAGTGTATCTTTTAAACATTTCTTTCGCCATTTTTTTGTGATTACTTTTCTGAGCGTAAGTGATTAAGTTGTAATTCATTAATCAATCTAATTACATAGTAATAATGGCATAGGAAAATTGGCTAGTATTCAAAATTTACATACAAATTATTTAACAACCTCATTTCCTGTAGCTTACAAATTAGCAGAAAAAATACGATACCAGTAAGAAGCGTGTCAACAGAACGATATTTTTTTGTTTAAAAGAACTTTTATAACAACCTTGTAATTTTTATAATAATGTTTAATTGAACTCATTTCTTGTTTTATTGAATTAAGTTATTAAAATATATTAAAACTTCTTTGCGTGTTCATGTTAATTTGTACGAGTGATATCTCTTACTATACTCACCAATATCTGCACAGCTCGCCCTCTGAATATTCTCTGCAACAGTAGCGCGTTTTGGTGGTTGACTTCGTCTAAGTCTTCGACGGCCGCCACTTCGGGTGTGGGCGGACGCGGGACGGGTGGGACATGACGTGGCTTTAGCACGTGTAATGGGCCAGCCGTGGTTACAGCGGCGCCTAGGCGTGCCTCTAAAAAAATTACCAAAAACATTGTTAAAAGAGATCCTTTTCCGTTAAAAGATTTCCTTTCATCACTTCACGTGATTTTTTACTGCATTTTCTAAAATCTTTCCGACTATTGATATGTGGTGAGGTTTAAGACTTGCAAAGACGCTACGTTAAAAAAAATGTCTATCTTTTTGATTTTCTAGCTGTTTGTGCCAGTTAAATTTAAAATCAAATTGAGTCATTTTGATGTAACCTGGAGTGCTTGATTTTAATTTTAAGGTAATACCTTTAAAAAAAGTAGGACAGAAGACCTCTTTTTGGCCATTTGGGACTTCAAGACGTCCGGATTTCTTTAACATCGTATGCATAAGCAAATATATACGGTCTTAAAAACGTAGAATTGTGGAAAAATTTATAGGTATGGTCGATTGCTTTGATGAGTCGTAACTTGTTCGTAGCTTACGAAATGGCTCTAAGTGCATTGTTATGGTTCGTGTTTTTTACGAACTTCCATTATTGTCATTTGTTCAGTCACGATCGTCAACACTACGAATTTCATTATAATAGGTGTGAGCTAATCAGTGGCGTAGCTACCAAGGGGCTAGGCGGGGCAGTGCCCCGGGGCCCTCAAGCTCAGGGGGCCCTTGAATCCTTACCAGAAAAATCTCAATCGAACTCAACTTTTGAAAATTTCTCCCATTTTCAAAATAAATATGACAGGTGGCAACTCGAGTTTAATCATGGCAACTCAGTTGTGAGAAATTCCAAAGTTATAAAAAAGAAATTCCTCTAAATTATTTGTGTGGTTTGACAGTGTTATAAATGTTTTCATCAATTTGTCGGATATCAATATCTGCATATTATTATTTATCGAATAGTTTTATTACCTGCCCATGCACGAAAAAAGCTGATGATAAAGTTGCTTAGCATTTTAAAGTATTTGTATATTTAATGATTTTACTTCAAAAAACCTTACCAGTTTTGATAGCAGTGGGCCCCATTTTTTTATTTGCCCCAGGGCCCTAGGTTACCTAGCTACGCCACTGGAGCTAATGGAACACCTTAATTCAAATGTGGGAATCATATTTATTCCATAATTAATTACATATCATTACAAGATCAATATTAACAATATGAATTATAAGCGACTTAATATATTTGAAATATTATTAGTATAAAATGGATCTTATCCAGACAGTATAGAAGGTTCTTATAAAGTTGCGAGTTATGAAGACAACCCATATACTCACTCATGAGGTCGTGGTGTAATGTCTCCAGGAACTGTTCACTCCACTTGGTTTCCCGTTCGCATAGGCGGGACGGATCGTGAGGGAGATGGTGACCGGAGCATGTACGCTTCAAGTTCTGCCCGCATTGGTCCAACCAAATGGGTGGTTCGGCGATACGTTCATGATCCTCTAATGCTATTACCAAAAAACTTCTTTTGGATTTTGAATTTATGTGTGCTAAATTAAATAGGGGATCGGGCATCTTTCAGAAAACTGTTTTATATTAATCAGTATATATCTAAAGCTATGTTTAAATTTTACTTGTTTAATAAAACATTTAATTTGTGGGGGTAAACAAAATAGATTTCCATATTATAAAGGCCATTTTATATGTTAATATTGAGGTATATCGAATCAAAAAAAAAATATGTTAAAATAACCAGAGGACAGGACGATTTTATAGCAACAATAAAAATCGAAAACAACAAACATTGTGTGAGATCTCAACACAACCCAACTCGGTAAGTGTAATCGTCAACCAGTGTTTATTTATTAACGGTACTGATTTTTGTACCCAATTACGTCACCGAAATGGCGGCCAGGCGCATTATCAATTTGAGAGGATAATACCATTGACTCACTGAGTAGTGACGGGTCGTACTCTATGTGGGCGTGCCTGCCGCGCGCTTGGTACCCGTGCCGCGCGATGGGCGCGTGCATGTCCGCGGCGGGGTCGCACGCCGCCCCTGCGCCCCCTGCGCCCCCGCCCCCACGCGCTGCGCGTGACCGCTGCACGCGACCAGAGTTCCCGCCCCCCTGACGCAACGCGGTCAACTTGCGGACCTCTGCGTCGAACATTTTATAGATTTCAATTAAATGAATGTGCAAAGGAACTTGATTCCTACATAATTTGACTTTTGGATCACAGAAGTACTAGATAGTGTTTGTAATTCTTATAAGTACCAGTGCTCTTTTTAGTTTCTTTCTCTTTACAATTGCTAAAGTATGGAGAGATCAAGTAAGTGAAGTTAGTAAGCCAAACACATAGCGTTTGTGTGAGCTCAGCTAATGAAGTAAGTCACTTGCTCCTGTCTCTGAAGTGATATATATGGCATGAATTTATCTTTCAGCATGGTTCATTGTAATTGCATCACACATCACTTCTACTACCTCTATCTCTCCCCTTCCTTATATGATCCAATTTCTTCTCCATCTCCTGTTTCTTGCAAGCCCATAATTTCGCCAACTTCAAGCTTGTCCTGTTCGACTGCTTCTGACGTTGCTCTTGTTGCATTCTATGCAGGAGGTTCAATCTGATGTCCTGTCAAAATTATTAAGAAGCTAATCATCATCATCATCACCTGTTAATGTCCCCACTACTGGGGCTCACGCCTTCCCTAATGGATGGAATCGAATGGACTAGGGAGAATGGGCTATGACCCACCGCCTAGGACCAGTGCGTGTTGATGGATAACGACTGCAGATGCCGCCGGGACCAATGGCTTAACATGCCTTCCGAAGCACAGAGGAGTTCAAGATAATAAATTGCGAGAGTTGCTCATCAACCGTATAGTAAGTGTACCACAAGGATATAAGTAAGGCCATGATATTTATGTCACTACATTATAAGTATATGTAGGTACTATTAGGTCGGAGAAAAAGTCTTTTCGCATATAGTATGCATAAACTTGTAATGAAATCCATTTGTATATGGCTGGTTTCGGTATCATTAAAAAGTTTAAATTTTAAAGAAGATGATAACTTCGTATTCCAATTAGGAAAATGTGTGATATTCATTTGTTTAATTAATGTCAATGTGACTTGTGTGATTACTGACAAAATGAGTGAATCTAATAAATAAATTTGATACATTTTAAAATCTTATTACGGTTCAACGTAAGCCACCAAAAAAATAGTAATATTTATGGACTTAGTGTAGTTTCTGTGAGAGTATTACAAATTTGGGTTAAGCATTTTCAGTCCGGAAATTTTGATGCAAAGATGCATGTCTACCGAACGGATTTTGATGAAATTTGGTATACAGACAGGGTATTAGCTGACTTAATTTTTAGACTAGATAATTTTTATCCCACGAAACGCTTCCCTAGGGACCACGCGGGTGAAGTCGCTGGCGAAAGCTAGTTTGATATAAATTTCAGCTTGATACCTCCACGCGCTTTTGAGAAACAGGGTCTTGACAGACGGACGGACGGACAACAAAGTGATCGTATAATGGTGTACATTACAAGAGTGAAAATTACGCCATTAGCTGACGAAAACAGATCCTCTAATCTAATAGAACAATAACAGCGATTTGCATATTTTACCTGAAGCTCGTCTATCTCGGCTTCCCTGAAGATCCAATCCTTGGTTTCCACATCGGTGATTATGGCATTTCTCTTCTTCATCCATCGTGGGTATTGGCTCTTCTCTACTATATCGTTCCACGTGCGAGCGTGACGCATTCTGTAGTTTGGTATTACAACATTTACGCAGCGGACAGCAGTTTCACTATATGACCATTTTAAGCTTAAAGGTCAGTACAAATCTGACGGAAGATCCGTCGAGCGTATTACGGAATTTTGCATTAAAACGTTACCGATTCGTCGAGTATGCAGGATTGTATGTAATCCTTACTAATATTATAAATGAAAAGTAACTCTGTCCAGTGTTGTCACACCTTAGTTACTAAACAAATTTTTAACGAAATTTGGTACACAGATAGAATGGACCTTGCGAAAGCACAAAGGATAGTTTTATCGGGAAAAATAGGCTAAAAGTGAGCGACAGTAACCAAATTCTAGGAAGTATATTTTGTCAGTTAACCATCTGGTTAACGAGGATGGGCTATGACCCTCCACGCTGGCCCAATGCGGATTCTAGGATATTAACTGCAAATGCATATGACTGCAAATGCAGCCGGAACCAACGATTAAACGTACCTTCCGAAACACGGACTAGCTCGAGAAATTTTTTTTTGGTCACCCATCCCGTGACTGACCATTGCGAAAACTGCTTAACAATAATGGTCGCGGGTCGCGGCGCTTATCTACTATGCCATCGAACTAATGCATGGACATGGATGGATGGACATTACTTGTTTATTATTTCCGTAGTGTGAAAGTCTGCAGGGAGATCTCCTATGCGATACGGGCTGCCTGGACCTATAACACAGCAAAATGATTTGATAAATAATGACGTAGCGTGCCTTGGAGTCCTGTCCAAATGGATATGTAATTTTTTTTTGTGACATACATTTGGAAATTGAGAAGTCGATACGCCGGTAGCTACGCCCCTGTAAATGAACTATTAATTTACACCTTGGCTAGATTTATTAGTTCTACTTCTTACTTATTTTTAACTAATCATTATTTAATTCGTTTTAATTTTAATTCGATATCTCTGTATGAAATGAAAAGGGGGGTAAAAAGTAGCTCTTGCTAAGTTTCTTGCGGGTTCTTCCCAGTACAAAATCTCACGCCGTAAATTTGCGAACCGAAGGCATAGCTTTCGACATTCACAAGAGCTTGTTAACAGTATTGTACGAGAAGGTAAATTTGTGTAGGTAGGTTGAGTCTCTATATTCGGTCTTCCACACTTAAAGCATCTTTAAGCATCAGCAAGTGTAGATTACATTTTACAACCTTTTGTCTTATTTTCTAACCTTTTGTCTCTCAACAAAAGCGAGTGAAAAGAAAATACTTATCATGACGTGTAGGTTAAACTTATTTCACAATGTCTCTAACAATCCATTACAAACAAGTAAGGATTCCGTTGCTGACTTAGAATTTTAACATTATCAATTAAAGTTCCTTGGCACCATCCACTACGTCTCCGTGGTTATGTTTGGCTAGATAGACCTATTGATAGGCTAAGGGAAGACAATAAGCTTAATTTGCTACATTTATCATACCCCACTGAAGCTGGTCCAAATACAACACTTCCGGAGTGTTTATACAACCATCTGCTTGCTTGCCTTCCGGTTGCCATGGTACAGTCTGCGCTGAAGACTCTCTACGAAATCAGGCATAATGATTGACATCTTAACCACTGCCATAACATATCTACAGGCAAATTCCGCTAATTTTTTACTTAATAATTGTATCTCAATAGAATCTCAACTTTTCCCATTGTACTAGGTATCTACCTGAAGTCCAATATTAATTATTATAATTCCCTCACACGTCAATGGTGATTTGGTTACTGATATTAACCAATATTAGACTTCAGGTAGACAGGACAATGGGAAAATGCAAGTACTTTAGATTCTATTGAGATGTAATTATTACGTAAACATAGCAGAATTTGCCTACAAATATATTTATTATGAAGCTCATTGGCTGCGGAAGCCCCGCCCACACGTTGGGGTGATTGCTCCACACGGCACGCGTGCGCAGAACGCACTGTGATTGCCCGGCCGCCACGCGTCAGTAGTATCTAAGTGTAATTTTAAGTTTAGAATTCAGCAAGTCAAGATAGTCGAAGAATCAATCATCTTAAATAACGTCACCTTTGATTTCTGCGAACCCAATCATCATACAGTCCACATTGCAGCCGGAACACCCTCAAAACGAGAAGTAAATAACATACAAAGAAGATTATAGTTGAAAGTGTGGATTCAGGCGTTCTAAATAAACGTTGGTTTGATCCACTTTTCAAATTATTTACCTGAATAAGCTTTGGGTGCCACGGTTTCTCGGTTTGAGTTGTCCTTTAGTAAACAGCTGCGGTGACGCCGGATGAAAGTCAGGAGAGGTCTTTTGCAACGGCAACACTATCTTGGGCCTAAGGAGTGAAACAAACAGGTACATGATACAAGTTTTAATTATCAGATCGGGATCACCGAACAAAGTATGTAGTGATATTCCAATTCAAATGTATATGTTACGGTGATTGTAACGTGGTTTAAAGGCGTTCTTTTGGGCCACTTTAAAACATGCAACAAATACTCTTCTTTTTTATTCAAAAATTCACAAAGAGAATATTTCGGAAAAATAAACACGTTTTATTGCCTTGAAATGAAATCAAAATTTAAACTTTTTTTATAGCCTCCAAAACGCTGTCCGTCGTATTCATGTTGTCACTGTGATATGTGCACAAAACAGATGCATCAGCATCTACTCAGACATCATTCCTAATCAGGCCCGTCTTGAGCATAACAGGCGCCCGGGTGCAAGTAGTGCTCTGGCGCCCCCCAGCCCACATTTTTACACATTTATATTAAAAAATCACCGAAGTCATCGATGAATAGGTACTACAAGATCAGACCATCATCGGCGCGGCGCCCGGGTGCATTGCACCCCCTGCACCATGGGTAAAAACGGGCCTGTTCCTAATAAATAGATTTTACTTTATATTATCCTTATATTTTGTTGATACTATTTTCCAACTTCATCTTAATTCTGTACTTAACCGTAATACTGCTTCCAGATTGTTACCGAGTATGATATACCGTTTTCTTCGAGATTTGAACTTTCCATATGATAAAACAATTTATTTCCAGGGAACAGTTCAAAATACTTTCACGCACTTTGTCGAATCTAGATCCCCAGAGTTCTATCGCAGTCATAAAGGAGGGTAATTATTTTCATTAAATGATTATAGGTATAACGTCTTAGAAAAAAAAATGCTGGACAAATCGGCAGTTTCATAGTCTAACCCCTAATAATATATACTAACACAGCTGTGAATTTGAATCGATCCGCCCCGTTGGCTTGCGGGGTTGGCGCCGCGTTGGCGTGCTGCACCCGCCGCAGGTAACCGTCGTACGACCGGTCCAAGTGATCCGGTAAACGGCAGTTAGCGTGGTAAACTAAAAAAGGTTCAGTTCACATTAGGAGAACATGGAGCATCAGAAATGAGGAAGTACATATTTAAAAAAAAACCATTAGTTCCCGATATCAAATTCACATTAGAACACGGAGCAACAGAAATGAGGAAGTATTTAAAAAAAAACATTAGTTCCCGATATCAAACTAGATGTCGCTATGGTACTTTCTTGATTTCTCCCTGACAACCCTTCCAGTTTTCTTTCATGTAAAAATTAAATAAATTTTCAAAACTCAATAAACAACTCATTTTTTATTTGTACTTTTTCGTATTTGTATTGATATCAAAGTTTGGAACTTTGCAAATTTCAGTTTTTTTTAATATGTTAGTTAAAAGGAACGGAAATGACTATCTTTGGTCCATTCGTTTACTGCAAAAATCAACTTTTGCTAGAGTCGCCACCTAGTGAGGTACTCTTTTAGCGCTTTTTCCTTTTTTCTGAAAATACTTCCTCATTGTGGTCTCCACAAAAGTGCATATTGGGACTGAATAATGCCACGCATTGAATGTATGAGCTGATGTCGGGCGAGAAGTATATTCGTTCCGTCAAGTTTCTCTACGCATGACGACAATAATTGTAGGTAAAATCGTGGTAAATTCAATGAAATGTCACCCTAAGTAATAGTTTTAACATTGATCATAAATTAAATTTCACCGGAGTGTGTCAATGCGACCTTACCAACGTGCATCCGTGGATATCTTCTGCAATCAGAAAACATAGTCTTGTAAACAGGCTGGATACCCTGAAACAATCTTATATTTTATTTTATACTTATAGATAAAAGAAACGTATAACCAATTTTAGTGCTAAGGCAGCCAATTGTACGTCTCCTGATTTCTTTATACCTAAAAGTGTATTTTGTTTTGTGTGTACAATAAAGAATATTCTATCTATCTATTTGTAATCTTGCTCAATAAATGTTCGCTTTTGCATATACAAACGTTCATGCACCAAGTTAGTAAAGTAACATTTTCGAAAATGCATTTTAACGCTTTCGCAGGACCAAGCAAAATGTGCAAGGTACCCATTTAATTCGAGTCTTTCTCCGCCACTGCATATAATCGAGCATCATAGTGTCTACGTCCATCACCAATCAGGCTTGAAGCGTAATAGAGAAGATGGCAACAAGTGATAGTACTCCTTTTTCTACTCATGAAGAGTCGAATTAAAATAAAATTTTCTACTCATGCATCCACTAGACTTTAACAAATATAGAACCATCATCAGATTCAATAATATTATGAAAAGGTAAAGTTTCTAACGGCTAATAGGTGAATACAAACTTACGAGTTGCGCTGACGCCATGGCAGCCTTAAATGCCGTGCGGGCATAATCTCTCGCTCCGGACACAATAAATGCTGAATCTGGTCAAAACAAACGTATTAATTATAATTTTATTGAGCAAACTTATTCAGATTATTATGTATGATAAACAAAGCATATTTTTTAAAATAAAATGTGATATTCTGATAATCGTTTCGTGCTAAAATTCGCCAGTACTTGAACCTGTGACTTCCGCTGCGACTACTAAACTAAGCCTTTCATGAGAAAAAAATTAATGGGCACTTAATAGGATGTTTTTCTTATCCATATCCTAAGTATACCCAACGAACGATCGGGATGCTTTGCCATTGATACCTAGTTAGAAATTAGGGTAAACATTTATATTGAACAATACATACATAGTATATTACATGTATATCGACTAACCATACAGTTTCTATTAGTTTATTGAGAGGATATATTTGTGGTGCGTGTAGGCTGATGTAGGTACCTATACCAAAGATTTTCGTTTATTACAGAAGTATCTAATCTAGAACTTCGGGTTGTTAACTGATATTATCAGGAAAAGATCAAGAATTCATTCTAAAATTCAATCAATACTATGTTCAACAAACGAATAGAACAATAATGTCAATTGTATAGGTAGGTGTTAGGTACTCTACTCACCATATAAATAATCATGGACTCGCATTTTCGGCACATTATGTCTCCTCGGCCGTTCGTAGATTGTGTCTCCGCTCATAATAATAATAAAATCAAATAGTTTTCTTGTTGAAGAGATATAAATTATTGCCGCCCAAACAGATTTCTCGATAACATTGAAAAACTGTACGGTTGCTACGCAACCACCGTACTTTTTTTATCTATGCAACCAAAGAGTGAATTATTCTTCATACGTCCTGTTTCACCGAAAATGAAATATCGTCCATTTTCGAAACGCAGGACTCTAAAGAAACACATTTTTCGATATTAAATGATGCAACAGAGGAAGGCCCTGACACTGCCTCTGATGTTTTTAACAAAATTACAAGAAACCTTTAAAATTTTCATAGTTTTCGTTCATGGAATAACAGAGTACAGTAGGCCTTTCAATGTTTATAAGCTACAAAGATGTTCTACGACTACAAATTATAATTTTTCGCGTTTCAACTTTCAGATAGTCTTGCATGGAGCGTTGGTCGTCTTCTATCTGTGATTACGACTAATGAACTTATAACGTATACCTGTCGCATGTCAGCTTGTCACCTATACAGCGCAGAGGGCGAAAAGCAGGAAATTCACAATAAAAACACGCCCGCGAGAATTCACTATAATAAGTCTGCGCTAGTCTGTATTCTATAGTCAACTATTGTCGCATTAGGGAGTAATAAATGACTATACTACCTCTCCGACGGGTAAATATATGAAGGACGGGTTTAAGTTTAAGGATAGGATAACAAATAGATAGAAACTCGATTCATTTAACCACATACATTTTTTTATGTAATTATATCTCATATTTACAAAAGAATTAATATCAACGTTTGCGGTCAATGAACTGTCGCAGTCATAACGCTAAAATACTCCGACTCTGTACGCCACACAATAAGATTGTTAGAGACAGACGATGGCGAATTGCGCGTCCAATTATTTTTAATGAATTACCTACAAATTATTTTATATCCAGAAAATGAATACTAAGAAACCTGCCCCAAGAAAAACCATTGTAACTTAACCAGAACTTGTAAAACTGGCCATAAATGTTAAGTTTTAATCTTTTAATTACAGATTGGCAATCCTATATTAATATTATAAATGTGAACGCCGAAACTACTGAACGGATTTTGATGAAATTTGGTATACAGATAGGGTATTAGCTGACTTAGATAATAGGATACTTTTTATCCCACTTAAAATTTCCCTAAGGACCACGCGGGCGAAGCCGCTGGCGAAAGCTAGTATGATATAAAATTTTGCCGAAAAGAAGTTTAAAATCTAGCGTAGTGGAAATATTTCTGTGTACTGTGGGGATGAATCGCAAGAGATAATCGCCTTGTTTTATGCCAGATCATTGATTTATAATTTAACTAAACCTATCTTTGATTCCATATACATATAATACATAATACAATACTGTCGGCAATACATATTTAGGTGATCTCTAAAAGACCGAAATAAAAGTCCATCATATACTAAACTGTATATTTTTCAATTTATTTTAAACCATAGTGCATTAAAAGTTAAAAACCAAATTGCATATGGCTACTGTGCTTTCAGTGATTAAAAATATAAAAAAGCTCAATTGACAGCAACTAAATAATAAAAAAATAATACATTTTTTCTTCCACATAGTTTCACATACACATATTTCCCTTTATTAGTTTACAGAGACAAGAGCATTATTATCAATATCTTATTTGTAATATATTTGGTTAAGTTATTTCTCAATACATGATTGTCGTGAACATCATTATTCCTGTGTATATATCGCAGTCAACTGATTAAATCAGTCGTTCAAATAGTAGGCTAGCCATTTAATTGAACGCCTAGTTTTCTAGCTGAATTATTATGACATTTAGACCGTTCAACAAGACAACTGATTCAAAAGCCGTCAAAACTTTCGTTTAGTTTTGTTATCTGGTTAATAAATAACCTCTAAATTTAAGACGATCTCTACGCTACTCTTCGCGATGCTGTGGCCGTGTGAATCGCGGTATATCTTCTCTTTGTATAATTGTAGATATTAGTATTGAGATTTTATTATGAAAGTTTAAGCTTAAACACTAGTAATTGATGTACATTAGCATCCTGCATTGGATCATACGGACCATTTTAATACAAAAAAATGGAATCAATAGAATTTCTACACTAAATGACGTGAATTCCGACACGAGTGAATTCGAATTCGAGTCCCTATTTTTACAGAATCGCAGGGCACATACAAAAAACCGACCGATACGGGAATCTCCATCATAGCGAGTAACATAAGGCTATAATTTACGCAGCAAAGTTGCTAGAAAACCACTAGTCTTTTATAATCGTATACCAATAAGCACATTTATAGATATATTTGTTTACATTCAATTAATTTCATAAACAATATTCAAAGAACTAAGTTATGAAATGAGATAATTTACACACGACATTTGAATTACACTTCACTTGAACTATTCAAATCACCGTTTAAACTTCACTTTGGTCTCAACAAGTTTTCATCTTATCCTCTATTTCGGCGATGGCGGCATTGGCTATTCTAATGTTGTTAGCCTGCGTACGGGCATTACTCGTCAACGAGCTAATACTCTGTTTCAATGTCTCGATGCGATTAGTGACTCGTTTCTTCTCTTCTATTAATAACTCGTACGCTTTGTCGCCTAAAAAAATAACAAATACATATATCGACGATGAAAACCAAACAAGTAGTAACCCGCAACACGAAAATTGTTCTTTAGAGCAGAAAAACTTTTATATTTTTCGATAAATAATTTCTATAAACGTCCATGGTAACAAATAAGGTGTTCCTTAGTGAATTAATACGGAAAGAAGATTTTTTTTGTGGAAAAATATAAAAAATATCCGTTCTAAATATCCATTTTGGTTTTGCAGGTTACTACGTGTTTGCTTTCCAGTGTCAATATGTCAATGGTCTATTTTAGATAATATACAACAGTAAATATTGAAATAGTGCGCAAATTTTATCCTTTGGTATTAATGCTTTGCCTAATATGGTATCACGATATTATAACTTTAATAGTAACAGACTGTAGGTATTTCGATAAAAATCGGTCAACGACCCGGAGGTTAACGAGGGTGACTATACGTAACAAATTTTTATAGAAAATCACTTCTTATTTTAATAGACATAATTTTCGAGTTGTGGATTATGATCCCTACGATTCTTTTCACTGAGAAGGCCTATACCTAATATGACTAGACGTCCCGTGCTTGTACTCTGTCCCGGTGTCCCCGAAGGTAACTGAAGGACGCAAAAATGTCCCGTTTTCGAAATGGTGAGAAAATTTTGTTGGACGAGGCAGGCGATAAAAGTATACGCAAAATTCATTCGTTTGTTTTCGATTACTGGTGTTATTTGAAACCTAATATACCGCGTAAAGTTGTTCGCTTTAATCGCAGATATCAGGCTCATCGCACTGTACCAGAAAGAGGCCATATATACATTTAACCACTAGAATTAATGTTTTTTCTTTTTTTCTTAAAAAAAAGCTATGTCCCGTTTTAGCCTAAAGAAAAAACGGTCACGCTACCTATACCCAAACAGTGGGATCATTAACAAGCTGATAACGATGACTTTAAAAACTTACCCAACAGTGGCAAGTATACGCCTGCGGTTTCCGATCTGATGTCCAAAGTGAACCAGTCTTCCACATCATCGTCTGTGTCCGATGCCGGGAACTCCTAAGGACAATATATGTTAACTTGAACATACTTATTGCTACGTGTTTTTATGTATCGAATTGAATGTCTCTAAAAAGCATCTCTATTGTTCGGGATTTCTTGGACGGATTAAATTGTGGAAGATTCATTAACACACAGTCTGAGGGGCCGTCCATTAATCACGTGATGGATTTTTCAGCATTTTTAACCCCCCCCCCCCACCTGTTGATACATATTTACGTTCAATACTCCCCCCCCCCCTTCTCCACCCAAATCACGTGTTTTGACGCCGCTTTTCGGTTTAATAATCGCGCGGTTGAGGAAAAGATAAATATCCTCCCCCCTTTCGAGCCTCACGTGATAAATGGACGGTCCCTTATTATAAAACGAAGACTAAAGTTAGTACTTCCTACTTGGTTTAAAGCATTGACCTCCTAAAGCAAATTGAGTATGACAGAAGAGAAAACATCAAATGGAAACGTGTTAATTCAATTTGGTCTTATTATTATTATTATGGTTTTATTATCTCGATCTCCTACGTGCCTTGGAAGGCGCATTAAGCCGTTGGGCCCAGCTGCAACTACAGTCGTTAATACCCACCAATCCGCACTGGGTCTGCGTAGTGAGTAATAGCCCATTCTTTCGATTCAATTCTATCCATAGGGAAGGCCTGATCCCCAACAGTGGGGACATTATGTTGCCTTCATCATCTTTAGAAGTCAATTGGGATCTGATCGAAGCATATGACGTCTTATATTATTATTATTATTACAATGTACTCACGTCATACATACTGTCGTTGAATGATAAGGTGTCACCGTCTGACAGTAACTCTTCGTCAAACTGTTCAGGTTTCATTATGCGCAGTTTCACGGCGCGTTTATCTAATTCAGAGTCAGATTCCGCACCAAAATCCTATAGAAAACATAATATTATTTTGTACATACATTAAATTTATAAATATATATGATACTACCATACGTTTCTTTTGTAAAACAGTAATGAAATTCATGAGATGTTAATATATGAATAATCCATGTAAGTATTAAATAAACAGTATTATTATTTATTAAACAATTGGCTACTTGACAGTTATATCAATAGGGATGTAGATTCTTTTTTATAGATGTACATGAAATATATTTAAAAATATACATATAAAAGTATCATTCGTATAATAAAGTGACAGCTAAAAATAAATTCAATTATCAAAATTTCCCGCGAAATCGCTAACTTCTATCATGGCGTCGCTGTGACGTCACCCGCCTATTAAACTAATATCGTTCTATGTATGCATAAGGTTTAATTCTCCAAGTTCTGATATGAGTAAGAGGAGCGTGACGTCACGAGCTATTTGTGTTTACGTGAAAAAATTTAATGTTTCATAATTAATTTAAGCAATATTATAAATATAATAAGCATAAAAGTGTGATAATCGGTAATAGTATTTTAAACACTGCCGGAAAAAAAAAAATGTACATATTAATTTTCTTATACTGTGTACACCCGTATTATAATCTTTACCCGGTCAGTCATTTCGTACGCCAACTACATCAATTCGTACTAAGCCTATGTTAGAGACCCTTCTTTATAATATATTCTATCCATAAGAAAGCCTGTGCTTTAACAGACGACAATGACAGACATTAACTCATTGGAGTTTATCCAACATCGCCTAAAATCTAATACCTACCAGTAAACGGTTGTATTAATAAAATGTATATTTAAAAAACCTGCCTAAGCGATTCGGTCTCGCATATAGATCGTTCCGCACAAATATGAAATATAAAAAACTATAGTCTGCAAACAGATTGTTTTTGTAATCTATTGATAAATAGTAATTTTCTGTGCCACTGGCTAATTTTAACTAAGTTCAATTTAAAATTAGCGAGCGGCACAGTTTCCTCAATTCAGTAGTTTCGCAAAAAATCAACTGTGACAGACAGACAACCAAGTGATAATAGAAGGATTGTGTTATTCCTTTTTGCAGTTGGAACCCAAAAAGATGCATATCTCACTTCGTCCAGGTCGAAGTCATCTTCTTCAAGGAATCCCTCTTCATTAAGAATCTCATCGGTTTCAATCCGCATGGTAGCTTTCGCATTCTTCTGTGACTGATATAAAATAATATACAATATGATTAAAGTAACGCACAAAAATATTATATATTTATGATATTTTATATAAGAAGAAACGCTAGTAAATATGGCTCTGTTGACGATTTTAGTGTCACGAGGTTTGTTTATTTACTAGGGCGTGACGTCAAACGCGGTGTAATGGCGGTGTATGACAGACACAGCGTTCTTTGCAAAGTTCCAAAAACTTTGACTTTATTGATAAATTTAGTAAATTTCCACAAAATATTAATGTAACGTGCTTATTATGTAATATAGAATAATTCAAAACTATTTTTCTAAATTAGTCGATTGTCTCTTTACAATAAAACCGTTAAATTTATTTTTATACTAATTTTATGATTCATCATTGTTATAATTGCTAAGGTCTAGTCATAACTATCAGTGAAACTTATACAGTCTTATTATTATTATAAAGCAAGGACTAAACAAATGAGAAGTAATTAAAAGGTCAGCCATAAAAAAATTTGGTTAGCCACAAAAATCAGTATTTTAATCGTTTGATCAGCATTTAAAGATTTTGTATGCAAGAAAAATAAAACAATCGGCAATCCTTGTTTCGCAAATAATCTTGATAATGATCAGTAATTTAATCATATACAGTCAGCTTAAAATAATATGTGTATGTCAAATAAACAGTCTATCCCCAAAATAACTACTTGATCAGAAAGATTCAGGATTGGTCAGCAAGAAATATTTGTCCGGTTAGCAGTTCATTTGATCGGTTTGCGTATTTAAAGCATGGTTAGAAGAATAACTAATTGGTTTGCATTTTTATTGAAAAGTCTGCAATGTACGTTAAAAGTGGGCAAAGCAAGAGTAGTCGCATGATATTAGTAGCCAATCGCGTGCGTGTATTGTCATTCAGTGTCTATGCGGCGATTAGTAGCTGTCAAATTACAGTGATAACAACTTGTTTTATGTTAATTAGTGTGAATTTTGATATTTTGCGAGTGTTATATGAGTACTGTAGGTAGCAGCCGGGACCGACGGCTTAACGTGCCCTCCGAAGCACGGAATCATCTTACTTTCGGACAATCAGGTGATTCAGGCCTGCAATGTCCTAACCAAACTGGGAAAAACTCACAAAGAAATATTTGAGAGTGTCCCCACCGGGAATCGAACCCAGTACCTTCGGATCGAGAGCCTAACGCTCTAACCACTAGGACACGGAGGCAGTTAATTTAATTAGTTAGTTTACTCTAAATACCCATTCATTATTTTTGTAAGGAATGCGCCCATTTTGCGCCAGTCATTATTGCTATTTTTATATGCTTCACAAAATTAGATTAGTTGCTTCCCTCTAAGTGCTGTTCAAAATTGTATTTAACATGCGTCACTCATTGCAGCTTATATGATTATTATGCTAATAAAAAATAATTACAGCCGTCCAGAATGTAAAAAATTGTCGATTGATTTGATATTGTTTGATAGCCATGGTCTGCTGACCAATTCTGCTAGCAAAAATGTGAATACTATGCTAACCCGTTAAATAACACCCTAAACAAATTGACAATGACAGTAGAAAACATCTCGAGTTGAGACGTGTTGACTTAATTTGATTAGATAATGGTTATATAATAGCATGGTTAATGTCAATTTTTAATATTACTTACCTCCTGTTTCGGTTGCTTCTTGTCATCTAGTATCACAACTTTCTTGACAAACTGTTTGGGGCTCTGTTTGACCGGTTGTGTTACTGGTTTAAGGACTTGTTTTATTATTGGTTTGTTAACTACTTTTTCAATTGGTTTGGCGACAGGTTTGACCATTGGTTTGTCGAATGTTTTGACAACAGGAGAATTGGACGGTGATTGTGCCAGGACTTTCTTGTTGGTGTACTGCCTCAAGGGAGTAGATGTGGCACGTTGTACTTCTGAAGCTAGTGGTTGTAAAAATGTATTTAGATCATTTTCCGAACACTATGAAACTTAATTTATCATATTCTTAATAGAAAATACTTAAAAATACACTTTGTGTATTTGCAAAGTGGTATTTGCACTCTGAGATGGGATTCGAACCCACGAACTTTCACAATCCAAGCGACTGCGATTGAATTGCCATCCTTATTAATAAGCCTTTTTCATTAACATTTTTTTCCAGTATAGCATTGTGAATGCAAAATTAATCAAATATAATTCATTTATCATGTTGTCAGTGACAAGGACTGGAAATCAATACTGTTGAATTTATGGTTAGCGGAATATATTGAGCTCTCTGCCTATTGTGACATATTATAATGTATTTACATTTGAAAGATCTAACAATGTCAGGGTGGGTGCGCCAAAACTACACCAGAAATCAGTATTTCAATTTTCAAACCTAAATATAAACATTTTTTTTTTGTTTTCCCACCTTTTCTTATTCCATAGCATTGCTGTACTTCTACCAAACATGTGATCATAACTAAAAGTGATATACATGCCATCTACAGTCTTGCCACGTTATTAAAAATATACTTAATAGCAATATGAAAATTTTAATAAGTTAAATGATTATTTGTTAAGTAAAGGTACAATTCTTTTTTTCCAAAGTTTGTTGATATAATTAAGTCACACCATCAAAAATAGTTTCAAAATGATAAGTCGGTTTACTACTGGTGCACTACCCTACTTCTTTTTGTTGTTTGTACATTGTAGTGTCGTGATAATTAAACATTCATTCATTTATATGGATATCGGGTATCGAATCTAGTGATGCTCCGGATATCCGTATTCAATGGATATCCGAAGGGGAAGAAAAATCCGTATCTGTTTCTTTCCTTACGGATCTTTTACCTTAATTTCCAATAGATAGGTTAAAATGCCGTACTGTCGTTTTTTCATAGGTGATATTACAAACGAATTATATTCTAATCAGAGATTTCTTATGTCTTAAAATCAAATATTTGAGCCTCGCGCAAATCAAGTCGAAACATATATTGGCGGCGGGTGTGAAGTCTATCTTTTACAGGTCTCGCACCGACAGCGATTGAGTAAGAAAATAAAGAACCGTATCAGCATATCTTGACGCCAAATATCCGTATTCGGATCCGTATCCGCAGATATATATTTTTAACGATCAGGCACATCACTAGTCAAAACCAAACACTAAAAGTGCTCACTCACTGGAGCAATTGTCAAACAAACTAATGTATCTCTCAGTATTTTTCTATTAATAAAAGTTTGATCATAAGAAAAATAGATAAAAATTTACTTACATGTCGTCACACTCATATCACTGCCTATAGTAAGCAAAAGCTTCTTGGGGTTCTGTGTAGTTGATGTAGACATAGCTTTGAGGAGAATTGGATTTTTAGCTGGAGCTGGTAGGGTATTATTGATGACCTTAGGTAGGGTTCTAGAGGGGGTCCTAACAGGAGTTCTGGAGGGGGTAATGGAGGGAGTTCTAGGGTTTTCAATTTTTTTCGGAGCCGCTGAGGCATTAGGAGGTTTGGTAGTGCTTTTCGCAGCGAAATTGACCGTTTTGCGAGCCCGAAGTATCCTCTTGGTGGGAACTTCCTCGTCTGGTGACTGAACAAAACGAAGAAATAGTTACTTACGGCTTTTAAAAAGTTAATAGTTAATTAAAATTTTACTTTTAACAAAGTCTTAATTGTAATGCAATATTTAATTTAATATATTACAAGACAAATCGAAAATATACAGTAAGAAATTGTAACCAGTACACAAATTTTATCCTATTGAGTATCAATAATAGAACATATTTATGAAAAATTATTTTTTCATATTGTAATTGTACTCTAATATTAAATTTTCAATATTAGAGTACAATTTCTACTCACTTCAGCATCAGTTTCAGCATCAGTGGAGTCTTCGGGAACAGCTTTAGAGGCGGGTTGCTTCCTCATCAGAACATTCTTCGCAACACGAAGCTTCTTCACAGACATATTCTGTCATAGACAACTTAATAAAATAATAGCAGTGCTAGCTAGCATAAGACTATAAAATAAAAAGATAAAATAAGTTAAGAACAGCGCCATCTAAGAATTTGAATTATAATAAATAGGCATATGTTTATGACAATTCTGACAGATGTTGCCGGAGCGACGTCACACTATGGTGGGTCGTATTTTGACATACAGACAAAAAATCTCGACTTTTAATTGTAAAATTATTTTAATTTTATGACTCAAATCAGAATCCGTTCATATTCGAAGTATCTTTATTTGCCTCTTTTGAACTCAGACATACTCTATTTATTCTGATTGAAATTGACAACATCTATGTGCCGCGTACTTTAATCAACTATCGTGCTACGTACCTCATAAACAAAATCATCATCTTCGTTATCGCTGGACGCGTCTGACTCTTCTTTTTTAGTATCCTTCTCTTTCGTAATAACTTTGGTTTTCACTTTCTTCTTAGTCTTATCGTCGTCTTCCAACATTCTCTGTGGGGCAATTTTTTGTTGCGGTCAAATAGTTAAAACGATGTTGGAAAAGTACAGTGTTCATGACACCACTGTCATATCAATTAGCAAACTGATAAATCATAATAAGAGCTTCTACGCATAACTGCAAGTTTGCATCACATTGCAAATATCTGAGAGCTCACACGAATGCACCACAAGAACTTCAGATTTAATTCACATTGTGCATTCCTGCGATATTTCATCACAGTTGGTGACGTCATTTTAGTCCACTCTGAGACAACGTTAAGCAAAAACGCCAAAAGACTCACTCTAAAATAATCAAAAAGAATTCTTCTGTTCTCAAACCATAGCATTTTCCGTTATATAGTTCCCGCCGGCATTAATTATCGTAATAAATTTATGAAACCAAAAATCTTCTTTTTCTTCGATATTTATTTATTTTGTTATCAATTCTATTTATTTAACCATTATGAACTGGTTTGTGACATGTAAAACCTGTGGATTTTTGAGTGGCATAACTGAGCCCCTATTAATTTGCCTAAAGGAAATCCCATTCCTACTGGTCTGCTGGTTGTTGATCTGTCAACCTGTCAGATCATTCACGAATTCATTTTGACAAATCAACTAGGACCTCATTTACGTTGTATAGCCGCAGGTGTTACCAGATAATCAGAATAAATCTTGAAAAATGTCATCACATTTGAGTTCTCACCAGTAGATCGTCTGTGTCGTTGCCGTCTGATTCTTCCAGAGGGGCAACACTCTTTAATACACTCCCGTCTTTCTTCCTAATTAAGAAAGTGTCCAGCTCATCTGCAAGATCATCCTGCTCAAAAAAATATACATCAATTATTTTGTTATATAATTTAAAAATAAATAAACTAACAACTAATGTGTGATGATATATTAATAGTATAAATAAATTGTCGAATAGGACGCAAGTATAAAAAGTTTATGTCGTCATATTACTATAAAAAGTTTTTCCTATTGCTAGTGGTGCTGCAATAAACTGAAAAAGGAGACTTCACACTGGTATCGCAACAATAAATCAAATTAATAATTTATTCAGACATCTTTATTGTAGGTTTTTTGAGTGCCATATTATTTGATCATGTTCTGTCACGAATCATGTTCTGTTCATTAAGGTATCATGTGTTATTGTTGTTGCATTTTGTTTTATAGGTATATTAGTATAAAATAGATATAGTTATGTTGTGACAAAATTCAACATGCAAATGTGCCTCTAACCACACCAAATATTATGACTGATAATTTTCTGTCACAACACAAAAATGTGTTTCAACCTTTATAAGAAACCAGCTGTTGTCCAGTGACAGCATAGAAGTTTAATTTGTAATAAAAACTTCTTGAAATTAAATTAAAATAGTTTTTGAAAGTTAAAATATATTAATTGACTGTACCTTGTGAGCACTGTCCATGCTGTTCAACTCTTGTTCTATAGTAGAATGATCAATTTTAGTGCTTGTCTCCTGGGTCGTAGGGTTAGTATTGTCTTGACTGGTGCTTGATTGACTAGTGTTACCTAGGACACTGTCGCTGTGGTCTTGCTCCATCTAATATACACAAAAAGTATTGAAAAGCATCAAATAATGATAGAAAAAATAAGCAGCCAACACTAGTGAGTGTTTCCACAGGTATTATTAAGGAGTTATATCAGATAGTAAAAGGAATGAGAATACTTCAATAATTACAATTAATTACATATTAACAGTGACATGAAATATATCTAAAACAAAATATTAAAAAATATATCATTAATATAATAAGTTAAAATCAAAAAATTAATTTAACTATCAAAGTTTACCGCAAACACGCCACTTCCATGTCTTCCATGCATAAGGTTGAATTCTCTAAGTTGTGATACGAGTAAGAGGGTCGTGACGTCACGCGCCGTTTGCGGTTTCGTGAATAAAATATTTGTCTTTTCATAATTAATTTAAGCAATGTTATAAATATAATAAGCATAAAAGTGTGATTATCAGTAATGGTATATTAGAGATTACCACAAAAAAAATATATTTTCATTTACTATCAACATCTGTATTATCTCATATTTTCATTGTCATACTAATAAAGAATTAATTATAAATGCAAAAGATTGTGAGTATGTTTATTACACTTTCATGCAAAAACTACTGAATGGAATTTGATAAAATTTGGTATATGGACAATTCTAAAACCAAATTTATACAGGATACTTTTTACCACTCTTAATAACGACGTCACGTTAGAGTACGTTTTCTACTCAACTGTGACGTAGCGAGCCCCCATTCCTCAACTTTAATGCCTGTTATCTAAGCTATTACTTATTAAATTGAAGTAAAAAAAAATACGTATCTAATATTTTTCTATTATCTGACTGACGGACTAAATAGAATTGCATTTTTTTTACCCAGTCGTCATCTCTATTATACTGTTAAGTTAACAGAGCACACAGGAAAAGCCAGTAGCAGAAAGCTTATATAACAAAGATATAACAGAGCTATAAGTAAACATTATAAATTTCATAATTTGCTTGTTAATATGTTAGTTCATAAAGCAAGCTGAATTAACAATTAATAAATAGTAATGGGAAAAATTCCCAGCAGTCGCTTGGTGGCGTAGTGGATAAATGGATACTCCATGCTTCAGAAAGCACGTTGAGCCGTTGGTACTGGCTGCATTTGCAGTCGTTAATACCCTCCAATCCGCATTGAGTCAGCGTGGAGGGTCACGGCCCATCCTCCTTAACCATCCATAAGGAAGGCCTGAGCCCCTGCAGTGAGGACATATAGAGCTGATGATGATAATGAAGATGAAATAGTAATGTCGTTTATAAATATTGTATTGATTTTGATGCTTCTTATAATATTATAATCAATAATGTTGATTAAGTGAAGGGCATTTTACCTAGCCTAATAAACTCATGTGGTTCTAATAGGGATGACAACTAATTTTATTTGTCTGTCAGGTATATTATTGAATAATATTTAACACATTTTTTTTTTATTTTTGCATAATCAATAAATTACAGAGAAACATCTAGATGAAATGTCGAATGACATCACAATTTTGTACATTTTCTACAAGCTTCCACTCCTCAACTTTAATGCCTATTATCTAAGCCATTTCTTGTTAAATTGAATGTCTAATATTTTTCCATTATTGGACTGACGGGCTAAATAGAATTTCTTTTTTTAAACCAGTCATCATCCTTATTATGTATTCAATTTTATCAATTAATAAGGTAGTTTTTGCTTCTCCCTAATTCCATATTATTTTACTGTAATTCTTTTATTATTAACATGTGACTTACAGCAGTGGTACCATCATCATCAGTGAGCAGTCCCTCGCTCAACCATTCTTCCTGTCCATCGTCCATTTCCTCTTCTTGTGTGTAAGTCTGAGACATCTTGAATATAGTCATAACTTTTTTTTAATATTAAATTGTTTTAAGCTTTCATTGTGACTAACATAATAGTAATACTTCATAAGATTAGAATATACACATGTACTACCCAAATATAATCTGTCCTATAAGCTGAGTTATGTGATCACTGGCAACACACATTGGTTAAATACTTATTGTCTTGAGACATTGGGGTGCAGTAATTGTGTACATTAGGCCCCTGTTGCTATTTCACCCAGTAATACAAACGTCCATTAATTTTTAATAATGACTTAAATGCTCTAATGAATGTTCTAAATTAGAAAATTTGTATCTGTAATGTTGCTGTAAACTAATTACAATTTTAATTAATGTTTGTGCAACTGGCTATTTATCTTTTATATTTTCACTTTTCAACAACCAAATAGTATACATTGAATTCTTTAAAATTTAATTAATCCGTATTGATGAAAAGTTAAGCCTAATAAAACATTACAAAAACATTATAAATAGTATGAGTACTACCGAATTCAAAGTTAAGCATTGTGTATTTTTCATTATGAATATTTCAAATTTTCGATATTAATAAAAGGATCAATTTTGAGACTTGGTAAATCCTTGGTAGTAATAGAAACAAGAATGGAAATATAGCCGGTCACTACACGCTCAGCAAATCAGTAAAAGAAACAGTAATTCATGCTTTGATGTATCAAAAGCCGGGCAAATGGCAATAGTTAGAGGAGTAATTATAACCTAACTTGATCTCTGGTCGATAACCAAAAGTAAAAATAAAATCTCACAGAGTTTAACAGTCTCTATTTTTTTTATACGTTGAATCCAATTTGGTAATTATTGGAATACTCTTAGAATATTTTCATTCATTCATTTCGAAACATTAATAATCAAAACTATAATTTCCATCGTAATGTTGTTTTGAACTCAAATTAATACCTCATATTCAGACATCTTTGTCAGTGATTCTTCGCTAATCGACATTTCATAATATTATTCTGTGCGATATTACAGAAAAGTATGTACACTTCTTTCAATGAATAGAACCAGCTGATAAAGTAACTTTCACGTAACTTTATCGAACCTTTATCCTAAAAATAAAATTTTTTAAAAACCATCGATCAACATAACAACAGAGTAGTGATGTTATTCGAGCCTTGTTTTTGTGAATGAATCTGTAAATTCTAACTCGAATGAAAAAAAAATTTTTGTGTCTGTATGAAATATTGAGTCAATTCATCATTGATTCTGTTGCTCCAAGACCTGAAGTAAGCCATCTATCATCAATAGTCTTCTAAAGTTAAACGCCGGGCATTCCATGAACAAATGTTGAAGAGATTCCGTTTTGTTTTGGTAACAATGTCTACATCTATTATACATTTTAAGCTTAATCCTATGCAATGCTCCCTAAACTTTCCATGTCCAATTCTAATTCTGTTTAACGTGGTTATAAATATTCTTTTAGGACTTTTCAGGTTATGATACCATGGCTTCCTGGGTATATTATCCTATATTTTATCAGGTAAATGTACCAGGTTCTTTTTTGTCTTTTTGAGACATTCCAGTAATCATTCCACTTATTATCCAAATATAACTGTCAAATTTCTTTACCTAATTTTATATCTTAGTATATTGAGAGTAGAATTCAAAATTAATGAGGAAGTATTAAAAAAAATATTAGTTCCCGAAATCAAACTAGATGTCGCTACGGTACTTTCTTGATTTCGCCATGACAACCCTTCCGGTTTTCTTTCATTTATAAAAATAATTTAATTTTCAAAATTCAATAGTCAACTTAAATTCTATTTGTACTTTTTCGTATTTGTATTGATATCTGAGTTTCAAGCTTTGCGAAATTCAGTTTTGTAATATGTTAGTTAAAAGGAACGTTAATGACTATCTTTGGTCCATTCGTTTACTGCAAAAATCAACATTTTCTAGAGATGCCATCTAGTGAGGTGCTTTTTAGTGCTTTCTTATTTTCTTAAAATACTTCCTCAATCGACCGATATCGAATCGATCGTCTATATATATTGCATTACACGAACCAATAGAGCGCGATGCAATTCAACCGATTTGTTAGAGCTCCGTATACCTATAACTTTTAACAAAAAACTCAACACATTTTTATTTATGAAGTATTGAGTGTTTGATCTGCGATTGTAAAGATTAAGCGATGTTCGTAAAGGCCGGTAATTGGATGGATGATCTTTTTTTATTTGACTGAGCGGCGTGGAGCGGCACAGACGTTTACGAAGACTAAAAGACTCGCAAAGGCAAGTAATAGGAAGCGGATGTCGCTGTCGTAACTAATTCGGACACCTACGCGAATATTGTTGTACCTACATAAACATATCTTTAAAAATATGACGTCAAAATTCCTTTAGGGTTTATTTTTCTACCCGTCCCGACCAATGTTGTAACAACACTACGTTCAGTACATAGGTAATTTAAAATTATAAATGAAAACTCAAGACTCTCTGTGCAGCCATTTATTTACAAGCTATTAGCGATTGCATATGATGACAAATAAAGATTTCAATAAAAAAGTTATTTCAATTAAATTAATACACCCGCAATGTCTCATTTGTGGCTAAAAAGAGCACGGAAAGAAACCATCCGTTAGGATTTATTATTTATTTAATAATGATTATCTCATAATGATTATCGTGAAAACCCAATCATCTCTTATTAATTGTTGTATATTGCCTTGCGAAGCAGTCAACAGCCACACAATTAATTAATGTATATCTATTCTCAATATGTTGAATTTACATACAGGTAAATCCAACAGATGCAAAAGTCTGTGATCAGATTTATTTCCATAATAAGAAGAAGATGTATTTCACTGCATAATAATAATAATAAAACATACATCAAATAGTACAAACATTTTAAAATTAATTAGAGAGCATTTAAAAAAATATAGGCTGAGGCTGTATGATCAATCAGAACAAGAAGTGCCCCAAAATTCATGTAAATATTACACGGTTAAGCAACATCTTTATCAATTCTATGAAGTTAATATTAGAGTTAATTACTAAAAATGCCGAGAGTTTAACGAAAACTTCTACTTATACTGACTTTATTGATCCTATATCCAATATACAAAATTTATTGTAATTTTAGAAAAGAGACATTGCGAGAGACCATTGCGACCGGCGACGAGATTACAAAGTTACAAAGAAAAATTAATCCACTTTAACTAATGCTAAAATACAATTCTATTCACAATTATATCGATACAAATAAATACAATAAGGCTAAGGCTACATCACGAGCGCTACACGTCTAACTTGACATCGATTAGATAATGTTAACAAAATAATGGCACTTCAATGGCGTTTCAATAATTGCATTTTGCAACCGTTATTCGCCTAACGCCAAACAGGCCCGGATCTGGGGGTGGGGCACTTACCTCGGACGCCAGGGGGGTGCCAAAATCACCGTTATATAATACTTATCGTAAGTAGTATCATAATATAAAATCCAGCTTCCCCGAGTGTACGAAAAAAGGAAGCGCCATACGAAGTTTCTGCCTCGGTTAAAATAATTCGTAGTTCCGGACCGAACGACAAATATAATTGCAATAGTGCAATATTAATCAATGTTGATAAATTTCTGTTATTATTTTGCGATATAGTGAAGAGACACATGTTAAAAAAGCTGTTATTGAAAGGCCATTAACACGCTATAATTACTTTAACATTAGCATAATTGAACCTCTTTAAAAGCTACCTTCACTTAAGTGACACTGTAATACTGAGTTTATGTGGTGACTATCGACAAATGAAAACAGATTTACATGCAGTAAATCATATGACTGTTACAGATAATCTTTTAGTGATAGGGGTAATCTTCTCATTATACAATGCATAGCACTAACGGTGTAGCATTAGCCTAATGAATCAGCTTTAGTGAACTTTTTTATCGCATTATTTACACAATAAACTTCCAGACATACATACAAAAGACAAAAATCATTTCATTACCCTATATTCATCTAGAAGCATACTTTTACACTAAAATTATCATTATTTTAATCTTAATTTTTGATCCATTCAACCAATGTTAATTCCAAACTATGATTTAGTTATTAGACATTTCGCGTAGATTTAATATTAGTTTTTGTAATAATTGCAAAATGTATTAAAATTTTAATACACAGGAAAAAAAAATTTACCAGTGCACAAAATTTCACTTTTTAACCTGTTAACGTCGGATAAAAAATAAAATAAAGACATCTATAAACCGGTTACTTATGACAACTCATGACACACATTAAGTTTCTTGTTAAAAAGCATAAAAATATTCATGAATACTAAATTATTAATTTCGAAATTTAAAGAAAAAAATTATTTGTCGATATATATATATTTAATTTCTATTAACTATAACAAAACAAAGGAAAACATTAGTGTATGTAATAGGCTGCGACCGCCTAACTCTCTAGCCATAGGATACGACATTTTAGCGATGTTATTACGATATTCCGTTTCATATTACTACTTTGACATGTCACTTGGTGGATATAAATTTGGAATAAATGACTAAATCGGTAACTGCTATCAAATCTTTAAGCGTCATCCGTTATCTTCATTCATCGTTACTAAAGTACATGTTAAAGTAGTAAAATGAAACGAAATATCGGCATAACATTGATAAGATATCGTATAGTTTGGCAAGAGTTGGCTCACACCACTGATAACAAATATTTCCTGTATACAGATTTTCAATAAATCATTCTGTCAAAGCATTTTCTAACGTTTCATCATATTGTATGTATGTATGAAACCTGCATGTCACAATCTCCCCGACACGCAACAACACTCATCCACAATTATATATATCTACATCTCTCCATAATTCGTATCTATGCTAACGGCTTTATACAAAAACAAAAAAATCTTCGCACTCATTCAAGGGAACACCATTTATAAGTATCTAGCATTTACTTAAAAAAAAAGGTTTTTTTTCAATTCTCCACTAAATAGTGTATAGTTTTTTTTAAATTAAAAAACAATAAATATAATTTGTGTGCAGTCAGAGGAAATTATAATAACCAAATAAATACTACATTTTTTTCCACATAATTAAATGCACATTGCCATTTATTTCGATTCCGATAAAATGAAAAATGACTGTCAACGCAGACGCGATTAGTTAACTACAAGCATGTGTTTCTATACACATCTCAAAGGGTTCCTACAATTTTAATCAATTTTGAGGCAAATATTCAGTAAATTAGGGTATAAAATCGATCACAATAACCTGGACTTCTGAATGTGAAACATATAGGTTTTAATGTAGTCTCAAAGATTCAAATGTTTTCTATGTATCAATGTGATCATTGTAAACCAGTTTTGTGAGGATAATAAAAAAAAACTGTTTTCCCTCTATAGCGCAGATGCATCTAACCAATTTTGGCACATAAGTGCACCTAAAATGGTTACAATGTCTATCAGTAGGCATAAAGGTCAACGTACGAAATTCTCTCTGTACGACGGCCGGGCTATAGAACCTGTGTGTTGTGTAAAAGAGACACATACATTCGTTTTACTGTTCACACTGTCGACTAGAACCGTCTTTGACATTGTTGATGAAATAACTATCGGAAAAACAAAATTAAGTCGTCCCTAATCGCTTGCGTTTAGAAAATCCTCTTAGAGATTTTGTATTATTTTACCTGCACTATAAGTAATGCTGAATTAAAAAACATTCTAAAAGGCGAGACGTCTATGCTATTTTGATATCAATAAAAAGACATTATTATTTCTAAATGCATTTTTTTCACACATTTAGTCATTAAAATTGAAATTTACTATCTATTATACTAAAATTTGACTGTTTTGCTTGCATTGAATAGGCTCCTAAACTACTGGACTGCTTTAAAAAATTCGTTTACTATGAGAATCATACATTATTTCTAATTAAACACATGAGATATTTTCAAAAACTTGGGATTCGTATGAAAACTTCGATACCCGGGTGAAGCCGGGGCGGGTCACTAGTTTTACATGTATATGTTTATAGAGGGCTATTTTTAAACACCAACAACTTCAAGAGTAGTATTAAGCTAGGACAAAACAACTTGTTTGTTCAAAGAATTTTGTTTATAATGTTGGCTATCTCGTGTTAAGAGATTGTCAGTGTTTAATAAATAACCCTGTATAACCAAGAATGATTCTATGCACACGAATGGTTCAATATAACTTTTTCCTTTGACTGCACACAAAAGAATTGGTTCAGTACATTTTTTTATATATTTACATCAACAATTAGAATTTATAGTAACATAGTATATAACATTCATATTAATAAATTCCCATAGCTGGGTCACGTGCCTTCCTACGAGAACAGGCCATAAAAATATTACAATCCGTATAATACAATTTGAACAGAATGTTATATAAATGTCTTACGTCATATCCGTTTAGTCTTATATAATGTTACTTTCCATGAACGCTCTATAAAACGATGGCTATTCAGTCAGCTTCGAATTATAGGTGACAGTCTTCAGATTGTCCAATTCCAACCGCTAATCAATAACCACTCAGAGCCGATTCGTTGGATCAAGACAATACAATCAATCATTAACTGTTCTTATATTGAAGTCGTACACACTGATACCTCGTAAAACCTCTTACTGACAATTTTTACAAAAACAAAATAGGTTTTACCTATAGATACAGCTTGTTATTTTCTATCAGATGATGTATTTAAATCATCCTTGTAAAAATCATCAGTTAATAGGTTTTACCGGGATGTGTGCAAAATATATTAGCCAACTATTCTAATTCAAGGAACACTGAATAGGTATAAAGCTTGAATTATAGAAAGAAATAAGAAACTATATGTGAATGAAACCCAATGTTGTCATCTCATGTTGCTAAAAAGGGAATTGGTAAACAAGGGTTTGAGACAAGCAATTGAACATTCTGTCTTAACTTTCATCAAATCTTCATGTAACTCGATATTAGTCATTAATACATTTTATCCATAAATACGGCATATATGTAGGTAAACACACAAATTTGGGGTCCTGTTGTTCCACTGCTGGTCCAATATTTTTGATCACTTACAATTCTTGGGAAACAGTAGATAATAATAAAAACAACTCGTTTAACATTCAGCTACGATAATCAGTTAAAAAAAGCGCCTAAAAATCGACGTTGAACACAGCACTATGTATGATAGCAGCTTCGATGAAATAATACTTTTTTTACCTTTTGAAGTAGGTTTTATTCAATTTAATCTCTATGGTGTTAGAGCGCTAATATTTACTTAATAATCGCATCTAAATATAATCTCGACAACATATATTTTGCCACTGCCTACCTGATATCCAATATTATTAGTGTTATGTCTTCATTAAAATCAATGATGACAGATATATCATAATATTCGACTTAGATTTAGATAATACAATGGAAAAATACAAGTAGTTAAGATTCTATTGAGATGCGATTATTGCGCAAATATTAGCAGATTTGGCCTATAGGTTTTGTAACGAATTCTCAGTCTTAATATCTTGCAATATCCGAAAATTTAGGCTAGAAAAGTTTCTAGCGGCCACTTTCTGTAGTCACTTAAGTTGTCCTTATTTTATTTACAATGAGAATAACTAGTTGTAAACGTGATCCATCAATTAACCGAGAAATTAAATGTACATCTGTTCAAGTTGTAGAAACATAGAAAACAAATAAGTTATTCCTATAATATTGTAAATAAATTAAGACATGCAAAGGACATTATATTTGGAAATCGTAATTATACAAAATATGTTGGTTGAAGGCATGAATGGCATCTTTACATATGGTTGAAATTGAGACAATGTGAATATTGTTTTTTTTTTCTATATTTACCAACAAAGGTTGTTTCAGTACAATCGTAGTTTTCAAATCTTACTGTTTCTTCTATGTAATATTATAATTTTTTGTAAGTAACAATATAAAAGTAATATTATAAATTGGCTGCTATATGTTGGCATAGTATAAAATAGTTTATTTCATACATTGCTCGAGTTCTTTCGGCATTGTAAATAATACCAAATTAACATATATTGCTGGTAACATTATTATATGTATTAGCAGCCATTATTTTATCTATACTCACTTCAATAGTTTCAAAAAGTTCAGTGTTGTGAGATCTCGATCACTACCCCAATTAAGGGGAGGGGTCAGTAGGTTTTAATATATGGTAACACAGTCACTTGACATCACTTATTAAACACTCAATTGTGTCCATGGAGTGCGGTCATCTCTCCCCAATACTGTACAATGAAGCATCATTGCGTATCTTCTGGTAGACCTGATAAAAATGCATGTTGATTGTCAAGTTTGACTTTTAGGTACATATGGATGATAACTATCGTCGATAGTGTTTTTTTTATAGAGGCAAGAATTTAATTTTAAGACATCATCTAAGAGATGATGAAGAGCTCAAATAATATTAAAATGTTACGCACAAAGATTGAAATCGCTCATTGAAGAAAACTAGCGAAAATCATGTTATGGCTCTTATGGAAACGTTCACGACGCGTTGTGGCAATCGAATGAATAACCACAGCGAAATCAGAGTCGTGGCTGACATGCTATTCGTCCTTAACGCGTTGCGACAATGAACAAATGAAATAAAAAATATATTAATAAAAAAATCAGTCAAGTAGCCTATAGGGAATATGCGTCTGATTAAAAAAGGAGTTAAATATATTTTATTACGATCATAATTGCTTTAGAATAAAGTCTATGTTAATATTTTTCAACATTAGTTCATTTTCATCTTGAAAATAATTATTTAAAGTGCAAAAAATTTGGTAACTTCAAAATATTCAACCACCATGCTACTTGTTTGAGTGGGTGTGATGAAAATGTACACGCATAGTGTTGTTGTTACAAAAAGTTAACTTCGATGTAATAACATCAATGTATAATAAATTTCATATAATACAATACAAATGTATTAACATTGATGTTATAGCATCGATTGTAGTAAAATAAACAACAAATTATTATTTAAATTATGTTTTACACTTTTATTTTTATTACACCGATTTGGTAATCTACACGATTATTAAGTCTTTTATTCTTAAAAAAATCGATTTGGATAATTGAATAATATATAAAATTGTTTAACATGTTAAATTTAAGAAATAATATTTAATGTATTTGTTTGAATGTGTTACACAAGGACAAACACATCTAGTTTCTTTGTATATAATTTTGGCGCTCGCACTAGCTCGGGACGCGGTTACTGCGCAGGCGTGAGACCGCGCGGCGCGGCGTCGCGGCTCGCGCATGCGTGAGGTAGCCCGCGAAATACGAGAGTCGCGTCCACAGATTATTATTATTGAGATGCATGTAGCACGCGTTGTTTTAATTCAAATTTATTGTTCATATTATTAGATGTCAACCTGAAGTAGTTTCATATTTCTTTTTTGCTCACGTTCGCCTTCTTTATTCTATAGCATTGTCTGTACTTTTGTGCTTATATTTTATTACTTTTTACACATGTGAGTGGTGAATAAAAACTTTAAAAATCCAACATAATTTATTTGGAGTTACATCACCACCGCCTCACTGGTGACCCCGATTGAGCACATCATGAGTGAGCCTACGAAGACATCAATCACTCAAAAGTCATACCGATTTAAAATGTCATATCTCTAGTCGTGTACTTTGACGTCATGACAAGCGCGCCAAAAATTCCGGCGTTTAGATTTAGATCAAAAAATATGCATATTCCCTATTGAGTTGATATAGTATAAAAAGTGTTTGTATATAGTGTGATGTTGAATCACCTAGTCGTATAGGTCCCTGTCGTGGTCGGGAGTGCGGGGCCGCGCGGGGGGCGCGTGAGGTGCGGGGGCAGCGGCCACGGGGGCGGTGGGGGCAGCGGGGGACGTGCCCCCGTAGTTGAGGAAGTCCCACACCAGTATAGTGTCGTCATGCGACGACGACACTATCTGGAACTCATCGAACTGCAACCGGAACACGCGGCCAGTGTGCTCCTGTTACAGTGGCAATCATTTAACCTCTAAAGCTAAGGGAAATTACACCGTACAGCCTAGTTTTGTATGAGTAATCATTTAGACCGTACAAGCCTAGTCTTTTTTATACGGGAATTTAAAAAATAGATAATTCTAAATTAAACGTTACTGGACAGTGGTTCAATACAGTCAATTATAAACCGGAAACAGAAACATCAAAATCCGGCCAAGCGCGAGTCGGACTTTGTATCAAAAACGAGCAAAATAAATCACGTGTGTTGTATGGGAGACCCCTTAAATAAAGCTAGTAAATATTTATTTTATTATGGTTTTTAGTATTTGTTATTTAAGCGGCAAAAGAAAAACATCATCTGTGAAATTTCAACTAACTTCACTGTTCATGAGATAGGGTTCAGGTTTTACCCTTTGCGTAGTGGTAACTTAAAAAGGGTTAAATATTGGAAAAAAAATGAAGTATTTAAAAATAAAAAGTTGAAAAATCAAATTAAATCAATAATCGGCAAGCCTGATAATTGCCTAGAGCAAAAAAAGTTGGGGTGGAAAAACACTAGTGCTTAGGTGTTAATTAAAAACCGGCGAATATTTTTAACTGGAGCGGCTAATCCCATCGCGTGTATAATTTGTTTAACATCCTTAATAACTATTAACCTATTACAAACATTTTAATTAGCTTACCACTAGTGTTCTGAGGCATAGCTCTTGATGTGGCGTACGTACGTCTAGTGCCGCGGGCAGATCCCATACCTTTATTTTGCCGTCATAAGCGCCACTAACTATCCTCTTATTGTCAAATCTATCACACAAAATTGAACAGATCAATTATCACGAAGGCATAAAACAATCACTAAATATTAATTATAACAAAACTTATTTATGGTCTACAATTAAGTATATATTATTATAATATTATTATCAATTATCCATCCATTAGTGTTGGCAAATGATAGGGTTAAGAAAAATAAGGCTAGGTGTGAGATTGATTGACCAATTAAAAAGGAAGTTTGTATTTGCAAATGCACAGCAGCATTATAATAACTTGTAGTATGAAAGTTGTTATTAACTATGTAAGCTAAATAAGGAAATACTGTCAAAGAGCCATCTTGGTTTGAAATGCACTTCAACTACAGGGTGTAAAGTATGCATAAAAAAGGGACAAATGCATTATCATAGTATTATAGAAAAAATAGGACAGCAAAAATACATAATATTGATTCTTGACAAATTTGTGTCAATACTAATAATAAATCCAATCAATAATATATCATTACAATGTCAAATAGAATAGTAAACAGTGGTTACTATGGTAAAGTTTTAATTCCCTATACAAACTTCCACTTTCTTTATTTGCTGTTATTTGCGGGATAAAATATATCTTATGTCCACTGCAGACAATTTAACTTCCCTTAGGTGATAGAATTTGTATATCAGTAAAGTAGTTCCGAACCTATTCATTGCAAACAAACAATCAAATCTTTCCTCTTCATAATATTAGTATAGACATACTATAACAAATGTAATATTAATTACCGTATACATCTGACTAGTTCCTCGTGCCCCTCCAGCACCCTTATACACTGTCCGCACTCGATGTCCCACAGTCTGATCGTGTTATCTGATGAACCTGACACCACCAGTCTGTCTCTGTACTGTAGACACGCTATACCGCGCTTGTGACCGTTTAACGTGCGAACGAACTCGCACGAGGACGTGTTCCATACCTGCAATCGATTAATTTGAATGATATTTAATCTTCATTATCAGCCGTTTTCACGTAACCTCTGCAGGCTGCATGGGCTCAGGCCTTCAGGTCCAATGCGGATTGGAGGGTATTAACGACTGCAAGTGCAGCCGGGACCAACGGCTTAACGTGCCTTCTGAAGCATGGAATAGCTCAAGATAATGTTTTACTTGTGAAAGTTTTAAATTATTAAATTAAACCACTATCAAATTTATTTTTCTACAAAATGTGTTCGAAAGAAAATCTATTTTGTTTTCCCATGAAAACAAACAGTCACGTGATATTACGAGCCGTCACGTCACATTTCAATAAACATGAGTACTTGTTGCACTCGCAACAAAGACGTTGACATTTAGTTAACTGAAATGTGATGTCATTCGATGCTCCATCATGACCGCTTGCGTTTTGGCAAAAGTAAAATACTACTTATAAGTTCTCTCCAACATATTTCATAATTTATTGTTATAACTGTCAAGTAACCATTTAAAAAATATTGCATTGTTTGCATTCAAATAATGTTTAACTAAAATGAAAATATCTTTATTCAAGTAGGCTTATTACACGCACTTTTTAAATTGTCCAAAAACTTTTTTCCTCTACCACTTCTTCAGGATGACTTTTAGCTGACAAGAAGAACAAGTGGAAGAAACTTACCAGCTTAACGTAATTTACACTCCCACAAACAATATATTAGTTATAATCATACAAACTTTTATAGTCCTGTCTCCGCTCGCGCTGACTATGTATTTCTCGTCGAAGTCGACAACGTTGACGGCAGCCCGGTGGCCCACTAGTACTCTCCTTAAATTGATTTCTGTAGTAGACGTCATGTCCCATACTGCTATCGAGCGATCCTGCAAATTAAAAGCAATTTTCTTTAAATGGTCCTAAAGTATTTTTTTCCAGTCAAAGATTTTCAAACAAAACCATTTTTTCATTAATTATTCTAGTCTAACAAGTTAACGAAATAGTGTCTTTAGGAAACCGCATCCAAAGGATAAAAACAGGACCCCTTTTACTAAGATTCCCCTGTCTGTCTGTCTATCACCAGACATGAACAGTGTAGCAAGACAATTGAAATTTTCACAGATGATATGTTTCTGTTACCACTATAACAACAAATACTAAAAACATTTAAAGTGGCTCTCATACTACAGAGCTGCTAGGTGGCGTAGTGGATAAACGCTGCGGCCCGCGATCGTTGTTGTTAAGCATCTTTTGCAAGGTTCGGTCATGGGTGACGAAAAATTAAGCCATTAGTCCCAGCTGCATTTGCAGTCATTAATACCCACCAATCCGCATTGGGCCAATGTGTCAAGGCTCCTTAACCATCCACAGGGAAGGCCTGAAGCCCTGCAGTGGGGACGTAAGACGGCTAATGATGATGATACAACAAACATGACTTTTCCATTTTTTTATAAATAATTGAACAGAACCCTTCTTGCGCCAGACAGACAAGGACTTGGTCAGTTTTCTATACTAATATTATAAAAAGATTTGTTGGTTGTTTGCATGTTTATTTGCATCAAATAGGCTCCGAAACTAGTGGACCGATTTAAAAAAAAAATCACCTACGGAAGCTACATCAGATGTGGTGAACATAGGCTATTTTATCCCAAAAAATGGGAGAGAAATATATAGGGAATTAAAATGTTACCATGGTAATCATTGTTTACTATTCAATTTGTCATTGTAATAATATTCATGTCATAATATCCAAATAAACAGTTCCCTAGGGATTACGCTGGCCGCTGGCGGAATGTTAGTATATTATAATTTAATTACCTTGCTACATGTGACCATCATTCCATTGCAGAATCTTAGATGGAGTACCGCTTCACAGTGATGTATGAGTGTGTTCAACATAGCTCCAGTGGTTACGTCCCACACTCTGACGGTGCTGTCAGATGAGCCAGATATTATAGCTCGCTCGTCGTATTGCAAACATAATACTGAACCGGTGTGCCCTTGTAGTTCCTGTTGAAACATTTGGTAAGATTGTAATTTATATACATAGAACAGTCTAAAATCGAGTGTTTAAAATATCAATACATAATTTAGTCTAGAGTAATTTATATAAATTACTCTAAACAGTGTCCGATCCAATAATTTGTTTGAAATCATAGCTGCTGTTGATTGTAACATAATATTAATATATATTATATACAGTAACATAGATAATCTTTCTTAGGCAAATGACAGCTGAAAGTCTGGCCTCCTTATTGTATGTATACTACAGTTGCCCAATCTACCATATTTTTATTTATTTTATTTCACACTTCAAGCACATAGGCAGATATAGACATTTTGAACTTGATGATTTCATATGGTCTCTTATTTATTTTAAGCTTCATAAGGATTCATAGCATAATTATATTTACCCTCAAATTTTCTATAAGTTTATCAGGAAATATACTTACTTTAATGCATTGTAAAGTTTTCCTATCCCATATTTTAATGGTGTTGTCCCTCAGTCCAGATACAATTTTGTTATCATCATACTGCAAGCAGTATACGCCTTTTGAATTTTCAGATCTACAGTTTATCCTCTGCAAATAAACACACATGTATTATTTGTCATTGTTCTTTCCCAAATGGCTTCAGCAGTCTATGGTAATATAAGTTTTAGTTTTTAATGCGCTGAAACCTTGTCTATAACATCCACGTGACATCATTTAAAAATAGAAAGTATAACATAAAATGAATATATAAATGATTTATGAATGTTGATAGTAAGATTTATTATTGAAATCTTTATGATGAATGCCCCAATATAGTTTTTTCAAAAGATATTTCAAAAAGGAAAATTTATATTTTAAGTCTTAATATTGAGGTATACAAAAGACAAAAAATTTAAGAAAAATATTTTATTTATAAAATGCGAACTCTCAGGGTGTAGTTGTTTAATTTTAAAATTTATCCCAATGCCTTTCAATTTGATGTTTGATATTAACAAAATTCACGCTACAACTGTTTGAAATGTGATAGTGATTGCGATCAAGATGATCTATTGAATGTATAACAATATCGTTAATTTAAATTGTCTAAAGATAGTGTTAGATTTATTATTTTCCTTGATTATTCAAATTATTATCAATTGGTCTGGAAATTATTGCGAATACGTTACATAATTCCATAAATCGTTAACACAATTGCTATACCATTGAAAGGGACTGTAATAGATTATGATATTAGACAATTAGGCCACAGAGAGGAAGGTTTTTTAAAAGATCGCTACTTCGATTTCTGGTAATACCGAATGTTGATATTGACTTTGTAAAAGTATACCTGCAAGTTATGCCTGCCCATCCGCCAGTTGTCCTCGATGGAGCGGATATCCTGGATGATCTTCGGGTACAGCTGTCGGTAAAACGAGTGAGACGGATGCTGGCAGCCCGGCTTCGGCTTGAATAGGTACTGAATCCTAGAGAGAGCAACGAATAGATAAATCGATATTCAGCACATTGATTAATTAATGACAGCTAATTTTAACTATTCAAACATCAATAATATTCTATATGAGATGCCCTATCTCATATAGAATATTATTGATGTTTGAATGGTCACAGATAACTGAATTCGCTTTATCGCACGAATTTAGAATCGCAAGTTCCTGCTATCTCTATCTCTAGACTCACCATCCCCTCCTCTCGGCTAATCCCCTCCACAGCGAGTCTGTCCTGACCTTCCTCTCGACCAGTTTCTTCCACAGCATCCCCTCTGATATGACGCGTTGCCACTCGCGGCACACCAGTTCGGCAGCGCACAAAGAGCCGGCGTCCAAGTATGACAGAATATTTTCGGCTACGTGATCGAGACCTTTCTCTGTTCAACAAACGAATAAAATGTAAAAATATGTCAAATAAATTGATTAGTGTCTAGGCATAGACTATTTAACGAAAACATTTAAATAATCATATGAAATAGCATGACATACTACTAGTATTATTATATAGAAATAATATTGTGAATGTCGTCAGTTATCAATGCCACGGGTGTCTTGTTATTGCCACTAATTCACAATGACTCTTAAGATTGTTCAAAGCGCAATTTTTACTATTTATTATGTATTAAAGACATTCATGAAAATATGTGAAACGTCACAGGTCATATAATTTACCAACAATAGTTTCGTCCTATGAGTATGATTTCAAACTTCTAGTTCATTTTGTATCCGCTGAAAAGCATTTTTTTTTTTTTCACTAAAATAGGTGAATAATAATTAGTAAAATTCCCGAAAGGCGAAATAGGTCTATGAAAACATGACGCCGTATTGTTACCCAGCTAGAAGTTATGCAATATGATGTATTATAATACATTCAAATTCAGTACCAGATATTCAGTCTAGGTTGTAAACAAGCATTCGTAAAAGTAGAAAAACCAACCAAGAGCGAACATAAATATTACAATTTAAAAACCATAGTTTTTTAAATTTTCCTGTAACCGTTTAGGTATAGGACTAACTAATTCATTGCTTTTACAAAAATGTAGGTCAACATCAAAACTATTTATTAAAAATGACCTTTTACATGTGTGTGTGTGTACCAAATTTCAGAACTTTCAAAGAAAATCTGGATTCTACGGCGGTGTGATTTACATTTAAAGTCAAACGGTGAGTTGCACAAACGTCCATTAAAATTGTTATTAGTTTAAAGCGACATTACCCATACAAATTTGACATTCATTGTAGCTGAAAGGCGCCATTAAACCTTAACGGACGTTTGTGCAACTGACCTAAAGCCTTTAAGAAAATTGCTTAACCTTACAAAATAGCAAATCTAACGCATATACCACTGTGCTATCGGGCTCTTTTAACCCTTTATTTTAATTCTTTAAATTAGGTATATAAAAGAAAGGACAAACACCAATAACACGGTAACCAAAAGATTGAATTTCATAGTGGATTTAAAAGTATGATGATGTCTAAGAAGAGATCTGTAATTCAAATGTCTTGAGCTGCTGATTATTTTACAAAGAGATTTAGCATCTATTAAAATGTTTATAAAGTCGATATTCGTTAGCGTTACAATACAGCGTATTGTATAATTGACGACACTGAACAGGCGTTAGATGATAACATAAGTTTAGAATAATTCAAGACTGCGAACATAAATATGCGATATAACTGGTTCGTTTTGTTCTGAATGTATATTGAAACATTCTACAAAGCTTACGACGAAATTTTTATAGAGATTCTATAACAAATTTGGGCTGAAAATTATCAGCTTTGAAAATCTTTACGTAAATATCATCAAACTGACCGAAAACAACAAATGGCCACTTGACCATTTGGGAAAAGTATTCTAAAACTTCCTTTATTGAACTTGAATCAGATTTGTTTTATTTCAAAAAGTGCTAAAACATATTTTTATTCATTCATGGTAAAGGAGCTGTTAATATAAATTGGCCCGCGAAAACAATCAGTCACTTGACTTTTCGAGCCGTGACGTCATACTTCAATAAAGAGATTTTGAAAGAAAAGAACGAGAGACATTCAGTTTATAGACATATTACATCACACAATGCTCCTTCATACTTACTCGGGAGCATACTAATGAAATCCCTCTGCAGCATCGGCTTCAAATACGCATTTATGTGGCCGTGCTGATAGTGGCACATACGCGCCAACAATTGTTCCACGAACTCGACCTGTACAACATAATATATAAATATATATTTTACGCTTAAAGATGGAAATCGCTCATTAAGCGAAATAGTTCACAATGCATTGTTGCAATGGCAGAATAACCACATAGCGAAATTCGTGTTATGGCCTTAATGGAAAGCTCGACACATTCGTTGGTCGGTCATTACTTTATTGATCCTCCATCACCCTTTGTGTAGTTGAGGAACTATATTTATAAGTTCTAACACTGTATCTCGATCATACCTGGTCTGTCTCGTTCCATCTGGAGAAGTAGTTTAGGCAGGCGTCTCTTTCTGCCGCGTAAGCCGCACTGCTCGGAGCAGGCCGTACGCCCGTGTCCAGGCATGTCAACGACGTCACCTGTAAGTAAACAATATATTTATTAAGGAAGATACTATTGGTATCTTAAGATTGAAAAAAGCTAACAATAAATTTCGTTGAAAAGAACGTATTTTAGAAAACACATTTTCTTCAAGAAATATACAGATATTTAAAAACAAACATTAAACTGCATTTGTCTTGGTGCATCTTAAAGACCGATTAACAGTGCTTGGTTGGAATACAGACATATTATTGAAATGGGCACAGTAACCTCAATCATAGACAATCATACTACATTTCACTAAGCGAATTGAGACTGTTGAAAGCCTTAACCATTAATTTGACTGCCTTTACTTTGTAAGTAAATACATGTATGCACAGAGTAACACAAGCAACATATGGAAAAAACTTAAGCAGAGTATTTATTGTTTGATCTAAATACTAAAGAAGAATCTGTATATGTATTGGTGATCTTCATCAAACATTATGAGAATATGGCCTCATTAATAGAACAAAGTAACAGTTTTGACAAGTTGCACGGGCCTTTAACAAAAATAAGAGTTTTTTTTTAGTAATTACAGTGACACAGCATGTTTTTCACTGTAAGAGCTTGTTCAGATGTTTATGACTCATATCACAACTTGCTTTTCTGGTTTCCTCAAAGTAATGACATAGTACACAGAAAGAAAAACAAATATTGTTTCGATATTGGTATCGGTAAGAATATAACATAGTTAAAAAATAAGCAAATGACAAAAAAAAATGAAAATACAAACTTTTAGGAAGGAAATTATAATTACCATGTTAATGACATAATACCAAATAATGAGTAAAATTAGGTGCAAATGTTATCTTAGGCTACATTTAGAGTTAAGATGAGTAAACTGTAACAACGAATCTGCTTTCTAGAAGCCTGTGTACATTAGTGAATTTGATCTCTATTTCACGCAATCTTCTTTGAAACTAACTAAAATGTTGTGGTTGCCACGTGTCAGGCGCGTAAGCACATTTATAAGAGGTGAAATGAGTTTCCCTTATATGAATTTCCAACTTTATTAATTAGGCAACACATTCAAGTATTCGCGACTATCTAATCAATATTGCGTACGGTAACATCGTAGCATTCACAAACGAAGATTCTCGTCTCATCTAAACACCACGGACATTAGACAGAAGTCGTGCACTTTATCGCATAAACGCACTTACTAGTGAATGACCGGAAACAGAAGGAATAAAAAAAAAACACACTTTAGTAAACCAACAAGTCTTTGCGTAAGCGACAACGGCATATTACTTACACTTGTATCTTTAGTCGAGAGAAATAATTACATGAGAAAATGTCATAACATAAGTAAATATTTTACCCATTAGACGAGAATTTGCACGTAATTGGCTAATAATAATAGTATTGCTGTAGCGCTTACTTTTTAAAAGATTCTAAGTTAAAATACTTACCTATTATAGAACTAACTTTTTTTCAATCTATTTCAACAGGAAAATTAGAAAATAAAATTATCAAAATTGAAAAACTGCCCTAATATTAATAAAACTATATTTGATCTTCAGTCATGATTGCCTGGAAGAGTGTCAAACAATAACCCTGGCATTTTTATTTCCAATTAAATTTAAGTTTGTGTTGGAAGTATAAGTCATAATATAAAGTCATAAAATGAGTAGCTAAAGCACGCGTATTATGGAGTATCTGAGACAATTGAGGTACCACAACACCCAGACCTGAGACAATATAGAAAAGATCATTCTCTACATTTACTCGACCGGGAATCGAATACGGGACCTTGGAGATGGCAACATCTTGGTATGGAACCACTCGGGTATGGTGGTAGGCTTTAAATAAACTTATTTAAAGTATTTTTGAATCATCTAACATATTTTTCTCTTCCACTCTCCTTCAGGATGTCTTTTGGCCAGGTTTTCCCTTTAATATGGACACAATGTGCGAAAGGTAGAGTTTTTTCATTTATCTTAAAATTTAATGCTTATGTAAGGTTTATTATAATATAAGGTTTATTATAGTAAGTAGGTAATAAGTTAGGTATTTCCCTATATGTTACTGGGAATCTTTTTATAATAAATAAACTAATATTAAATATATCAAACTTAATCTGTATACACTTTTGATTTAAATGATAACATATTATATAAAGCAACTAGCAGCATAAAAATCCCAGCTTTTCATATGCATGATATATATTATTATAAATATCAGATTTTAGAACCCTGTGTTTAGCTGATAAGAAGAACAGGCAAAGTGTTACTATGCTTCTTTCTTTTACAACCTGTGCAATCTGTAAATCAATATAAGGGGAAATATGTTTGCAAATAAAATAAATCTCTAAATTAAGCAATTAATAACAATTTATACATGTTTAATTTTAAATATACTTTGTTTTCACATAAAAAAAAAAAAACTTGAAAGTATTCTGTCTAATCTTTTAATCAAAGCAGTGAAGCAACAAATGTTTATTTACCAAATACAGCAAAAATATGAAAATGAACCTACTAGTGTAAATTACAACCTATATCACCCACATTATGTTGGTAGGTTCTGCAGATGGAAGAAGTTTAAAATGATCCTGTAGTATACATATAAATCTTCCTCCTTAATTACTATATTGATGTTGGAAAGCAAACACGTAGTAACCCGCAAAACCAAAATTGTTCTTCAGTGCAAAAAAACTTTTATTTCTTTCGATAAAAAATCTCTATAAATGTCCATGGTAACAAATAAAGTGTTCCTTAGTCAATATACACCGAAATAAGATATTTTTTTTTGGAAAAATATAAAGATTTTCCACTCTAAATATCCATTTTGGTTTTGCGGGTTACTACGTGTTTGCTTTCCAGCGTCGATATAAATCTTCCTCCTAAATTACTATATTGATGTTGGAAAGCAAACATGTAGTAACCCACAAAATGAAAATTGTTCTTCAGAGCAGAAAAACTTTTATTTTTTTGATAAATAATCCCTATAAACATCCACTGTAACAAATAAGGTGTTCCTTAGTCAATTTATATGGAAATAAGTTTTTTTTTTAATATAAAGATTTTTCACTCTAAATGAAACTCTAAATCTAAATATTCACTTCAGTGTTGCAGGTTATTATGTGTTTGCTTTCCAGCGTCGATATATTCATAAAATAATCTGTTTGAAGTATAAAAGATCTCCGCATACAGACAACAGGTAGCAACTTTGTTTTATACTATGTATAAATTTGATAAAGCAGTATTTGTTGTATTCTTGAATCAAAGCTTCTCAAGACCTTGCATTTTGGGAAAACAATGCAATGTTAAAATAACTAATGAGTTATGCATGCCTGATTTTGTGTGAAAGCAAATAAATAGGAAACTGTGACCTTTGACATTCATATATATTATTTGTATAATAATTATGAAGTCTCAATAACATTTGGTAACACTATTTATTATAATAGTAAACTGTATAGTTTTTATAAGGTAGTAGTTGTAACACTACATAATGCTGTAACATTTTCATTACACACTCGAACCTCACGAACGGTTATTCAGTAAACATGTATTGTCTTAGAGTAGCATAAAAATTGCGAAATATTATTGAAAGTGGGCCATTTGAATATGTCTAGAGACACAACGGCATGGCGACTAATAAACTGCCACAGTATAAAACAAGGATAAACGTGCAATTATTTGTGGTTCGTCACCATATAACAAGTACAAAATTTGTGTTTTTTTAGTTTCTTCTCAATCGTAACCATGGAGCCGTAAAATCATAACGTTCACATGTTGACATTCGAAATCTTCGTATTCGCTGTACATAATTAGTTTATTACTATACAGATCTTTGTAGAAAACTATAAATGGTTTAACTACAACATAGTTTTTGTAATAAAACTAATATTTAGCCAAATATCCGCAATGCAGGCTGGAGTTAGTACTAAATTTTTACGTTTCCTGGTTTTTTAGTATTAAAAATATAGTGAAATTTTAGAGCAACATATTATTGAGAATACTTCCAACATACTTTTTCAATACAAGATACTACACAGTTTCACTAAGAATTCTTCAAATTATTACAAATTACAAAAGCTACAGTAGGTACTAAGAGAAAAGATGGCGGATGCAGCCATGACATTACGGCTTGTTCTAGTTAAATTTTCCTGGCATACCTGTGGTGGTATTGTATCTTCTATCATCCTTTCAGTTTCCATTTTTACTATTTCACTAAATACATCAATATGCGTCCACTAAAAACACCACTATATGATCAAATCACAATCGACAAATAATCATCCTCGCATGACGTCAAGACAACTATGAAGTTTTTTAAATATTATTAAGATAGATAATATAGACATGGCATTAATAACATACAGCCATGCATACACCTCTATTTAGTTGATGATTACGTTATGAAGAAAATAACACAATACCTATTGCATGCACAAATATTATGCTAATATTAAATTTAAAAATGATTTATGTAAAATCAAACCAGAATGAGAAAGTATTTAAAAAATAAAAAAACCGGTGCCGGTCCTGATAATATACCACCCATTTTCATCTCATGCGCGACAGCTCTGGCAGTTTCAATAACTATCATATATAATAACAAATCGATGTCATCAGGATCTTTTCCAACTGTGTGGAAGCAAGCCAGAGTTGTACCCATACTTAAATCTGGAAATGACGATCTCGTTAATAATTATCGCCCTATTTCCATTCTTTCAACTTTTGCAAAAATATTCGAATCGTTGCTTTGTCCTTATATACACCAGCATCTCAAACTCTATATTAGTGATCAGCAGCATGGTTTTGTTGGGCGCCGATCTACAGAAACTGGTAGATTTTAAGGTTTAGGTTTTAGAAGATTCGATACAATTGTGTCCCATCACTCGTGATACCTTCCTACCTCCATGCCTTTTTATTATCTGAAGTCCTTGGGGGTAATCCGAGAATATCGTTTCCGCAATCGAAGCCGGGTCTGAGAAGTCTCACTGTGGGGAACTTGGCCCACGTTCTCTTTTATTTAATTTGCAGGTATTAAGTAATGTTTATAATAAAACGATATTGTATCTTTGGTAATGTATTTGGATCTTTGGATTTTCTTTATATGTCAAATAGACAACCATCAAACAGTTTTTCTTTATGAACTATAAAACCTTATTAATCTATGACATCACTCCCGGCGGCAGAATCTACACATACTACTGACTAAAATTCGTAACAAACTATTATCACTTCATCGAAAATATAACATAAAGAAATAACATAAACAATCTTTAAAAACTAACATAGTAAAATCAATTAACATGAGTATCTTTATGTATATTAATAGGTATACGGTACACATTTAGTCCATGAAACGAGACGGCAATTTGACTGTTCGTCCAGAACGTGTGGTTAAGGGACGAGGTATACTATTACCTGTCACTTGCTGCGATTGTGACTCGGTGCCATTTAAGCTTCCTTGAATGTCTTTTAACAGCTCTTGTGAGGCTGTACTGAGTTCCAGTGGGTATAAACGTTGGTACGGTCTTACCTTAACCCCAGAAGTGGTAGAAACCTTTGCCACACGCGTGAAGCCATCTTTTCCTACAACTACTTCGTCAATTATACCTAACGGCCAGTGAAGTCTACTTGTGTTTGACTCGATTAGCACTACATCACCTACTTTAGGTTCATTTCTTTTTTCTTTACCTTTACTAATGAGTAGAGATAAATATTCACTCTTAAACCTTCTTCTAAAATCTTCTCTTAACTGCTGCAAATACTTGAGTCTAATATTCAAACTTTTATGATCTATGTGGTCAAGTTCTGAGGTGTCATTAGTCTTTAATCCTTGTAAGAACATCATAGGTGTTAATGGCATTGTATCACCCATTTCCACATAAGTCAGAGGTCTTTGGTTAATAACAGACTCACAGTCACATAGTATAGTTGATAGCTCTATCCAATTGATACAAGCTTTTCCTAAAATTCTACGTAGCATGTCTTTCACTACCTTAACTAATCTTTCCCACCATCCTCCCCACCACGGAGCTGTTGGTACGGAAAATTTCCATTGAATTTTATAAGTGGTTGTAGCTTCTTCAATCTCTCGCCAATTTATTTCTCTAAGCATATTAGCTGCGCCCACAAAATTTGTTCCGTTGTCTGTGTATATTATTTTTGCTTTACCTCGTCTAGCGATGAATCTCCTAAGAGCCATGAGAAAACTGTTGGTCGAAAGTGACTCGGTTAATTCAAGGTGTATTGCTCTATACACAGCACATGTAAATAATACTATCCAGCATTTCTGGTAATTTTTTAGAAATAGTGGTCCCGCCAGATCTATTCCTGTTACCTCGAAGGGTGCTGTAATTTTTATTCGATCGGCAGGTAGAGGTGGTTCTGGGACTACATACGGTTTGCTTGTGTATCTTTTACAAATAATACATCTTAGTACAACATTCTTGACTACCTTTCTCACTCCTACAATCCAGTATTATAACAGCTGGTGTTTGTGATTGTAAGAATGAAACGCAAAAACTCCTTATTACGATCTATAATAATCGATACAGGACTAACCAATACAACAATATGCTTATTTCGCGACTGGGTGTTAGTGGTCCGTAAGTTCCAGTGCAGGATGCAAACGTACGCACTTACAACATTAGTGGTATAAGCTTAATTTAATAAAATAATTTCTTAACACTAGTACTTTACGAAAAAGGAAGATATACCGCGATTCACAATGGTACAGCGCCATCTATCGAAAATAAGAGTAAGCAATGTATTTGACTGCGATTGTTCTATATTATTTATGTAATAATTTACTATATTGGTGTTACAGTATGTATTTCTTAAAGTAGCCATTAAAGTTTGTGTACCAGCGTGATTCATCTTTCTGTGTTTCTCTTGAATCATTCTATAGATTATTTCGTTATTTCCAGGTAATAAAATCGGATTTATAAAATCTTTCTCTTCTCCACTGTATTCTAGTCTTGTTCTTACTTTTATAATACCTTTGTCTTCTGTTGTTCTCAATTTCTTATCTATATTATTTTCAGAGTAGTTTTCTCTTTGTATTAGTTTTATTAATGTGTCTTCAGCATTTCTATATTCGTTGTAACTTATATTTACCGTGTCAATATTAAATATTTTCCTGACTTTAGGACTTAGTCTTAATAGTCTAGCCACTAATCTTACAATTTTGTTGTACTTACTGAAATATAACAGACTAGAGCTAAAGTTCTCTTTGATTACATCTGTATTAACTAATGTATTTTTCTTTAACTCGCTATTAATTAAAAGTTCTTCCTTTTCAGTGTCATTGACGATAGACTTCGGCCAGTCTTCTTCTTTCAGGTATAACCACTGCTGACCTGCCCACCACTGTGTTTCCAGAAGGGACTTCGCATTGCAGCCACGTGATGGTAAATCTGCCAGATTGTAGATACCAGGTAAGTGTTTCCAGTCACCTTTATGTGTGTTTGAGCAGATCTCTTTAACTCTGTTAGATACAAAAGGTCTCCAGGTATCTTGTCTCTGCAGCCATGCTAAAACTACTGTGGAATCAGTCCAACAGTATACTTTGTATTCATTGCATTCTGTAAGCAGATCTGATTGAACAACTTCGCGATATAGTCTAGAGGCAATCAGAGCTCCCATTAGTTCGAGTCTTGGAAGTGTCATCTGTCTTTTAATAGGAGCAACTCTACTTTTAGCCATTATGAGTCTAACAACTACTTGACCTTTGTATTCTGTTCTAATAAACACACAGCCTGCATATGCATCTTTACTAGCATCCGAGAAAACATGAATGGATATTGTACATTCTCGTAATGGGTGTTCAGATAAAGTTCGTGGTATCTTGCACTCCTGTAAACAATCAATAGTAGCTATCCAGTCCTTATAATCTTTTTCAAGGTTTATAGGAATTTTTTCATCCCATCCTGTTTTTAGTAGCCATGCCTTTTGTATGATGAGTTTTGGAATAAGTGTGACTGGGCTCGTAAATCCTATCGGATCAAATATCTCTTGGGTAATTGATAACAAATCTCTTTTACAGATGTTCTCAGGTACATTCTTTGAGTTTACTTTGCATCTTAACGTATCTTCATGTCTATTCCATTGTACTCCTAGTATTGACACTGGTTCTTCTTCTTTTGATGAATTCGTTATCCATCCTCTCAGATCAAATTTTCCTCTATTCATAAGTTCTATCGATTCTGTGATGAATTGCTTGACTTCTATCTTAGTGTCAAAACTGGTTACGCAATTATCTACATAAAATGATTCTTTCAATCTTACAGCTGTTTTTGGATGAATATGAACATACTTATCCAGATGATGGTTAAGTGATGCTGCCAGTAAAAAAGGACTACATGCAACTCCAAAAGGTACTCGGGCATGTTGATACGTAAGTATTCTATCTTTAGTATTAGGATTATTCCACCACAATAATTTCAAATACTTCCGGTCAGGCGGTGAAATCGATATTTGTAGGAATGCTTTCCTAATATCTGACGTAACTCCATACATACCAGCTCGGAATAGAATCAATAGCTTAGGTATTTTTTCTATAAGGTTTATACCTTTATCAATACACATATTTAATGAAAATCCATATTTGTCCTTTGCTGAAGCATCGAACACTGGTCTTATCTTTGTCGTGGTACTTTCTAATTTAAAGACTGCATGATGAGGTAAATAGTGTCCTTCATCTTTATTATCGTTCTCAACCAACTCTATAATACCTTCATTTTCCCATTCTTTAAAAATATTATGATAGTCTTCTAGTGTTCCTGTACTGGACAGTTTCTTCGTAGTACTATATAAACGTTTCTGTGCTGTCTCATAATTTGGTTGTACCTTAGGATAACCATCTTTCCACAGTAATGGTACCTCATATCTTCCAGTATCATTTACTGAAATATCAACACATGTATTAGTTCTTTCTATATACGGATCCTTAATACCTAACGTTTCAATATTCCACATATACTCTAGGGAATTTACACCAGGCATTGCTGTAATTAAATATGATTTAAATTCGTTGTCACTTAGTGTAGAAGATTGAATTCGCCCTTGTAGCACCCATCCGAGTTTTGTTTTGATAGCTACAAGTTTGTTGCTTATCTGTAACATATTACTTTCTAATATTGAGCCTAAATAATCTGAACCTATAAGTATATCTATATTGGTTACAGAAATCATACTCGTATCAGCATCAGATAAGTAAATATTATGTTTTTGAAGCATCTTCACTAAGCTTATATTTTGAACTTTAGGCAATTCTCCACAAAGTACATCCATGCCTAAGCCTGTTATTGT